GGGCTCTCTCAGGAATTTTCAAATCCTCTCCAGTCACAGGAGAGGTACCAAAAGACTTGAGAGCAGCTAATGTGCCTTTATTCAAAAAGGGTGATGAGGAAACTGCAGAGCAGTGAGTCTAACATTATTGATAAGGAAACTACGGGGGGAAAAAAAAAGTCTGAGCAATAGAATTAATCGCCAAAGAAAAAAGAACAGCATGGTACATGAACAACCCCTTTGGCTGTGACGGCACATGATCCTTTTCTAAACTTAAAAATCTTTAGCTTCTATGTTGTTCATATCCCTCTATTCCCTGCCTGTTTTTTTGTCTGTCAAGATGCCTCTTAAATGTTGCTATTGTTTCTGCCTCCTCTGGTAGCATATTCCAGGCACTTACCACCCTCTGTGTAAAATACTTCTCACATCTTTAAATTTACCCTTTACCTTAAACCTATGCCCTCTAGTATTGCTATTTCTACCCTGGGAAAAAGACTCCCATTATCCATTCTATCCATTTGTCTCAATTTTGTAAACTTCTATCAGGTCACCTCTCATCCTTCATTCAAATGAAAACAATTCAAGTTTATCCAATCTCCTAGTACCCTCCAATCCTGGCAACATCTTGGCAAACTGATTCAGTACCCTCTCCAAAGCTTCCACGCCCTTCTGATAGTGTGATGACCAGAACTGTACACTGTTCCAAACTAAAGTTCTCTACAACTGCAAAAGGACTTGGCAATTTTTATATTCTATGCCTCGACTGATGAAGGCAAGCATGCCATGCACGCTTTCTTGACCACCTTATCCATTTGTGTTGTCACTTTCAGGGAACTATGGACCTGTGCACCTAGATCCCTCAGTATGTTGATGCTATGAAGTGTTCTGCCATTTATTATACCCTTCCCTCCCGCATTAGATTTTCCAAAATGCATCACGTCACACTTGTCCATATTAAACTTCATCTGCCATTTCTCCACCCAGTCTCCAACCTACTATATCCTGCTGTATCCTCTGGCAATCCTTCTCGCTATCTGCAACTCCTCCAATTTTTGTGTTATCCATAAACTTACTAATCAGGCCACTACGTGGTCCCAACATTGATCCCCTATGGAACTCCACTGGTCACAATCTCCAGTCAGAAAAACACCCTTCCACTGCTACTCTGTCTTCTATTACTATACCAGTCCTGTACTCATCTTACCAGCTCACCATGGATCCCATGTGACTTTACCTTTTGTATCAGCCTGCCATGAGGGACCTTTTCAAAGGCCTTGCTGAAGTCCAGATAGACAACATCTACTGCGCTGCCATCATCAATCATCTTTGTCACTTGTCAATCAAGTTTGTGAGACGTGACTTGCCCCACACATAGCCATGTTGCCTGTCTCTAATAAGTCCATGTTTTTCCAAATGTGAGTAAATCTTATCCCTAAGAATAGAATCCACTTGGAGAGGCAAGCAATAATCAAGGATAGTCCACATGGCTTTGTTAGGGCAGCTCAGATCTGACAATTTTGGATTTTTCGATGCGATGACCAGATATGTAGGTGAGAGTTGGGCAGTTAATGTAATCTACATGGACTTCAGTAAGGTTTTTGAAAGTTGTCACCTGAGAAGCTGTTTTAAAGCTAAGAACCTGTGGGATCCACAGCAAATTGATGCAAAATTCACTTAGTTGCAGGAAGAAGAGCATGATAAAGATGTTCTTGTAACTGGAAGCCTGCATCTGTGTACCACAGGGCTCATTACTGGGTCCCTTGCTGTTTATTTCCATTAATGATCTAGGCATGAATGTAGGAGGAATGATCAGTAAGTTCACAAATAGCATGAAAATTAGTAGTGTAATAAATAGGGAAGACAACAGCCTCAGACCACGGGACGATATAGACGGGCTGGACAGTGGCAAATGGATTTTAGACCTGATGATTGTGAGGACTAAGACGGCAAGGGAATACATGTTGCATGGTGGAACTCTAGGAACTACAGAGGTTAAGAGGGACATTGGTCAGCATGACCATACATCCTTCAAGACAACAAGACAGGTAGATGAGTTGACTAAGAAGCCTTTATTAGTTGAGATATTGAGTACAACAACAGGGATGGAGATTATAATGGAGCCATACAAGATGTTAGTTTGGCCACAGCTGGAGTGCTCTGTGCAGTTCTAGTCACTATGCTGTAGGAAAGATGTGATTGCACTGGGAGAGGGTGCAGAGGAGATTCATCAGGATGTTGCCTGGGCTTGAGTGCTTCAGCTGTAAGGAGAAAGCAAATAGAATCACAGAATCCCTACAGTGCAGATAGAGGCCATTCAATCTATCGAGTTAGCACTAACCCTCAGAAGAGCATCCCACACCCCCATCTTATCCCGATAACCCCGCATTTACCATAACTAACCCTCATAGCCTGCACAATCCTGGACACTACCGGGCAAATTAGCATGGCCAATACGCCTAACCTGCATATCTTTGGACTGTGGTAGGAAACCGGAGCACCCGAAGAAAACCCATGCAGATTTGGGGAGGACTCGGAAACTCCACACAAGGCTGGAATCAAACACCGGTCCCTGACACAATGAGGCAGCAGTGCTAACCACTGAGCAACCATGCCACCCTAGTTAGGCCGGCGTTATTTTTGGGCTGACGGAAGAACCTGATTTAGGTGTTCAAAATTGAGAGGCATAGATAGGAAGAAATGTTTTCCCTTAGAGGGACCAATAAACAGAAGGATAAATTTATGAAAGGGGCAGGAGATTGAGAGAGAATTTGAGGAAAATCTTTACAGAGCATGATTGTTATCTGGTGAAGGGTTACTGGACCCAAATATTTTCTCTCCATAAATGTTACTAGACCTCCTGAGTTTCTCCAGTTTCTGTTTTTCCTTTGGATTTCCAGCATGTGCAGTTTTTTGTCTTTTGTTTAGTGTTATCTGGAACTCATTGCCTGAAAGGGTGGTAGAAATGGGAACTCTTAGAACATTTTAAGTTGTATTGAGATGAGAACTGAAATGCCCCAGCCTACAAGGCTAAGGGTGAAGCACTAGGAAATGGGCTTAGATGAGTACTTGACCATCTGTGAATGTTACAAAGTTCTTTAAATTTCACACTGAGCTACAGGAGGATATATTAGGAGAGATGGTCAAAGATGGTAGGTTTAAACGTTGCTTAATAGGCGGTGACTCATGCAGAAGTGCAGTTCCACAGATAAATTTTTCATATCATTAATCCATCTTTGTACACATGTAAGACTAGGTATGGTAAGCTGAGCTCAGTTCTTCTCTTCCCACATACACTAACAGGGATCACTAGATTACAAGAAGTAGGATTCCTGGTTGATATGTTAAAACCATATTCCCCCCTCCACCCCCCAGAAAAAATCCTACCGCAGGTTTCTAAAGAATTTGTAGGACTGCTGGTCGTCCCAGGTCTAACGATAGGTAATTCCTATTCTGCACAGTTCACTGGTCTGTCACCTAATCTAGATATACACTAGATGGTTTGTTTATTTTACCCTAACAATTTTCCCCATCATTTCAAAAAATATTAGTTACTCGCTGCGATTGCGATTTCATTATTGGACCAGTATATGAATGTAGTGGTGAATAACACATTTTTACAGGAATATATTTATGCAAATTTTGACTATCTAAGATGATTCAGTGTAAATCAGCTTTATGGACCAGGGGGTCTTGTGTTCAATTCTTTGTCTCTTGCAGTCTGTACCAACATGAGATCCTTACAATTTTTTCAGCATCCCAGAATAAAAGGGTTAAGGAAATGTGACCAGGTCCTGACTGCTATCCATTAATCTGTTAGGAAGTGCCACTTGTTTAAATGTCTAATTTTCAGGCTTGTATGTCTGTCATCATCTCTCTAGCATCTATGTAACCCAATGATACGTTTGGTGAGGTACTGAAGGGGTCTGGCATCTATGGAATCCTACCCCCAGCAAGATGTCATTGCATTCAGGAATGGAAGGTAGATGGGAGGGGCGGGGGGGTATATTTCAGTGAATCATTACCCAATGTTTGCAGGTTGTTTTAGCTTATGAATGAGTCCGTGTGCTAACCATCAGTATTCAGTGTTGTGATTTCTAGTGCACTTTAACTTTTCATTTTTATGAACAGATGAAATATTTCCCTCCATAATCTATAATCACTTACTGTTTAGGTTTAAGAGAAGAGTGACCAGGAGAATGGATGTGCATTTTCTCTCTGCTTCAAATGTACTTTTCTTGTGCTATCTTGTACATTTCTCTGCGTGCACAGTCTCATCTTTAATGCCTTTACTGATGGTGAAGGAGTTATCCTTGTCCTGCAAAGATGATCTTGATGTTGAGGTTTTAGTAGAGGGAAAACAGGATCTAAACTAGCTTAATTTGACTGAACAGCTTTACAAAGTAAGCCTGTGGTTGACTAAATTTGCTGCAGAATTATCAAGGCAAATTAGACGATCAGAATCCTTCATTTCTGTTATCAATAATAATTATTGATGTTATCCATTTGTACATTCCTGAAGAAGGCCTGCGCAGTTGGAGGTGGTGTCTTTCAAAAACATAAACTTAAAGCTAGACAGTGCTTTCAAATGATGTACAAGATTCATCCAGTTCTGTGCAAGGGTCACTGGACCTGAAACGTTAACTCTGATTTTTAATTCACAGATGCTGCCAGACCTGCTGAGCTTTTCGAGCAACTTCTGTTTTTGTACAAGATTCATGGTGCTATTTTGAAGAAAACCAGAGTCACCTTGGTGCATGGCCAATATTTATCCCTTGAATAACACGACCGAAGACAGATTATCTGATTATTCATCTCATTGCAGTTTGTTGGATTCTTGCTGTGTACAATTTGTCTACCACTTGAGTTATTACAAAGTGATCCAACTTCAAAGTACTAAATTGAATGAAGTTCTTTCATATTAGTTTTTCACATTTTATTTACTTTCTCTCAAGTGTAAATTGAATAAATGCTTTATAATCCTTATTGACATTATTTATTTTTGATTTTTAAATTTTATGCAGACAGCACAGACTCAGGAAGAATTCAAATTGGAAGATCTAAAGACATTAGAACCAAGTAAGTAATTCTTGTACCACATGTAATAGTAGAGAAGGTTGTGGTTCTGCAACTAAGTTGGAACCAGACTCTCTGTTTGGATATCTGATACCGCTAGTTAACTTACAGCTTTATATCATAACAGACAAGTCAGTATTCTGGAATCCTTTCGTAAATCCCTCTGGATCTCCTTCCCAAAGGCCAAGATCAAGATTTTTGGTCAGCTCTCTCTTAAATAGATGTTGAGCCAGAGATACTTTTATGATAACTGTAAAATATTTTGGGGTGTTTTTCTACATTAATGGCTCAAACATACCAGTTTATACTTCTCTTTGGCTCACAGGAGTAAGTACAGATAAATAATACTATTAGCTCTGTATCGTTATTCCTTTCACTGAAATCAGTGTCTCTACCCTGTACACCATGTTTTCCTTTCCAAGCATCAAGTTACTTTTCAAATTGCCCTTTTTATTTAACCCCTGCTCTTAATAGAGACCGACCTGTCTGCTCAGTCTTGAAGTTGCCTTTTCCCAATTTATATCCTTATTCAGAGGGTGTGGTTCAACTTGACATTGTGTTCCAGATTAACCTTTCCTATTCCACTTGGCTTGGAAAAATCTACAGGTAAACCTTCCATCACTTTTCAAGAAAGTGGTAACATTTCCTCACTATTCGATTGTATAATGGGCTCTACATTTTAACGACAATAGCTCAGAACTTAGGAGTGGTTGACATTCAGTGATTCCCTCGTATGGGTAATATGGGTAAGTGAATTCTAGGTGAGGATAGGGTTGGACATGACTGTGTGATTCATTCCATCCAATTAGAAAAAAACACCAGGGATCTTTAACAGTACCTGAGTAGGCTGACTAGACCTTGGTTTAAAGTCTTGTATGACATTGCAGCACTCCCTCCGTACTGCATTGAAATTTAAGCCTGAACTAGTGCCCGTGTTTGGAGTGGGATTTGAACTCTGAAGCAGGAGTGCTGCCACTGAACTAAGTCTGACACCAAGGATATAATTGAAACAACACATTGATCATACTTCCTGTGAAGATCTGATTCTTTTGAAGTACTTTGATATTCCTGGTTTTTCTTTATCACACTTCATTGCCAATACGGTCACTTTACAACCCATTATTGAATCAGCATCTTCTGCTTAGCAAAATTCTAGAAGAGAAAGCTCATTTTCTGTCAGTAAATTTAAATTATGTGGCATCTGCCTTAGTTAGTTTTCGAATAATCCACTGACTGCTGAGTGAATTCCCCAATCTTACCTGTTTCATGTTCTGTGAAAAGATATGCTTTATATATTTGTGCACAAAATAAATCAAATTATGTCAACAGTCCTGATCAACCCTGTCCTTAAAAATGAGCCTGTTGTGTGTGTAAAAGCATGGGCGTATGATGGTTAATGGAATAAACACTGGGCAAGAAAAAGTGCATTGTACAGGTCGAACCATTGACATTTATTTTTATATCAGCTCCTTCAGCACACTTTGAGGGTTGGGTATTAAGTGCCTTTGTCAGCTTAAACATGATTGCAGAAGCTGCAAATTAAAAATCTGTGTCACCATTACACGTGATTGTGGGCACTCTGGATTAAATCCCTGTAATTCTTTACAATGCTGGCTTTTAATAGTAGACTTTGGTTTGTTTTTTCCTTTTTTCTTTACAGTTATAAAGAACATTCTTTCTTATAACAAAGATTTTCCTTTTGACGTTCAACCTGTCCCTATAAGGTAAATGATTTAATTTGGACACTTTTCCATTCAAAGTTTCTTGTTTAAACATAAATAATCCAACTTGATAATGAGTTGCTTCTCTCTTTTTTTGGGAATGTAACTTTCCTGCAGAATATCAGGAATTGTTTGTGCTTCTTCATGCAACAGGGCTCAAGCTTGATTTTTGTCTGGTTTTTAATACATTTTTGCTGTTGGCTGATCTCCATACTTTTTACATGAACAAGTGAGATTGTGCTTAATTTGTTTCATGACTGAGTGAATCATAATTGTACAGTATAAGAAACTTGGGTTTCTGTAGATACTTGGCTGCTGACTTTGATGTTGAATTGCTGTTCGCAATTTATTATTGTTTGTTGGAAGTCAAATAGCCACAGATCAGAAAGAGTGCTGAACATTTGCTGACATCCCCAAGTTGCCTTCTATTATTTAGCTTCCCAGTGATTGGATAAATGGATTGAGAAAAGAGTTGAGTTCAGAATTTCTTGTATGTATGAGTTGGCTGGTTGCAAATGTTACATTTAGCCTCTGTGCCTTCATATGAGGAAGAGAAAAAGTAGTCAAAGATCTTGTTTATCATTTGATTTCCCCTCTACCCCTCCTATCCTGATCTATCAGTAGCAGAAATGGACGTAATTGAACTGGACTCCTCCTATAACCAAATAGATTAATAATACATACTAACCGTATTAGACATTCTGCATAAGGGCAGAATATAGTGGATGCTAGAAATCTGGAACAAACAGAATGCTGGAGAAATTCAGGTCTGGCATCTTCAGTAGAGAGAGAAAACCAGTTAATGTTTCGAGTCCAGTATTATTCCTCCTCCTGAAGACGATGCAGGAAGACCTGAGTTTGTCCAGCATTCTCTGTGTTTGTTACACATTAAGCAGTTGGATAATCAGAATGTTAGGGAAGTTGGAGACATGTGCCTTCTTGCAGTTGCTAGTTAGGTGGTCTTGCCAGTTAGATGGATCGAATCTGCGCATCAGAGTTTAGAATGTGTTCTCCTCTTTGATGTGGAATGTGATTCAGTAGTTGTCCAATGCCTTTTTGGACTTTATCTAAGTGGCCATGATTTAACGTGTGAACCCAGTTAGTATACATTGGAAAACTGTGTAGCATCAAAGCTAAGCCTGATATTGTTGCCAATACAAGTGCACTTTTTAACTTGTTGGGGTTTGTCAGTGAGATGAGGAAATCTAGCTGATTTCGCCACCACCACCACACATCACGCCCCTGTTCCTCCCAAACCACCTCTTAACCAAAGGCACTGAGATCAACTAGAATATTATTGCTACCAGAAAAGAGGAGTTAGCTCAGTTAAGCCTCGCACCTTCTGGTCTGTGTTGTTTATGGATTAATCCAAGGTTTTGAAGCAATTTCAAACATGGAACCTCACAAAATAATCAACTGTAGCAAGTGTCTCCTATGGGCAGGAATGACTTGGTGTTAGGCGGAGAGAGTTTAAGGTTGAATGGTCAGTGGTATTCTACAGTTCATTAATTACCGTGAAGTTTAACTTTTAGCCTTGACTAAGGTTCAAGAAATTTGCCATGTGCTCAGTCCTACATTTTACATTTGATTTTAACACCACTTGAGTCCATTTTGCATTGTAGATGTGCTGCTAAAGAGAAGGGAAAGCATCACAGTGTTTTGTTCTTATTGTGGCAGGAAAATCCTGGCACCTGGAGAAGAGGAGAACTTGGACTTTGAGGAAGAGGATGAGGGTGGAGCTGGAGTTGGATCACCTGATCTTTTCACTACTAGAGTTCCAGGTTTGTTTTACTGATGATGCTCCTCTACCCAGAGGATATGATTGAACTTGTAGCTAATGGGAAAAAAAAGTGCATTCTACAATGAGTATGTCAGACTGCTGTACATCAGCCTTGTGAGGTTTTGAAGTTAGTCATTTTGAGGGTAGCATGAGAATTATAAGCATGAAATTAGATTTGATTCATAGAATCATACAGCACAGAAGAGGCCTGTCAGTCTGTTCCACCAAAAATATACCCCTTTCTATAGTAGTCCCACTCTCCTACACTAGGCCTTCAATGTTATGATACTTCAGGCGCTCATCCAAGTACTTTTTAAAGGTTGTGATTTCCCACCTCAACTACCCTCCAAGAAAGTGCATTCCAGACACTGCCCACACCCCCTCTCCCCCCCACCGCTCCATATCACCAATTTCTGGTTGAAAAATCCCCTCTAAACTTACAAATTATGCCCCTTGTTGTTAACCCTTCAACTAAGGAGAACAGCTGCTTTCTATTTACCCTGTCCATGCCCCTCAATCTTCTTCACCTTCATCAGATTCTCCTATGTTCCAGAGAAAATAACTCAATCTTATCCAACCTCTCTCCAGAGCTGAAATGCTCCATCCCAGGCAACATCCTGGTGAATCTCCTCTGCACCCCCTCCAGTGCAATCAAATCCTCCCTATAGTGTGGTGACCAGAACAACACATTACTCCAGCTATGGCCTCACCAAAGTTTTGTACACCTCCAACATGACCTCCCTGCTGTTATAATCTATGCCACGGCTGATAAAGGTAGGCATCCCGAATGGCTCCTTAATTACCCTTATTAATCTGTTCTGCCACCTTCACGGATTTGTGGACAAGCACTCCAAGATCCACTGTTCTTCCAAGCTTCCTAGTGTCTTGCCATTCATTGTGTACTCCCTTGTCTTGTTCTTTCTTCCAAAGTACATCACCTTTCATTTGTCAGTGTTAAATTCTATTTGCCACTGACCTGACCACTCTGTTTATATCTTCCTATAACCTAACCCTTTCCTCCTCACTGTTAACCATTCAGCCAATCTTTGTGTCATCTGCAAATTTACTTATCATCTTTCCACAATCTCTTCTACACCATTTTTTGAAGATTACAAATAATAAGGAACCAGCAGTTATCCCTGTGGTACACCACTGCACTTTGGGTTCTAGTCTCTCATACAGCCTTCTACCACCACCCTCTGGCTCATATCACAAAGCCAATTTTGGATCCAACTTGCCAAGTTATGTTGGATCTCATGAGCTTTTACCTTCTTGCATCAATCTGCTCAAGAAGTGAGGAGGTATTGGAGGTCTTGGCAGATTTCAAAGTGGACAGATCCTCAGGTTTGGATGAGTTGTATCCTATGTTGTTGTGGAAGACAAGGTAGGAAAGACGGGGACACTGAACCAAATTTTAAAATATTCCATGGCCACATGGGAGTTGCCACAGTCATAGAATCCCTACAGTGCGGAAAGCCCATCGAGTCTGCTCCGACCATCCAACAAGCGTCACGCACTTCCCCACATTTACCATGGCTAATCCACCTAACTTGCACAAGCGTACACACTGCGGAGCAATTTCGCATGGCCAGTTTACTCAACCTGCGCAAATTTGGACTCTGGGAGGAAACCAGGGCACTTGGGAAACCCACACAGACACTGGGAACATGTGCAAACTCCACACAGATGGTTATTCAAGGCTGGAATTGAGCCCGGGTCTTTGGCTGTGAGGCAGTAGTGCTAACCACTGTGCTGGCCAAACCTCCAGTACCACGTCACTTCTTGTATATATCTGCTCGAACTTCACAATGCATCTTCTCGCATTCTGCACTTGCGCCCTTCTGCCGAGTAAAGGCAGATGTGAAGTACTCATTTAACACTCCTCCAGTGTCTTCCTGCACCACGCACAGATTGTCTGCTTGATCTCTACCAGGCCGTACTCATTCCCTGATTATTTTCTTGCATTTGATATACTTATAGAATATTTAGATATACTTATAGAATATTTAGATATTCTTCCTAATCTTGCCCACCAACATTTTCTCATGTCCTCTCTTTCCTCCCCTTTCAGTTCTATGCCCCTCTAGGCCTCTGTTATTTTGCTCCCTTTGTACCTGTTAATACATCTGTCTCATCCTTTTCATCCAGTCCTGAATATTTCTACACATCCAGGGTTCTCTGGGTTTGTTGCAGCTATATTTCACTCTAAAAGACACATGTTGGGCCTGTACTTCCCCCAGTACCTTTTTGAACTCCTCCCACTGTTTTGCTGTAGATTTATTCTCAAGTAGCTGTTCCCAGTTTCTTTTGGCCAGATCCTGCTTTATTTTAATAGAATCTGCTCTACCCTCGTCCAAAGTCCTTTTTTTTTTAATTGCAGATCATCTTTCTTCTAACTTAAGACATACAGCATTATGGCCGCTATCAATAACCACTGTCACCTCAAACACCTGATTGGCTTCAGTCCCCAGAATTAGGTCCAGAACTGCAGTCCCTTGTAGGACCATCTGTATGTTGATATAAAAACTCTCCTGTACACATTTCAAGTAATCTGTCCCATTTAAACCCTTTGTCCTACGATTATCCCAGTTAATATTGGGTAGTTGAAATCTCCAAATATAGTTACTCAGTTGTTATTACACATCTCTTGAATTCAACTGCATATCTGCTCCTCAATTGCTTGCTGACTATTTCAAAACCTATAATACACTCTGAACAATGTGAGTAGTTTAATTGTGAAAACAGGGCAGCAAAGGCAAGTTGGGCCAAAGGACCTGTTTCTGTGCTGTGGACCCTTATAACTCTGGATCTTTTAAGTTCTACCCATAAAGCCTCAATTGTCAACCCTTCCAAGATATCATTGCCCCTTACTGCAGTGACTGACTCCCTAGCTAATAATGCTACACCACCTCCAATTTTACATGCCCACCATGTCCTGCCTGAAGATCAGAATGTTAAGTTGCCAGTACTGGCCCTCTCTCAACCACATGTCTTTGATGGCAACAACATTGCAGTTCCACGTGTCAATCCACACGCTTGACTCCTCTATCTTATCTATAATACTCCTGCCATTAGAGGCCATCTGATCTCGCCTTGCTCCCTTGAGATACCTTATGGTTGAACTTGCTGTGCCTTGGTTCCTTTTCTAAGCTATGCTGTGTTGCTATTGAAACTAATGCACTGTGACCCCTACCCCTGCTGAACTAGTTTAAACCTCTTCCCTGCGCTTGCTATCACGTAAATCCTTATTCAGAATCCTCTTTCCTTTCTCCCATCTATTTCCTTTCACGTTGACTTATACTAAGTGAAGTAGTAGCCTGTGCTCAGCTGTCACAGCACTTTTCTGAAAGTATATTACGGCAGTGCTAACAAATAGTCTGCCTTTGCCCTTCCCAATGCTCTGCAGTCGAAGTACCGAGACCCTTGTTAACATATATTCTCCAGAGGTTTTTCCATTTCTCATTGGTGTAAGGAAATCCCAATACAAGAGCAAGACAAAAAGACCAGGTTATTGAATACAGCTGTATTCCTAAGGAAAACCAGATAGATTGGTACTGATTAAAATGTTCTCTATTTGTAGTATATGTTTTTAGTACTGACATGCTGCTGTTAAAACTATATAGCTGTTGTTATTCAAAAAAATTCTTAATAAATACAACAGTTGTACTAATTTCCATTACATGTGCCTGAAACAAACAAGCAGCCAGTTATCTTTGCCTTAAAACAGCATCGTTTGCTGCTGTATAAATGGTGATAGATGTCTGGTAATGATAAATACACTCAAAACTTTCTCTGTGTGTTCATCCCTTTTGTTGTTGAAAGTTCTTTTCCATCTGTCGATTGATTTGTATATTTTGGTTTCTGTTGTGCACCCTATCGTTTGCTGTGTTTACTTTCTCTAGTCTCTGCAGGCAGTAAGAAACTGTCAGATAAATGTTTCAAACAAATGGTACTTTGACTTTGGTTTGTGGGCTTTTTGCTCCAGTATCTACTGGACAGTCTAGTCCTGATTAGATTCGGAGTAAAGTTTCTATCTTGCTGCACTCCAGTAATTTTTTTTTTTAAGTCACTTTTCCGACACCATTCTTGTTGTTTCCTTGAGGTAGCTAGTTCCAGATGGCAGAGGATAGTATATGACTCCAGTGAGCATCACTGAGATGGTAGTGGACCTTCTAGTCCGCTATACCTTAGGACAACACTTCTCCTGCTTTTGTCATCCATCTTCTTCCTTTGAGATGTGGTGCCCTATCTGAAGAAAATTCAGGAAAAGGACTCAGAAACCTGTATTCTGCCTGTCTAACATGAAAGTCAGTTTTTCTGTCTCTTCCTGTGCCCACTGTGGTCCATTGTCCTCATATTGCTTGATGTGTATATTGGAACTGAAGGTTGTATTCATCTGATACATAAACAAATGATCTTGTCAACTCATTGGTTTCTAACTTGCATGTGCTGTGTTCTAACCTCAGGAGCTGTTGATGGTAACAATGCTGCTTTGCATACCCATTTATGTTTGATTCTTTCGACAGTGTCAAACACATTTTGCTGAACTTTAATAGTTAAAATAATTAATAAAGGATTATAACTGGACAGTCTCCTTCCACCTCTAACATCACCTGACTTCCTCGCTTCATGTGCTATTGAAACCCTTATTCATGCCTTTGTCATCTCTAAACTTGACTATTCCAGTGTTCCTATTCAAAAGCCAGTCTTCCTGCTTCTACCCTTTTGTATAGCTGACCTAAAACTTTATCCCAACTTGCAAATTCATTGTACCTGTACCTACTGATGTTCACTAGCTTCCAGTCCAGCAACACTTCCATTTTAAAGTTCTAATTTTGTTATCACACCCTTCCATGGCTGCAGCCTTGCACTACCTTTGTAATCTCCTCCCTACCTATAAGCTAGTGCTCAACTATTTCTGACCTTTGTAATTTTTGACTATTGGTGGCTGTGCCTTCAACTGTCAAAGCCCTAGGCTCTGGAAATTCCTGCATAAACTGCTCTGTTATCTTTACCTTTTGAAGTGTGATAAATAAAGTTGTTGAGCTGCAGGCTCAGCGAGCTGCTTGAGTATATGGGTTTTGTGGAAATAATCTAATTCAAAAAAGAGCAGGACTGAGAATACAAGATTTGCAGAAACTTGGAGAAAGAAAGGAGGAGCGTAGCAATATCGATACAAGGATAACAGTAATGGAGTGAAATTGTGTCCTAAAGGATGAAGGACAAAATATATTTGGTTGGAGTTAAGAAATAATAGAACTGTAAAACCAATGGGTGTATTCTGTAAGCCATTAGCTAGTGGCAAAAATATAGAGTGGCATTCTTGCAACATAATCATGAGATACAAAAATTGGAGAGTATTAATAATAGGATGTTTATACTATCTCAATCTATACAAGAATAATTATAATGTAAAGGACAGAGTGCACAAAGAATATCTAGTGCGTTCAGGAGAGCTTCCTACATCAATATGTTCCTAACTTCACAAGGAAGGAAGCATTAGGAACATAGAACAGAAACAGGCCATTCGGTGAGATCATGGCTGATCTATGGCCCAACTTCATATACCTGCCTTTGGCCCATATCTGTTGTTTAATTTGTTTTAAAAGCTCAGATTTAAAATTAACAATTGATCCAGCATTTGTGGAAGAGTTCCAGACTTCTACCACACTTTGTTTAGAAGTGCTTCCTAACATTTCTCCTCAAAGGTCTAGCCTTAATTTTTAGACCATGACCTCTAGTTCTAGAATTCTCCAACCAGTGTAAATAGTTTAACTTTATCTACCCTGTCTTTCCTTGTTAATATCTTGAAGACTTCAATCAAATCATTGCTGAATCTGATTCTGGAGAATATGGTGGGTCAAGATTTAGGGGTGATAAGAAAGGAGCAAGAAGTAGAGAGGTAAAAATAAGTTGGGGAATACCATCACTTTTCACATCTATATTAAATACCAAGGCTTGAAAGTATTGTGACTTTTGAAGAAAGCAGTGCTAGACTTCGAGGATGTAAACAGGCTGGCATTATGGGTGGACATTTGCCCAAGGATATTTAATGCAAATAATTGAAGTGATACATTTTAGTCAAAAGAAGTGGGGTGTACAGGAACAGAGAGACTTAGGGTCTTAGGACCTATGTGCACAAATGATTGACACAGGAAGGGCAGACTGGGAAAGCAATTAATATTGAGGTATATGGGATCTTGGGCTTCATAAATAAAGGTATTGAGTACAGAAGAAAATAAATTACAGTGAATCTTTATAAACTAGTGATTGGGCCTCATGGTGTATTGCATCCAATTCTGGGCATTGCACTTTTGGAAAGATGCGAAAGATATAATCTCCTTTCACATAATTCCTGTGGCCCAGAATTGGACACTACTTGAGGCCAGAGTAGTGCTCTCAACATAACTCTTAACATCCTTACCCAATAAAACCCAGGATGTACTATGCTTTATTAAAGCACTCCATCTATTCTGCCATCACTAATGTTTTACTCCCATAATACACCAAGGTGTCTCTGTTCCTAAATCACTTTAGAATTGTACCCACTGTATTGCCCCTCCACATTCTTCCAACCAAAATTAATCATGTCACACTTCTTGCCATTAAATTCCACCAACTTGTCTACATTTTCCACACACTTGCCTCAGTGTCCTTGGATGCACCTCATCTGGTCCTGATAAGTTATCAGCTTTAAGTACAAACAGCCTGCCTAATAACAGCCTTTTCAATTTTAAATCCACCAGGCGTCAGAATTGCCTCCTTTCACATGTGTCTTGCTCCTTAGTAAAGACAGATGCAGAGTATTCTAGTTCTACTTCCCTGCCTCCAGCATTAATCTCCTAATTATCCTTATCTCCTTTATGAATCTCCTTTGACAAGGTACCACACAGGAGGCTGCTAAATAAGAGTCCATTGTGTTAGGGGCAACGTACTGGCACGGATAGAGGACTGGCCGACTGGCAGAAGACAGTAGGGACATGGAGTTTTCTCAGGATGGCAGCCAGTTTTTATTCATTCATTCATTCACGGGATGAGAGCATCACTAGCTAGGCCAGCATTTATTGCCCATCCCTAATTGCCCAGAGGGCAGTTTAGGGTCACCCACATGTAGGCCAAACTAGGTAAGGATGGCAGTTTCCTTCCCTAAATGACATTAGTGAACCAGATGGATTTTTCCAACAATCGACAATGGATTCATGGTCGTCATTAGACTCTTCAATAAAAATCTGGAATGGATTAAAATTCCACCATCTGCCATGGTAGGATTAGCCCTGGTCCTCAGAATATTAACTGGGTCACTGGATTAACAGTCCAGCGATCATACCACTCCACTCATCCCAGGTGACTAGTGGAGTTCTACATGGGTCAGTGTTGGAATCATAACTATTCATATTACACATTAATGAACTGGACAAAGGGACTGAGGGCGTTTTTGCTAAGTTAGCAGAAGACACAAAGATAGGTGGAGGGACAGGTAGTGTTGAGGAAGCAAGGAGGCTGCAGAAGGACTCGGACAGGCTAAGACAGTGGGCAAAGAAGTGGTGGATGGAATACAATGTGGTCATCTGAGGTTATACAGGAAAAATAAAGGCATAGACTATTTTCTAAATGGGAAAAGCTTTGGAAATCTGAAGCACAAAGGGATTTGGGAGTTCTAGTTCAGAATTCTCAAGGTTAAGCTACAAGTTCAGTTGATGATTAGGAAGTCAAATGCAATATTAGCACTCATTACAACAGCACTTGAATACAAGAGCAGTGATGTATTGCTGAGGCTGTATAAGACTCTGGTCAGTCCACACTTGGAATATTATGAACAGTTTTGGACTCTATATCTAAGGAAAAATGTTCTGCTGCTGGAGGAGTTCAGAGGAGATTTACAAGAATGATTCTGGAGCTGAAGAGCTTGTCATATGAACAGCAGCTGGGGACTCGGGGTCTGTACTCGATGGAGTTAATAATGAGGGGTGATCTGATTGAAACTTACAAAATACTGAGAGGCTTTGATAGAATGGACGTGGAGATGTTTCTACTAGGAGGGGTGACTAGCACCTGAGGGCCAGAGTGTGGTGAATCTGTGGAACTGATTGCTGCAGAGCACTGTGGAGACCAAGGGTTACAAAGGGAAGGTAGGAGATTGGGGTTGAAAAACATATCAGTCATGATAGAATGGTAGAACAGACTCTGATCCAAATAGCCTAATTGCGCTTCTGTATCTTATGATCTTATTGTGTGCCTGAAATTTGGCAGTTGAGGCAGAAAACGGTGAGAGCTGGCTGCAGTGCTCTCCATGTTCAAAAGCCTGATGGATATTCATTGCTTGAACTGTACACATGAAGCCTTCATAGAAGGATGGTAATGCTGCTTGTCAAAGTGGATTTTAAGGATAGCACCTGCATGCATAATGCATCTTTCACAGCCTCAGGGTAAGCAAATGCACTGTTGAGGTCAAGGAAGTGATTCTAAAGTTCAGTCATTATTGCAGGGTAGTTTCAAAATGGCACAGGAGAACTGCCCACAAATGATTGTAGGAAACTATCAGGTACTTTGTGTTTTATATATTGATTCAGTGCTAAATATTAGCCAGGATAGTAATGCCTTTGGGCTTCTGAGAGACCAGGCAGGATCTCCTTTGATGAAAGACACAAGTTTAAATGACAGATTTATCATTTTGTTCAGAGTAAATACTGTTACAACAAATCAATAATGGACTGATACAATAATGAACGTTTATCTATCTTCAGGTACTCTCCTACCACGGCTACCATCAGAGCCAGGCATGGCACTGCTTACTATAAAAATAGAAAAAATTGGTCTCAAGGATGCAGGACAGTGTATTGATCCATATGTTACAGTCAGTGTAAAAGGTAAGCAGTAGGATTTTAAAGTGGGTTTGGTGTGTGTGTAGTTCTAATTCAAAAAAATGACAGAGAAATACCTCTAATTCTACAGATATCAATGGGGTAGATCTGACCCCTGTACAAGATACGCCAGTTGCTACAAGGAAAGAAGATATGTACGTACATTTTGCTGTTGATGTGGAAATCCAAAAACACATAGAGAAACTGCCAAAAGGTGAGCCACCTTAATTTCCTGCCTTGGTGAAGACCCTTTTGCCTCGGGGCAAACACAACATAATATCAAGAAACGTTTAGTCCACAACCCACTGTATAATAATTTAGACTATTTCAGGTTGAGATTCATCAACAATATATTGGAATACGTGTCACAGTCCTGCTAATGTAATCTGGAATGAGACATTAATTAATTTATGTTAGAGTTCTTCCTTTACTCATTGACGGGATGAGGGCATCGCTAGGCAGCATTTATTGCCCAGAGAACAGTTCAGAGTCAACCACATTGCTGTGGGTCTGGAATCACATGTAGGCCAGACCAGGTAAGGATGGCAGTTTCCGTCCCTAAAGGACATTAGTGAACTAGATGGGTTTTTCCAACAATCGACAGTGGATTCATGGTCATCATTAGATTCTTAATTCCAGATATTTATTGAATTCAAATTCCACCGCCTGCCATGCAGGATTCGAACCTGGCTCTCTGGATTAACAGTCCAGCGATACTGCTAGGCCACTATATTTTACAAAAGAAAATACATTTTTATATGTGAGAAGACCAGGAATCTTGAAGCTCAAATTGCAGTTTACTTACATCTCCATATTAGAAATGGTAAAAATGAGAATTTTGCACCAGTTTCTTTTTTAAGCTGGGTTGATTCAAATCCAGAGCTCAGAAACAAAGGGCCAATGTCTGTGAGTTCTGTCATTGCCTCATATTTTTAACTCGTCAGTACTTTAATACTAGAGCATGCATGAGGTATAATGTAATATTGAGCTTAATATTTATCCCATTTATGTAGTTTCTTACACATTGTCCTAGACTGATATATGTCTCGCTTTTCTTTTACAGGTGCTGCTATTTTCTTTGAATTCAAACATTATAAGCCTAAAAAGAGATTTACAAGCACAAAGTGTTTTGCTTTCATGGAAATGGATGAAATCAAAGCTGGACAGATAGTTATAGAACTGTAAGTATTGAAACATTTTTAAAAACTTTAGACTTCTCTTATTTTGTCCTCTTCGCAATAAATTTAGGAAAATATCCAGTGTACCTTCATAACTTCAATTTTGCAAATATCCCATAAAATATCAGGACAGGTGGATAAAGTACTTAAATGGGATACTTGCTTTTATTAGCCAAGGCATTAAGAGCAGGGAGGCTTTGTTTGAGTGATACAAAATCTAAAGTAGTGTGCACAGCTCTGGAATCAACATTATATGAGGGATGTGATAGCGCTGAAGAGGATGCAGAGATTTACCAAGCTATTGTCTGGCCTGGAGAGTTTGTCAAGAAGAGAGACTGGACAGACTGCAGTTGTTTTCCTTAGAGCAGAGAAGATTGAGGGGGAACGTAATTGAGATGTATAAAATAATGAAGGGTATGAATAGGACAGACAGGAAGAAACTTTTCCCCTTGATAGAGGGATCCAAGACAAGAGGCATACGTGCAAGGTTTAGAAGAGATGGCACAGATGCAGTGGGCTGAAGGGCCTTTCTCTGTGTTGTAGATCTGTAACTCCATAATACTGTACTGGCCAGCCTCCCATTTTGCACACTTACTGACTCAACTTCAGTAACTGTAACTCACCCAAACCCCTGTATTCAAACTTGCACCAGCCCTGAAAAGTCTTTGCAGCTGCTGTACATCCTTGATTTTAATTCCTCCATCATTGGTGGATTTCAGCTGTCGAGACCATAGCATTCCCTCTATCTTCCTTTTGGGAAACCACACAAAAGATCGGTGAGGAAGTAGCTTTTATCATACTTGTTCTAGTCTGGCTCAGTGAAAAACTTTGATAATGCTTTCCATACTATGTGAAGGATGGAAGCTGTTGGTTAATAACTTTATAGGTAGAAAATAAGGGTAAGTTCAATAGCAACCTAAATTTAGAATCTCTCAGTTCACAGCTAGCATGAGTTGAGCATTTGGTACTTTGAGAGCAGGTTTTGTTTTGGTCTGAAAAAGTTGATTAAAAAGAAACTGGAATACAAAGTTTAAAATAGGAATTATAGAACTGTAGTAATGCCCAATAAAATGAGGAGTCAGCATCTAGTTATAAAGTTGATGTCATGGAGTGACACACTTGGGCCATTTAATTCTGATTCCCATTTTTAAAAAAAAATTACAGGACACCATTTATCGCACTCTGTGCCAGAGCTTTCCAACTGCTTTCACTCCCTATAGTCCTATAAATTACTCCTTTTGAGTATACAATTCCATTTTGAAAGTTAGTATTGAATCCACTGCTACCTTCCTTAAATTAGATACATTGGAAGGCAATGGCCTAGTGGTATTATTGCTGGACTGTTATTGCGGAGACCCGGGTTTGAATCTAATGATGACCATGAAATCATTGCCGATTGTCAGAAAAACCCATCTGGTTCCCTAATGTCCTTTAGAGAAGGAAACTGCCATCCTTACCTGGTCTGGCCTACATGTGATACCAGACCCACAGCAATGTGGTTGACTCTGAACTGCCCTCTGGGCAATTAGGGATGGGCAATAAATGCTGCCTGGCCAGCGACGCCCTCATCCTGAATAAATAAAGGAAAAAAAAATCCAGATTGCAGCAATCTGTTGAATTAAACAAAATGCTTACTTCATCCCAGGATTTTTGTTTACCAGTTATCTTAGATCTGTCCTTCAGTTACTGACCTACCTTAGGTACTTCTTTCTTTCCACCCCAAATAGCTGTAGCTTGTTTCCAGTCTCTCTATCAAGTCCTTAAACATGTTGCTTCCCTAATCAATGCCCATCTTTGTATCCCTCCAATCAACTTCCTGATCTGCTCACAGTCCTGAAAATGATCCTTGTTAAAGTTACAAATTGGAGTCTTTGTGACAGATGAAAGCATTTCTTTTTCAACATATCTTTAGCCTTCAACAGCTGACTATATCCTGCTCCCCTATTGTCCAAATAGATGAAACTATTGTAGCAGCTTACCTACCCACACCCAAAAAAAATCTGGTTCCCTTTTATTCTTCAGCCACATGCTACTTCCTCAGTGGTACCATCCAAAAACAAGAGTTCCACATCTGAATCAATTTTAACACCAGCTCTCTCACCATCAGTACCATCTCCTTGGAGCAATGCACTATTTGATTTATAAAAATTTCATCCAGCTAAAACCTGAAGTTTGTGTCTTTGGTCCCTAATACAAACTTGTATCTGTTACCTTGATTTATCGGGGTATCAGAATAAGACCACCTGTTCAGTAATACAGGTGTGGCCTGACTAGTGTCAACAAACGTGGAGCTGGAAAGTCAGTATTTCAGGCCAAAACCTGACAGCAGCTGCAGTCCTTCCCATCTGAGGTCTGACTAGTGCCTTGTATAGTATTAGCAAAACCTATGCTTATCAAACACCAGTTTCATCCACAATAAAACAAAAAACATTTCATGCAATGGAACAGACCAAGGCATTTCACAGCACTTTATAAAACAAAATGACTAAGCCATATGAGCTGTTCGGTTGGATGATCAAATATTTGGTAAAAGAGGAAAACAAAGTGAAAATGTAAAGTGCTGAAGAAAAGGTATTTCAGAATTTAGGCTAACGCAACTAAAGCTGCTCCACATTAAAATATTCAGTTTTTTTGGTCCTTTCATTTTTGTAGGCTCCCTGTGAGATCTTTGCTCTTCCAAATCTGCTCTCTTGGACAATGTGATTTTCTAATTACTCCAGCAGTGGTGCCTATTCTTTCAGTTGTCTTGGCCCGAAACGCTGATTTTCCTCCTGTCACCTTTTCCTCTAAGATGTTGCTTAAAACGTACCCACTTTGGTCATATTTCCATAGTGATTATTGACAACCTAACAATTCACATTCCACAACTACCACTTTCCCCAGTCTGACATCACTACAGTGATATTAAAAATTTCTTACTATTTCATCTCTTATTTAGATACAAAAAGCCAACAGACTTCAAGAGGAAGAAGTTGCATTTGCTGACCAAGAAACCACTGTATCTGCACCTCCATCAAACATTGCATAAGGAGTGATTGCGCTGTGGTACATGAACATACATTGTGGTAAATGTGTATATGTACAACAGAACTAGCACTGTGTAGCACATTTATGAAACAGTACTTGCAATAAAAACACTGCATCATTGTTAACTGTTCCATGAAGACATCTCAAGTCGAAGCTGCTTCTGATGCAATTCAGGAAAATATTTCAAGCTGGTAAACATTGCCATTTTTATATTATTTTTAATAACTGATTAATCCTGGAATGTTGGCAGACTTACTGTTCAGTGTGCTGAAGAATGAAAAAGTACCTACACGACCTGTGGTAGCTAATACAGCATGTATTAACTTATTTAAATTGATGGAACTGCTGAAATCTTTTTGGCTACCCTTGCTATGCTGGTTTAAAGGCAGCAGCTTTCTGTAGTTAGATGACACAGTGAGAAAGAGAACAATCAAGTCCACAAATGAAGGATCTTATTTTGACGTATAGGTGAACGGTAAACATTATGTAGTGGTACTTTCAACAGAGGCCCTTGCTCTTTGGATCAGAAGTCACTCCAATGCTATGCTAGAAATGTATTTGAAGTGCCAGAGTGGTGTGTTTGGTCAAAGCTCTTTCTAAAAATGTATTCTAATCATTGCACTACATCTGCATGTAGCAGTGTTCAGCATTTTCTCTTAACAATTTGTGGAATTTATAATAATGTATAGAAGGAGGGAAATAACTGCTTTGATTCATATTGTGCTAACCTGTATATTCAGTAGCCATTACCAACAGTGACTTACATGTAATAAAGAGAATGGGGCAAGAATAGTACTGAGGAATGTTCATTAACAACCCAGTAATTTTCATCTTTATTAATAAATTTTCTCAATAGTAAAATAAGTTACATCTGGCCTTAATTATATAGCATTTTCCTGTTTGCTTTTCCTTTAATAGAAATCAAACTAAACCAGGGGCTGGCTGAGACAAACAGATGATTCCGTGAAATATGAATGAAATTACAAATACATTGCCATGACTACATCAATCAGGCAGCTCTCTCATCAGTTGATATTTCCATGGTGGGGGGGAAAAAATTCTCCCTACCATTTAAAACAAAAAGGCCTCAAAACACTGGTCACAGATTAGCAGAAGATTTATACCACTACACGAGACACAGGCACCCTAATATTGCACAATTAACTCCTTTGATTGGCAGAGTGGCTACCTTGCAACAAACAGAATTCAAGTGAAGTTTAAGGCTGTAACCAGCAGTTATGCTTTTTTGACAATCTCCACAAACGTGTATTCATTTCCAAAAGTGGAACATATAAAACTCCAAGAGTTTCCCAGCTGAAGAATTATAAACCAATGACTGCATCTGACCCTGTCACCCAAAGGGTGAAAACCACTAATGCAGTATGATGGCATTCTTCAGAAGTCTATATTTTTGTCCTAATTAGATCATTGCTACTGACATTATTCCTTATAGGGCAATGGAATACTTTTGACATACATTACAGTGTACAACTGCCTGAGATGAGTGATCAGTCACGTTGAAAGCCTTGCCTCAATGCTTTTAAAATCATGAGCGGTTGTCTGGTTCTGGTGGATATTCTCTACTGCCAGGGGGCGGTGTTGGACCAGGAGGAAGGCTCCTTGGTCCATGGGGATATTCCCTGGGACCAGGTGGGAAGTCTCTCACAGCATGAGGTGGTGGTGGTGGCGGCGGCAGCAAGGGCCCAGGAAGAAAAGGTCTGTGACCTGGTGGAGGGAATGGGCCTGGAGGGAGGAACGGGCCTGGAGGGTAGTCTCGGAGCGCTGGAACACGCACTGCAAAATACAAGAAAAACCAGGAATCAGACAGGCAAAAGCTAACACAGAAGGAAAGTTAAAAAGATCCTGAATTTAAACACAGCAACAGGTAAGTGTTTAAAATGTTAATCCTACCTAAATGGTTTTGTGCAAGTGGGACTGGTCCATAGGTGCCTCTGGATAACGGTTGTGGTCCAGGTCGAGGTCTAAGAACAGGTATTCCACCCATTGGTGAATTCATAATAGGTGTTCCAGGAAACGATGGTGCAGCCTGAACAGTATTAGCATTTGCCTATAATTTTGGGTGGTGGGAGAGAGAGAAGAGAAAGAGAAGATTTTGAAGCCTTAATGTTCACAAGATAGACTCATTTCTTCAACAACTGGCTGTTGTCAGTATCGTGCACCAGGCAGCAATGTTTCCCTATAAGCTGCATGATCATGTAGCTTGTGGAAAACAAGCACATAACACTGAAGTCTGTACATGAATAAAAAAAGTTAGAGGGAGCATTGCCAGAGAGCAGTAGATCCTCCAAGCAAATGACCTGTACTCAAGATTTTCATCAGGTCATAGGCAAGGAGCAGTTACATAGAATCTTTGGGAGGCCACAGAACACAATCCATAGGACTGGAGTTCAGAAAAATAAGCCTTGGGCAGAACACTTAAAATTGTTCAGGTTATTTAACATGCCAAATTTTAAAACTGGCTGAAACAAAGAGCAGTAATTACTCCAAATGCATGTTGAATCAAGGCTCACGTCAAAGAAATAAGTTCCTGGTTAGTTTGCTTTATAAAGTGCACACAATTAGAATTTTTACTTCATATCCATGTTAAAGATACGGATTCATTATTCTGCTGTTGGTACTCACTGTCTTCGATTGCTCAGAGGAGGATGGTTTAGAGAAAGATACTGGCTCTTCAGGTTTAGCAACAGTGTCTTGCTTTAAAGAATATGAAGAAATTGATAGAAAAAGAGAATGGTAAAACTGCAAAGCACTTAAGTATAGATCTCTCCAATATACTGAACTGCATTGACATCACAGCCAAGGCCAGCTCTGTCCTCAGCAAATGCCTTCCAAATGGAGTTGTAAAATAGTGAGCAGGATTTTTCCACTCCCAATGGTGTTGATTCTAAACGTAGTGTTCCTAGCATCACCATGATGAAATCAGCAAACTGAGCAAAGTCAGGGTTTGAATCTGGAAATTCTAACATTTCTAGGGTGTAGGTGCAACTTAGAAAAGAACAGGAAGTTGCTTTTCTCTAACCCCTTTGCCAAAACAAAATAGGACAGTGAGTCACAGATAGAGGTATTATGACCAGAAGTTGATTAAAGAGCAACGTGTTAAGGAATGTCTTAAAGAAGCAAAGAGCTTGAGACTAAGGCAACTGACTATTTGCCTACCAATGGTGCAGCAATTAACTGTTTAAGAACCTAAATCAAAGGAATGTACATATCACAGGGTTGTACGGTTTGAGGAGATAAAGTGTCATGGCCACAAAGGGAATTAGAAATATTCTGGGTGTTTTTTTAAAATTAATTCATGGAATTGAACGTCATTAGTGGGGCCAGCATTTATTGCCCATAGACAGGATAACAATCTGTCTTCTTGAACTGCTGCAATCCATTTGGGGTTGATAACGACATAGAGAGTTTAAGGGAGGGAGCTCCATGATTTTGACCTGGTGGCACTGAAGGAATGGTAATAAATTTCCAAGTCAGGCTTGGGAAGAATCATGCAGGTGGTGATTCTTTCATGTATCTGTTGCCCTCTCCTACTAGAAAAAAGTGGTCATGGGTTTGGAAAATGCTGTTTAAAGGAACCAGTGAATTCCTGCAGTACATCTTGTAGATGGTACACTGAGCACTGGTGGTGGAGGGAATGGACGATTGTGGATATGGTGCCAATCAAGCAGGCAGCTTTGTCCTAAATGGTGTCAAGCTTCTTGAATGTTATTGGAGCTGCACTCATCCAGGCAAATGGGGAGCAGTCTCTCTCACTCCTGACTTGTGTCTTGAAGGTGGTTGATAGGCTTTGGCAGGAGATGAATTATTTGCTGCAGGATTCTTAGCCTCTAGTCATAGTATCTATAGTCTAATTCAGTGATGGCAATGCTTTGAAAGTAAAGAAGTGACAGTGATAAGAAAAGAAACCTTTACAAGTGATTATCTGGCTACAATTAGATAGATAACTCTTTGAACATGTTAGAAGTGAGCGTACAAGAGACAGGAGAGGGAATTTCAAGATGACCATTTTTGCAGTAAAGAAGTCAGACATTTCCTTCACATTCCACACTAATCCTGGTGTAAAGAATAGTTCTGGCAGATGACCAAGACCTAATTTTAACTGGTCCAGCCATGCCCAGCATTGGGTGGCTAAAATAGTTGCCTGCATCTTGTCTTAACTGAGCAGAAAAAAGGACATGATATTAATACTTTATGCTCAACAAAGTCATTCAATGAAAATCTTACCATTGGAGACTCGGTCAAATTTGGTGAAGATGTCCTTGGCCCGCTTGCCAATGGTGCTGGCCCTCCTGGGCCCAATTCTATAGAAGGAAATGAAACATATTCATTATAATAAAATGTCTCAGGTTAAGGGTAGATTTAGTCCAGGTGTTCAAAATCTGATCAAATTTGTTTCCATTGACAGTTCAGTGAGGAGATTTAAAATCAATTGGTAAAATACCTAGCGGGTAAATTGGAAGAATTTGCTTCATACTAAGTTCAACAGTAACTTAAAAAGTGAATGACATATTGGGGAAAGAAAGGAGAAATTAGGAGGGGAACAGTACTTATTGAACAGTTCTTATAGTGATAACAGGCATAAAGGGCTGCGTGGCCTCTGTGTGCATTTACTTTCACTCCATTTCTAAAAAAAATCTGCCAAGCAGTTAGACTCATTTCTGGACAGAATCAAAGAAAATTATATTTCTTGAAGGTATTGTCGAGAGTTGTCCCCTGAAATAAAGTTTATTGTAAAAAATTAAATCTTTTACAATAAATGACTCAGCTAAATGTGCCTTTTATTCACACAGTACTGCTCATCACAAAATTACATAAGTGTTATACTGCAGGAGGCTGCCATTTATCCCCTTTGTGCCTACAGCAGCTTTCCAAATGAGCACCATAACCTTTGTGCCATTCTCTTATCTTTTTTCCAAACCCTTGCATATTATTTTGATTTATCTAATCATCCAACATCCTCTTCAATGCATCAATTGGACCTGCTTCTGCTATACTTTCATGCAGTGCATCACAGAGAAAGTTTTCTCTTATCACATTTGCTACCTCTGTAAATCATTTTAAATCTGTGCCTTCTCATCCCTGATCCTTTTACAAGGAGGGACAGTTTCTCCCAATCAACACTATCCAAACTCATGATTTTGGAAGCCATCAGATCTCCTCAGCCTCCTCTTTGAGGAGAGCAATCTATCCTCAAAACTGAAGTTTCTCAACCTTGGAACCATTCTTGCAAATTTTAACTGCACTGTCTCTCCAATACATTCCCATTCTTTCTACTGTGTGGCACTGAGAACAGTACATAATACTCCAGCTGAGGTTCAACAAGTATTTTATACAAGTTCAACATCACCTTGCTCTTACACACTGTGCCCTTTTGGTAAATCTCAGGGTAGCGTATATTTTATTTTATTAACTCCTCCACCTGCTTGTGACCTTCAATGATCTGTACACATATGCATGCAGTCCCTCTGCTCCCTCCTTTCGGAATAGTACCGCTTAGGTTTCTGTTGTCTGTTCATGCTCTTCCTACTAAAATGCATCATGTAACCTGTTGCAAGTCCACGCTCTTGGAATCAATATCTCAAGTTGAGAGGTTTTTTTGGAATGTTCTTCAAAACTTTCCATTTCCATCCACACTCTTGTCCAAGTTAAAGATCATCAATTGTTACAACCTTGCAAGACCTCAATACATAACTGCAGGATAGTACTGCAGCAGTAGTAGATGAGCTCAATTTCCCAGGAAACATTAAACAGAGGTCTTGTCAGCCTGGTCAGGTGCAAGTAAAAGGTCCAAGTATGTCTTTTAACCAAAATCATTCCCTGACCAAGATATCATGTTCATGTGAGAAACTGAAATCATATGCATCCAGTCAACTGAAGGCAACGTTCCTCTAAGCTGTGTGGCCGTGCAGCTGCTTGGAGGTTCCCACACATCAAAAGGCTCCAACTTTAGTTTGCAGCACTGACTTCCAGTCCACGAAGATGCCGTGCATACAGATCTCAGGTCCGCGAAGCAGCAGGAAAAATTGCAGGGGGCATTTAAGGAGTGTATCCTCCCTCAGCAAATTGAAAGCCAAGATATAAAACTTTTCTATTAAGTTTGACTGGTCTCCAGTGTACTTGCATAATTTTCTGTAGTTCAGCTGCCCAGCATTTTGCTATGTACAACGGGTCAGCAACATCTACTTACATAAGTGACTGCACATAATCACTGGGTGAAATAGCTTGGGATATTATATTTCTTTTTCTCCTTGCCTCTTTTCATGTACTGAAAGCATTAACTTAGCTCACACATAGCGTACAGGCACTGTTTCACAGATCCTCAGCAAAATAGTGTTATAGAGGGTGCAATCAGTGGGCAATTCCAGTGTGAGGCATCATGATCATCTTTTCCTTACATAACATCCACAAGCTTCTCTTTCCATTTCCAGTTCCCATTTTAAAAATTCATTCATGGATGTGGTGTCACTGACTTGGCCAGCATTTATTGCCCATCCTTAACTTCCTTGAGATGATGGTGGTGGTGAGCTGCCTTCTTGAATTGCTGTATGCCATGTGACTTAAAGGCATTCACACTGCTGTAAGGAAGGCAGTTCAGGATTTTGACCCAGCAACACTGAAGGAATGACAATATATAGTTCCAGAATCAGAGGGTGGCTTAGAGAGTTATCACAGCGAAATTCTGGGAGACATCGCCACAGTCATCACAACTGCGCAGCAGGTCAGGGAGAACTTGGTGTCAAGGTGTAATTAAACATGAAATACTACACTGGTGTTTCCCAGTGGTCTATCTCTGAATTCTCCCTTCCCTTCCTCGACATCTATTTCCGTTTCTGGGATAGACTGGTCACTAATTCCACTATAAACCCACTGACTCCCACAGCTATCTGAACTACACTTCCTCATACCCTGCTTCCCGTGAAGACTCCATCCCATTCTTTCATTTCCTCCATCTCTGTCCCATATGTTCCGATGAGCCCAAGTTCGACAAGGGAGCCTCCGAAATGTCCACCTCCTTCCTCAACCGAGGATTTCTCAGTACCATTGTCGACAGGGCCCTCAACCGGGTCCGACCCATCTTCCGCTCTCACCCATTCTCTTCCCTCCCCCAAAAGCAATAGGGTTCCCCTTGGCCTTAACTACCATCTCACCAGCACCCACATCCAGAAAATCATCGGATGCCATTTCTGCCACCTCGAGCGAGGTGCCACCACGAGACACATATGCCCCTCCCCTCCCCGGTCCACTCTTTCTTCACTCCCAACACCCACCCCCCACAGCCCCACGGCATCTACCCCTGCAATGGGCGAAGGTGTATTATCTGCCCATTTACCTCCTCCCTCCCCAGTATCCAAGAGCCCAAACATATTTTCCAGTTAAAAACAACACTTCACCTGCACTTCCCAGAACCTAGTCTAATGCATTTGCTGCTCACAACATGGTCTGCTCTACATTGGGGAAACGAAACGTAGACTGGTTGGCTGTTTCACAGAACATCTTTGTTCTGCTCGCAAAAAGTCTCTGCTGGAACACTGCAGCAAGCCAAAGCTCAGCGCCAGCTGGAAGAACAACACCTCATTTAACGCTTGGGGACCCCGCAGCCCACTGGACTCAATATCAAGTTCAATAATTTTAGGGACTAAACTCTCACATATCCTAGCCCCCTACTCTACACAGCAGGCCTTATTATCACATAGCCTGCCATTTCACACCACCTTTTGTTAACCGCTAACAGCCCCCATTAACAGCTATTCACGGTCTTAGCCATATCGTTATCAAGTCCTTTGTTATCCAACTGCTCTTCTCTCTCTTTGAGCTCTATCTTTTATCCTATCGTTTACTCCTTGCCCCATCCCCCTACCCTATCTTCTGCATATAAACCAACATGTTCCTGTCTACCAACAGTTCTGAGGAAGGGTCACCGGACCCGCAACGTCAACTCTGATTTTTTCTTCACAGGTGCTGCCAGACCTGCTGAGCATTTCCAGCTACTCGTGTTTTGCTCCTGATTCACTGTCATTCGGCTTTTATTGGTTTTTCCCACCCTCCCTCCTTCTCTGACCTAAAAAAGAGGGGCTCTGTGAGGAAGACGACTGGCAAGGTAAGTGTACAAGGGAGCAGCCAGTAGGAGAGTGGGTCAGTGTTAGATTGGAAGTGCTGAGGCCTTTACTCAAGAGGTTTTGGCGTGAGGTGACTGAGCACGGGTACAGGTAAGAACTCTTTAACTCTACTTTCTTTCTGTCTAGACTGAAGGCAGTGGCGATGGCAGTTAAGGCAGTGGCATGCTCCTCTTGCAGGATATGGGATATCAGGGAGACTTCCAGTGTCCCTGGCTGCAGCTGCTAAAAGACCGCATTAGTGAACTGGAGCTGGATGCACTCTGGATCACCCAGGATGCAGAGACCATTATTGACAAGAGCTATAATGAAGTGGTCGCTCCTAAGGTGCAGGCTGCAGGTAGCTGTGTGACCACCAGAAGAGGTAAAGGGGCGAGGCAGATAGTGCAGGATTCCCGTATGGCCATTCCCCTCAAAAACAGGTGTACCACTTTGGATACTGAGTCAGGTCAGTGGTATTGTGACCAGTCCTGAAGCTCAGAGGGAAAATGGTACAGTCAAACACAGATACGGATAGGAGACTCAATTGAGGGGGACAGGCAGGAGATTCTGTGGCCGCAGAAGAGACACCAGGATGGTGTGTTGCCTCACAGCTGCCAAGGATGTCTCTGAGTGGTTGCAGAACGTTCTGAAGGGGGAAGATGAGCAGCCAGAGGTCATTGTGCACATCAGTACAAATGACATAGGTAGACAAAGGGATGGGGTCCTGCAAAATGAGTAAGAGTTAGGTAAGAAGTTAAAAAGCAGGACCTCAAGGGTAGTGATCTCCAGATTACTCCCAGTGCCACGCGCCAGTGAGGATAGAAATAGAAAGATAGGCCAGATGAATGCGTGGCTGAGGAGCTGGTGTAGGGGACACAGTTTTCAGTTCTTGGATCATTGGCACCTCTTCTGGGGTAGAGGGATGGTGTACACTTGAACTGGAGAGGGTCCAATATCCTCGCGGGGACATTTGCTATTGTTATCCAAGAGGGTTTAAACATTTTTTTTGTCAGGGGAAGGACTCTGAATAAGAGAGGCGCCATTGAGAAGTCAGGGGAAAATACATTAGCCATCAAGAGCAAGTTTACTATTCAGGACAGCCAGGGGCTCAGTGAAGGGAGGGAAAAGACTTCAGTTTTAATGTGCATTTATTTTAATGCGCATTTATTTTAATGCACGAGGACTGACTGGTAAGGCAGATGAGCTCAGAGCATGGATTGGCTCTGGAGACTGGGATTTTATAGCCATAACAGAAACATGGTTGAGAGAAGGGCAGGACTAGCAGCTCAATGTTCCAGGATACAGAAGCTACAGGCATGACAGGTACTAAGACAGGAGGGGGAGTTGCCCTTTTGATAAGGGGGGGACATAACAGTGCTTCGAGAGTATATTCTTAAGGGGTCATCAAATGAGGCCATATGGTTAGAACTTAGAAACAAGAAGGGGCTGTCACTCTGTTGGAACTGTATTATGGACCTCCAAATAGCCAGTGGGTACTAGAGGAACAGATGTGCAGAGAGATTGTCGATACCTGTAGCAATAATAGTGCTATTGGTCGGAGATTTTAATTTCCCCTGTATTGATGGGCCACCCAGAAAGTAAAAGGCCCGGACGGGAATTTGTCAAACGTATCCAATAAAGTTTCCAAAATCAATATGTAGAGGGCCCTACTTGGGAGGATGCAACACTGGACCTCCTCTTAGGAAACAAGGTCAGCCAAGTGACTGATGTGTCCGTTGGAGAGCACTTTGGGTGCAGTGACCACAACTATCAGTTTTAACATAGTTATGGAAAAAGAAAGGACAGGTCCACAGGTTAAGGTGCTAAACTGGAGCAGGGCTAATTTTGGGGCCATTAGGCAGGATCTAACAGAGGTCGCCTGAGTGAGCCTGTTTGTAGGAAAAGGAATGACTGGCAAATGGGAAGCTTTTAAGTGTGATATCAAGAGTCCAGGCCAGTATGCCCTCATTAGGGTGAAGGGAAAAGCTGACAGTTTAGGGATTCCTGGCTGCAAGGGTCATTGAGGCTCTGGTCAGGAAAAAGGAGGAGACATACACTGGGTAAAAGCTACTGGGCTCAAGTGAATCCCTAGATGACTATAAAAAGTGTACGAGCAAACTCAAGAGGGAAATCAGAAGAGCAAACAGAGGGTACGAGATGAATCTGGCAGGTAAGATTGAAGATAATCCCAAGAGGTTCCATAGCTATATTAAGAGTAAAAGTGTGGCTAGAGTGAGAATAGGTCCCCTTAAAGATCAGAATGGCAGATCAGAATGGCAGTCTGTGTGTGGAGCCACAGGAGATGGGGGAGATTTTTAATGAACATTTCTCCTGCGTTTATTGAGGAGAGAATCATGGATGCTAAGGAAATAAGGGAAACAAGTGCGGATGTTTTGGACTGCAACACACTACCAGAGGGGAGGTGTTTGCAGCCTTGAAGTGCATTTAGGATGGATAAATCCCCTGGGCCTGATCAAGTCAATCCTCGGATTTTGTGGGAGGCTAGGGAAGAAATTGCAGAAGCCCTTGCAGAGATTTTTGCTTCATGTTTACCCACTGGTGAAGTTCCAGAAGACTGGAGGGTGGCTAATGTTGCTCTATTGTTTAAGAAAGGTAGCAAAGACAAGTCCGAAAAGCTGACATCAGTGGTAGGCAAGTTATTGGAGGGGATACTGAGGGACAGGATCAACCAACAGTTGGATAATCAAGGTCTGATTAGGGATAGTCAGCATGGATTTGTGCGCGGGAAGTCATGTCTAAAAACTCTAAAAGATTTGCTCGAAGAGGTAACCAAGAGGATGAATGACAGTAGGGCAGTGGATGTTGTCTACATGGACTTTAAGGCCTTCGACAAGGTCCCACACGGCAGGCTAGGTCGCATGGGATCCAGGGAGAGCCAATTAACTGGATTCAAAATTGGCTCAATGGGAGGAAGCAGAGGGTGATGGTTGAAGATTGTTCCTCAGACTGGAGGCCTGTGACTAGTGGTGAGCCACATGGATTGGTGCTGGGACCTTTGTTATTTGTTATTTACATAAATGATCTGGATTTGAATGTACAAGGCATGATTAGTAAGTTTGCAGATGATACAAAATTAGGTGGTATTGTTGATAGGGAAGGTGGTTATCAAAAATTACAGAGGGATCTTGATCAGATGGGGAAGTGGGCTGAGGATTGGGAAATGCAATTCAATATAGATAAGTGTAAGACGTTGTACTTTGGAAAGTCAAACCAGGGTAGGACTTGTACAGTAAATGGTTAAGGTTCTGAGGAGTGTTGTGGAACAGAGGGACCTAGGAATACAAATACATAGTTCATTTGAAGTGGCATCACAGGTGCACAGGGTGGTGAAGGCAGCATTTAGCATTGCTCAAGGCATTGAGTAAAGGAGTCAGGACGTTATGTTACAGTCGTACAAGTCATTGGTGAGGCCGCACTTGGAGTATTGTGTGCAGTTTTGGTCACCCTGTTATATGAAAGACAGAGTTAAACTGGAAAGTGTGCAAAGATGATTTATGAGGATGTTGCCAGGACTAGTAGGCCAAGTTATAGGGAGAGGTTGGCCAGCATAGGACTTGATTCCTTGGAACGTAGGAGAATGAGGAGTGACCTTATTGAGGTGTATAAAATCATGACAGGCATTGATAGGATGAATGCATATAGTCTTTTTCCCAGGGATGGGGAATTGAAAACTAGAGGGCACAGGTTTAAGAGGAGAGGGGATTGATTTAAGGAGGATTTGAGGGGTAACTTCTTCACACAGAGAGTGGTGCGTATAATGGAATGGGCTACCTGAGAAAGTGGTTGAAGCAGGTACGATAGCAACATTTAAAAAACATTTGGATAGGTACATGGATGGGAAGGGTTTAGAGGGATATGGACCAAATGCAGGCAATTGGAACTAGTTGAGTGAGCACCATGGTCAGCATGGACAGTTTGGGCCAAAGGGCCCGTTTCCATGCTGTATTACCGTATGACCCTAAGTCAGGATGCTGTGTGGCTTGGAGGAGAACTTGTAGGTGTTGTTCCAACGTGCCTGTCAACTATGTCCTCATAAATGGTAAAGGCTGTAGGTTTGGTAGGTGCTGTCGAAACAACCGTAAGCAGTCCATTTTGTAGATGGTACAACACTGTTGCCATTAACAGAATACAGATGATGTTCCCCCTTCTAGTGTGGGGATATTGAGAAAAATTCTAATAAATTTGAACACGTCAGTATAGGCAACGGACTAAACACAAGACTGTACACCTTAGCAATACAAGTGCACCAAGTTGCATTCTGCAGTAAAAAGGGAAGTGCTTGACAGCTCACTGTTCCTGTACAAAGGAACCAATGGGGAAACATACATGACCATGCACAACTACTCTGACATCCAGTCAGACCCTTCCATGGATCTAGATCCTCAAGATCATTAGATATTGCATTTAAACATAAAGACTTCCTTTGGAAATCATAAATATGCACATTAATTAATGGAACTAATGCCAACCCATATTTCAGTTTCAAACAATTTAACAAAGGTTAGATTTTACCTGCTCTATTAGGTGGAAGCCCACGGATTTCACCCGGACCAGAAATCCGTCCAGACATTACACCCGATTCCGAAGGTGGTCTCCGTGGACCAGAATAGCCATCCATTGGGCCTGGAAGTACCAGATTGAAAAGGGGTCACATACACATGAACATAAATATTAGAAGCAGAAGTTGGCCATTCAGTCCTACAAGCCTGCTCTGCCATTCAAGAAAATCTTAGCTGATCAGTTTATGTACCAAATTACACATTCCCATCTTTGTCCAATAACATTCGATTCTCTTGCCTAACAAGAATCCATCTACCTCCACCTAAAAATATCCAATGACAATGTCCCCACTACCTTCTGAGGCAAAGAGTTTCAAAGCTGCACAACCCTCAGAAAAAAAATCCCCTCATTCCTTTCTTCAGCATTCCCATTTTGTCCTGGTTTTTCATGAAGTGAGGTTGAGACAGAGGTTCTGAGCAGTCTGCTCCATGCCAATAAAGTAAACAGTTTGAGGCGCCTTGGGTTTTTTTTTGAAGTTGGAACAATAGAAGCAGCCTGAATGGGTAAGGGGAGGCTCCCACAGAACCAAGGTTTTAGTTTAGCTTTCAGCATTTGTTGGGATTTGTAAAGTTGGCTGTGGAAGCTGTGTCTTTCTCAGAATTTTCTCCGTTACAGCTTAAAAACTTGAGTTCTCTTTCTGCTGCCAGAATTGCATGTGAGGCAATCTGTTTTACAGACATTATCTTTGCCAACGGTGTGTTTATTGGATGTTACTATATTGGAATGGTTGCTGTCAGTAGTTAAATAATGTATTATTCTGTTAAGTTTTCCAATAGAGTTAAGTTATTCCAATTCTTCTTTCTTTTGTTTGAATTTTACCTATAAGGTAAGAATCAAGTATGTTTTTCTTAAAGCCGAATAGTGTAACACATCTGGAACACAGCACCTTACACTTGCCTTTAAATGAGATAAGAGTTATGGTCTAAGCTATCCCCTTGATATATCTGAGAGGGGTTTTCGTCTGGTCCACAACAATCCTTCCTTAAATAAGGAAACCAAAAATGCACAGCATTCAAGATGTGACCTCAACAATGCCCTGGATTTGTGAAGCATAATCACAAGGATTATGCTTGTGATAATCCTTACTTCTACGTTCAATTCATCTCATAATTAAGAGTAACATGCTATTAGCCTTCTGAATTATGTGGTAGTCCTACATACTAACTTTGAGACTCATGCACCAGAACACCCAAATTCCTCTGCACCTCAGAATTCTGTAGATATTTACTATTTAAATAACAAGAATAAAAAAGCAAAGTGAACAATTTCACATTTTCCCACATTATATTCCATCTGCCAGATCTTTGCCCACCCACTTAACCCATCTATACTGATCTGCATCCTTGTGTCATTTTCACAACATACCCATGCAGATAAAAGGGAATATGTGCAAACTCCACAGAGACAGAGACAGTCACTCGAGGCTGGGATTGAACCCGGCTCCCTGGCACTCAGGCAGCAGTGCTAGCCACTAAGCCATCGTGCTGCCCCAAAGTTGAACAGTGTCTAATTGGAAGAGGAGGTATTACTCCCAAAGTTGCATTGTGCTTTGTTGCAACATTGCAGCAGGCCCAGGACAGGAATATTTGCAGGACAGTAAGATAATTTATTGAAATGGCGTGCATTTGGAAGGTCAGGACCATTCCAATTATAGAGCGAAGGTGCTCCATAAATATCTGCAAGTGGTCTTGCAAAGAAAACCTGTTTATGTTCACATCACAGCTTACTTTTCCATCCAGTTTTGTCATCAGCATTAATGTCGATTGGAAACAGCTGAGACACAAGTACAGATTCAAGTCGTGTTCTACTTTTGACATCCTACAACCATAAAAATAACCCCTTTAATCCTAATCAGATTAATTTCTAATTTAATAGAGCACAGAATTTTGGGAGCACAGGGGCATAGTGACTTTCATAGTACTACCTGGTCTCCTGTCCCACTGTGGTGGGGGTGAACCTTGATCAGAAGATGGCCCCAACCGGTCAGGACCAATCCATTCACGGGGAGGTACAGTCCCTGGAGGAACTCTCACTCCTGAAAGTTGAAAATTCAAGAGAAGCCAGTAGCAATTGATAAATGGTTACAGGTTTAGAACTTGACCAAAAATTGTTCCTATAACGTTGTTCAAACATGTTTGCTGCCCACCTCCATCACCCCGATCTCGTGGGAAGCCACGGCCTGCATTAACTGAAGGAGGCCGTACAGGGAGCTCCATCATCAATGGTGGCGAAGGTGCTCCACCACTCACAGGAGACGGCCCATAGGAGCCGTCACGAGAAAGTGGACCTGTAAGACACAAATAGGTGGAGAGTGACAAAAGATTTGTGATTTGAGCATGGTATCTCTTTCTAAAGGCCAGTGTAAATCAAATGCAAGACATTGTTGTTTCTCTCTCCATGGATAAATGTCAACCCAAGTTTCTCCAGCATTGTGTTAATTTCATATTTCCAGTAACTGCAGCATTTTGCATTTGTCAGAAATCGGTTTGGTTTATTTTCTAACAGATTCTATGGCTTAACATTTATTTTTGTAAATTTGCAGTTTATCAAAAGGCTGCATTTACTTGGGTCACAACACTAAGGAAGCACTTCATGAGCAAGTTTCAAGTGCTCCTGATGCCCCTGGCAGCAAATGGAAAAGCATCAGCAACAATTGCACACCAAAATGATTCTCTTCTACAGTTCACGTATATGGAAATAAGATGGCTCTTCTAGTGTTTTCTTCAATTCACAAAATCGCAGAGCTGTTGCAGCATAGGAGGGCACCATTAGCTAAAAGGAACTCACCCACTGCAGCTACTCTGCTGTCTCCTTGTAACCCCACACAGTTCCTTTTCAGAAAACAGCCTAACTCCCTTTTGAAAGCCTTGATTAAACCAGTCTGCACCACACTCTCAGGAAGTGCATTCCAGAACTTATATACTCACAGCTTGAAAGTGTTCTTCCTCATATCACCTTGGTTTCTTATGCCACATAATTAACGTGTCCATTCTCTCGAAATCCTTCCATAACTGGGAGCAGTTTCTCCCTATCTACACTGTCCAGAGAACTTATGACTTCGAATACCTCAGTTACATCTCTGCTCAGCCCTCTTTCTTCCACGGGAAACAGGCCTAACCTTCAGGAGAAATGGGTTCTAGATTGTGCAGCACTGATACCAATGCTAGGGGAAGTGGTAACCGGACCAATGTGTTGGCCTAACCTGAAACGTGCCAAGGTTGGTGTTCTAACGAGCTAACTCAGTATTCCAACTAGGGAGGTAGAGCTTTAAGCAAAGTCATGGAGACAAATGATCAAATTTGGGAAGATGTGGTAAATCAATGTGTAGATAGAAGCAACAGACTATTAATACAGGAAATGATAAACAGACCGAGACAGGAAAGGTAGAAAAGAGTAAATTGAGAAATTACTTGAGGGAGTGGTGTACAGATCCCGAACAGTTACTGCACAGTAGGAGACAACAAGGTGTAGAGCTGGATGAACACAGCAGGCCATTTTTTCTGAAGTAGGCTCTAGGCCCGAAACGTCAGCCTTCCTGCTCCTCTGATGCTGCTTGGCCTGCTGTGTTCATCCAGCTCTACACCTTGTTATCTCAGATTCTCCAGCATCTGCAATTCCTACTATCTCTGCACAGTAGGACACAGCATAAAGGAAGAAATAAACAATTCCAGAAAGGTGTGGTGATAATCGTGGGGGATTTTAATTTACATAAGGACTGGAGTAAAGATAGGCAATAGTAGCTCAGATGAGGACTGCATTAGCTGTGTTTAATTCATAGAATCCTTGTGGGATAATTTCTTCCAATAGCATGCACACTAGCTGAACAGAGCAGAGGCTACAAATCGGCCTGCTGTTGTGCAATGATATAGGAATAACTAATAATTTCAATAAAGGTAGTGATGCTGATGCGATTGAATTTTACGTTCAGTTTGTAGAACCGAGTCCAACATTAATATTTTAAATTTAAGTAACAGTAATTATGTGGCACGACAGCAGAGGCTAGCTAAAATGAACAGGCAAACAAGGTTAAAGTCAGTAGAGACGCAGTGAAAGGGATATTTCAGACTGGTTGATCAGAATTTAGCATGATCTTGTGAGGATGAAAGCAAGATTTGGGATTGCTAGATGACAAAAGATATTCTAAGTTTAATCAAAAAGTAAAGGCAGCATATTGATTGATTGATTGTTACATGTACCCAAGTACAGTGAAAAGCTTAGTTTATGAGCAGTACAGGCAGATCATAGTAAGCAAAGACATACAGATCAAAGGGTCAAAAACAAAAACTAGACAGAGGCATAAAAGTTACATTGCACAGGGAGTGCGCTAGGCAAGATCAACATTAGAAAAATCAGCATTATTTGAAGTTAAAGAGTCCATTCATCTGTCTAATAACAGCAGGGAAGAAGCTGTTCTTGGACCTGCTGGTGCAGGTGGTCAAGCTTCTGTATCTTCTGCTTGACAGTAAGATGCGACGCATCTTTTTTGATGCTGACAGCCTTTCCGCGGCAACAGGCCATGTAAATGGAGTCCATGGTTGGAAGGTTGGCCTCCATGGTGGTCTGGGCTGAGCACTCCATCTTCTGTACTTGGCACAGCAGTTGTCATACCAGGCCGTTATGCACCCGGACAGTGTGCCTTCAATGGTGCATCTGTAAAACTTGTTGAGGGACGTTATGGTCATGCCAAATTTCCTGAGCTTCCTGAGAAAGAAGAGCCATTGTTGTGCCTTCTTGACCATTGCATCTATGTGGGAAGTCCAGGACAGGATGTCAGTTATCACACCTAGGAACTTGACGCTCTCAACCCCAGCGCTGTTGATGTAGATGGGGGCATGTTCTCCTCCCTTCTTTCTGTAGTCAATGATCAGTTCCTTAGTTTTGCCAACATTGAGAGAGAGATTGTTATCATTGCACCACGACATCAAGCCCTCTATCTCCTTTCTGTATTCTGACTCATCGTTGTTGTTTGATATCTGTCCTGCCATCGTGGCGTAAACAGCAAACTGGTCGATGGTTTTCGTTCGGAATTTGACAACACAGTCATGGGCATTCAGGGAGTACAGTAAGGGGTTGAGAACACATCCTTGGAGGCCTCCAGTGTTGAGTGTTATTGTGGAGAAGGTGCAGTTGTCTATCTTCACTGTTTGCAGTCTGTGGGTCAGAAAGCTGAGGATCCAGTTGCAGAGGGTGGAGCCTAGACTGGGCTCTCAGAGTTTTGAGATCAGTCTAGAGGGGATAATGGTGTTGATGGGGGAGATGTAGTCAATGAGCAGGGGTCTGACATAGGTGTCCTTGTTGTACAGGTGTTCCAGGAATGAGTGCAGGGCTATGGAAAACGGCACCCGCTGTGGACCTGTTACGTCAGTAAGCAAATTGTAGAGGATTGAGGCAGGCTGGGAAGCTAGAGTTAATGTGAGCCATGACCAGCCTCTCAAAGCACATTATGATTATGGAGGTCAGAGCCACTGGGTGGTAGCCATTAAGGCACAGTGCAAGTGCTTTCTTAGATACTAGGATGATGGTGGTCTTCTTGAAGCAGGCAGGGACTTCGGCTTGTAGGAGGGAGAGATTGAAGATGTCGGTGAATAACTCCACCAGCTAGTCCACACAGGATCCAAGTGCTCAGCCGGGGTCTCCATCCGAGCCCATCACTTTCCGTGGGCTGACTCTCAGGAAGACTGATCTGATGTCTGCAGTAACAGTGGGCACAGGTATGTCCAGTGCTGTGAGGGCAGGTGCTGCCCGGCCACTGGCATTCTGCTTGAACCAAGCATAGAAAGCATTGAGCACATCAGGGACAGATGTGTCTTTGTCCACTATTTTGCTTTGCTTCATTTTGTATCCCATATTGTTGTTTAGGCCTTGCCACAGGCAGCAAAATTCTATATGGTTGGTTTGGGCGTCTAACTTGGTCCAGTAGTGTCTCTTGGCATCCCTGATGGCTTTGAGGACGTCATATCTGGATTAGGTCTGGGTCATCCAACTTGAATGCTGCATGCCTGGTCTTCAGTGGGGAGTGGATTTCCTGATTCATCCAAGGTTTCTGGTTGGGGAACGTCCAGATTAACTAGTTTGGTACACAGTCCTCCATGCATTTGCTAATGGAGTCTGTGACAGTTGTTGCATACTCATCTACGTTTTTTGCTGAGAACTTGAATATGGTCCAGTCGACCTACTCCAAGCAGTTCCTGAAACAGTCTTCCACTGCCTCGGACCAGCATTGTACCTTTTTTGTGAAGCATCCTCCCATTTCAGCTTCTGCTTGTAAGCTGGGAGGTACAACATAGCGCTGTGATCTAATCCTCTTAAGTGTGGGCAGGGGAGGGAGCGGAAGGCGCCTTTGATGGTTGTGTAGCAGTGGGCCAGGACGTTCAGTCCTCTAATGGGGCAGGAGACATTTTGGTGGTACTTTAGCAGCACTCTCTTGAGGTTGGCTTGATTGAAGTTGCTAGTCACAATGAATAAGGCCTCATGGAATTTCTTCTCCAGAGTGTTTGCGGCAGTGTAAACTATATCTAGTGCACACTTCACATCTGCATGGGGCGGTATGTAAATGCTGTCAGGATGGCAGAAGTGAACTCTCACGGCAGATAAGAGGGATGGCATACATAAGATTTAGGAAACTGAAATCAGACAAAGCCCTTGAGGCATATCAAGGAAACAGTAAAGAATTAGGAGGGCTAGGAGCAACTATGAAATGTCCTTGGCAAGTAGTTTTAAGGGGCCATCCCCAGGCATTTTACAAGTATATTAGGAGCAAAAGGGTAGCTAGGGAAAAGGTAGGTCCACTCAAGGCAAAAGGAGGGAAGTTCATTAGTGAACCTGAGGAGGTGGGGGAGTACTTTGCATCGGTATTTAGTGAGAATAATGGTAAAATGAGGGAGGGGTATGTTGATACTCTTGGAAATGTCGATATTAGGGAGAGTTGGTGTTAGGTGTCTGGAAAAATATTAAAGGTAGATAAGTCCCAAGGGCCTGATGATCTATCCCAAGATACTGAGGGAAGCAAGGGAGGAAATTTCTGGGGCCTTGAAAGAGATTTTAAGCCACAGGCAAGGTCACAGAAGACTGGAGAATCGCCAATGTTGTTCCTTTGTTTAAGAAGGGCAAAAAAAGAGATAATCAAGAAAATAATAGGCTAGTGAGCCTTACATCTGTGGTGGGAAATAACTGGGGGAAAAAGTGTTAGGGACAAGAGTTTCCTCACATTTCGAAAAGAATGGATCGATTAAGGAGAGCCAGCATGGCTTTGTACGGGGGTGGGGGGAGAGGATTTTATTTCACAAATTTAATTCCTTTTCGAATAAGTGACAAGATAATTTATGAGGGCAGTGATTGTCGTCGACAAGGACTTTACTAAAGTATCCAACAAGGTCCCTCACGATAGCCTGGTCCAGAAGTCACATAGGATCCACGGTGAGCTGTTAAGTTGGATACAAAATTGGCTTGGTCATAGACGGGGTAGTTGTGGAGCCATGTTTTTCTGAGCAAGGTCTGTGACCCGTGGTGTTCTGCAAGGATCAGTGCTAGGACCTCTGTTGTTTGTAATATATATAAACAAATTGGATGAAAATGTAGGTGGTCTGATTAGTCACCTGCCAGCTTACATGAGAATTGGAGTTATGGATAGTGAGGAACGTTATCAAAGGATACAGCAGGATATAAATCCATTGGAAAGTTGTGTGGAGAAATGGCAGATGGAGTTTAATCTGGACAAATGAGAGTTAATGCATATTAGGAGGTCAAATGCAAGGGGAAAATATAAAGTAAATGGGAGGATCCTTCAGAGCATGGATACACAGACAGATCTTAGTCCATAGCTTCCTGAAAGCGGCTAGACAAGTGGATAAGGTGGTACAGAAGGTGTACGGCACATTTGTCCATCAGTTGGGGACGGAGAATGAAATTTGGGAAGTCATGTTGCAGCTGTATAAAACTTTAGTAAGGCCACATTTGCAGTATTGCTTGCAGCCTGGTTCCCATACTACAGGGAGGATATGGAGGATATGGAGGCTTTGGAGAGGGTGCAAAAGAGGTTGGAAGTTTCCTGGATTGGAGTTTTACTAGGTGTAAGGAGAGGCATATGAAATATGAGAGGCATGGATTGGATGCATGGTTAGAGTCTTTTTCCCCATGGTGGAAATGCCAAATACCAGGGGAGCACAGGTTTAAGGTGAGAGGGGGTAAGTTTAAAGGAGATTGTGTGGCAAGTTGTTTTTTTCTACAACGGAAGTGATAGGTACATGGAACACATTGCCATGGGAAGTGGTAGAAGCAGATAGTGGTAGATAGCAACATTTAAGAGGCATTTAGACAGACCTGAACAGGCAGGTAACAGAGGGATACAGACAATGTGCAGGCAGATGGGATTAGTTTAGAACAGCATCATATTTAGTGTAGACATAGTGGGCCGAAGGGCCTATTCCTTACTGTAGTGTTTTATGTTCTACACACATTCCAAAGAAAAACAAATTTCAAGGGGAGGACCCACCAGCCACAGCAAACTGAAAAAGATGCAATTAAATTTAAGGAAAAAACATGTAATTGCACAAACGTGAGTGACACATCAGAAGATTGGAGGGAATATAAAAGAATGACAAGATTAACAAGGAGGGATAAATACTGAATACGAGAGAAAGTTGGCTAGATTTTTTTTAAAAATACATTTCTGTAGATACTTAAAAGAGAAAAGAATTAACAAAATGACTGTTTGTTCTACAGAAAGGGAATCTGGGGAATTAATGGAAAGTAAGGAGATGGTATATGAATTGAATGGGTACTTTGCACTGGTTTTCACTGTAGGCGTAACAACTCACCAATCAGGAAGGAGGAGGAACTTACTAAAATTAATCAGAAAAGTGGCACAGAAAACAGCGGGACCTCTGGGCTACCAGGTCCCTGGGTAATGATGGACTTTGTCCTTGAGTCTTGACAGAAGTGACTAATGAGAGAGCTGACATTTAATTATTAACTTTCAAAAACTCCCTAGATTTGGGGAAGATTCCACTGGAAATTAGTCTTTATTCAAAAAGGGAGACAAAGCAAGAAGCTACAGGCCAGTTAGTTTTGAGAAAGTAAGAGGTGATATGGATGAAAAAAGACTTACTCAAATTAGATTTCACGAAGGCATTTGAAAAGGTGCCACCTCAAATGTTGAGGAAAATAAAAGTCCATGGTGTAGGTGGTAACATATTAACATGGATAGAAAATTGACTAGCCACCAGAAAACAGGAAACTTATAAATGGATAATTTTCTTGTTGGTAATGTGTTAACAAGTGGTGTGCCACAGGAATTAGTGATAGTAATTACAACCTATCTAAACAATCTGGACAAAAGGGCCAAAAGGTATGGCTGTTAAATTTGCTTGACACACAGACAATTCGAAGAATAAGTTATAAAGAGGATATAAGGAGACCACAAAGAGATATAGGTTAGTTAAACAAGTAAGCAAAGATCTGACAACTGGAGTATAATGTAGCAAAATATAAAATTATCGATTTTGGCAAGAAGAATAAAAAAGCATTTTATCCAAATGAGAGAGGTTGCAGAGCTCAGATAGAGGGATCTGGGTGTCCTAATGCATGTATTGTAAAACACTTCAAAATGCAGGGAAAACAAATAATTAGGAAACTAACAGAATGCTGTTGCGAATTGTGAGAGGTAATAAACATAACAATATGGAGGGCACACTTGTTATTTATGACATTGGTGATATCACAGCTGAAATATCATACATAGTACTGATCTTCTTGTCTAAAGATGGACATAAGTTTATTGGAAGCAGTTCTGAAGGTTTACCAGACTGATACTTGTTAAAAGCTGCAGAGCAGTCCATTGTTTAGGTTCTCCTTCCTTCTAACCTTATATCAAATCTCCAGCAAGTTTTAGTTACTTCAGTTTTCTGTGAATTATGATGGAGATGCTTTGGGATCTACAGATTTATGTCACAATTAACACTTCCTTAAAACAGCTTTGTAGCACAATGAACATATTGAATTTAACAACAATGACCTTTACCAAGTGTATCAAACAAGGAAATCTAGAGAACTGAATGATGAACTGGTCTAACCTGTAGTAACCTTAATATCCCAGAACTGCTCAAGATTAAACACACAACTCCTTACCTCTGCGCCCAGCCCCAAGGGGCGGGGGAGCTCCTGGGGGCCCGTGAAAATCAGGTCTACCTGGCAGTGGCTTAATTATTGAAGGTCTTTGGACTTGGGAAAGTTTCTGGCTCAATTCAATCATCCTGGAATGGCAAAGTGCAAACAATTAATTCCGTTCTATCTAAATATTTGATTTTAGTATAGATCATTCAAGCCGCTGTATCCACCCGAATGGTGAAAAAACTTGGCTTATTTATACTTCTACTTCATGTACCTTCATTTAATAAACTACCAATATCCACTGATACACAACCTACACACAGCTATAGATTCCAGCATCCTGTGACCTCTGGAATAGTAAATTCCATATTTCCAATACTCTCTTGCTAAATAGAAAGGCAGAAGGTATGTTGTTGTTTATTGTAAAGGGGACAGAAATTAAAAATGGGGATCAAAAACAGAATTTGCTCGAAAAGTTCAGTATCTGGCAGCACCTGTGAAGGAAAAAATCAGAGTTAACGTTTCGGTTCCAGTGACCATTCCTCAGAACTGACGGTAGCTAGGAAAACGTTCGTTTGTATGCAGAAGATAGGGAGGGGAAGGGGGAGGGGGTAGAGAGTAAACGATAGGATAAAGGACAGAGCACAAAGAGAGAGAAGGGCAGTTGGATAGACAAAGGAATTGATAACAATATGGCTAGGAGGGTGAATAGCTGTTAGCGGGGACTGTTCATGAGTAACAATAGGTGGTGTGTAATGGCAAACTGTGAGATAAGACGACCTGGTGTGTGGGATAGGGGATTAGGACAGGGAAGAATTTAGGCCCTAAAATTATTGAATTCGATATTGAGTCCGAAGGGCTGCAGGGTCCCCAAGCAGGAAATGAGGTGTTGTTCTTCCGGCTTGTGCTGAGCTTCGCTGGCACTCTGCAGCAAGCCTGAGGCAGAGATGTTGGCCTGGGAACAGGACGATGTGTTAAAGTGGCAGGCAACTGGAAGCTCAGGGTCTTTTTTGCGAGCAGAATGCAAATGTTCTGCAAAGATGGATTCCAACTGAAGTTTCATCCCTCATGTTTTGAATCCTCCCAGGATCACACATATCTCTGGGACGTTCAACATTCCATAGACAGCTGCTCTCGCCGCATCCTGAGATCCACACGCAGTGCCATGTGGCATCACATGCACACTCTTGACCTTTCTCTCCAACAGCATCGCATTGCATCGCATCACACTGGCTATGGGCTGCACCATTCTGCTGTTCCACTTCATCCTCCGGCTCATTCGTCGTGCTAACAAGAAGCTTTTTCTTTTCCTTTCAGGCATCAAGGCCCACCAGATGCAACAACACAGAACCTTCCTCCCCTTTCCTTCCCTCTGACTTCCTCCCCTTCCCCAACCCCACCTCCTGTCGGGTATTCACCATCCCTCCTAACCTTCCGCTCTCCAATGCTGAACGTTCTGTACTCAGCAAAGGCCTCAGCTTTATTCCTCTGCGTCCACCAGAACGAATTTCAGGCATGACATGACGTTGAACTCTTCTTCTGCCATCTTCGACTCTGGTTGCATTTCTTTGGACGAGAGTCCTCTCCCTGTCCCACAGACCCCTTTGCCCAGTTCCAACACTTTCCCTCCACCTGGGTCCCACCCTCAGGCCTTTTACCTGCACTTGATCTGTTCATTGAGAACTGTCAACCTGATACCGGTCACCTCAATTTCTCTGCTCCCCTCACCAAATCCTACCTATCTCTCTCTGCACTCTGTGTGCTTAGATCTAACCTGGACTTTGTTATTAAACCTGATGATAAGGGTGGTGCTGTTGTAATCTGGCACACTGACCTCTACATTGCAAAGGCTGAGCACTAGTTCTCAGATACCTCCTCCTATCTTCCCCTGGACCATAACCCCCACCACGACACATCAGACCACTGTATCAACCACTGTGACTGACCTCATTTCATCTGGTGATCTCCCCAACCTCCAAGCTGATAGACCCCAGCCCCGCACAGCTCACTTCTACCTCCGACCAAAAATCCACAAACAGGGCTATCCAGGCAGACCCACTGTTTCAGCCTGCTCCTGCCCCACAGAACTCATCTCTTCCTACCTTGACTCAGTCTTCTCTCCACTGGTGCAATCCCTGCCCACATACATCCATGATTCCTCTGACGCTTTACGACAGTTTCAAAACTTCCAGTTTACCGTCTCCAGCTGCCTCCTCTTTACCATGGATATTAAATCCTTTTACACATCCATCCCCACCAGGATGGTCTTAGGGCTCTCCGCTTCTTCCTGCAGCAAAGGCCTGAACCTTCCCCATCCAACACCGCCCTCCTCCGCTTTGCCGTGTTCCTCCTCGCCCTCAACAACTTCTCTTTTAACTTCTCTCATTTATTTCAGGTCAGAGGGGTGGCCATGGATACCCACGTGGGCCCTAGTTATGTCTGTCTCTTCGTGGGGTACATGGAACATTCCATGTTTCCAGTCCTATTCCGGCCCCAAACACAATTCTTTCTCCGACAATATCAATGATATATCATCGGTGCTGCTTCACTCTCCCGTCTGGAACTGGAAAAGTTCATCGATTTTGCTTCCATCTTCCACCCTGCCGTCACCTTCACCTGGTCTATCTCTGACTCCTCCCTTCCCTTCCTCAAAATCTGTTTCCATTTTTGGAGATAGACTGGCCACTAATATCCACTACTACCCACTGACTCCCACAGCTACCTGGACTATACATCCACACACCCTGCTTCCTGTGAAGGCTCCATCCCATTCTCTCAGTTCCTCTGTCTCCGTCACGTATGTTCCGATGAGAACAACTTCGACAAGGGAGCCTCTGAAATGTCCACATTCTTCCTCAACCGAGGATTCCCCAGCGCTGTCGACGACAGGGCCCTCAACCAGGTCCGATCCATCTCCCACACTTCAGCCCTCACCCCTTCTCTTCCCTTCTAAAACAGCGATAGGGTTCCCCCTTGTCCTTACCTACCATCCCACCAACATCCACATCCAGAAGATCAGATGCCATTTCCACCACCTCCAGCGAGATGCCACTATTAGACACATATGCCCCTTCCCTCCCCGGTCCATGTTCCGCAGAGACAGTTCCCTCCGGGACACCATGGTCCACTCCCAACATTTCCCCACAGCCCCATGGCACCTACCTTGCAACAGGCAAAGGTGTAACACCTACCCATTTACCTCCTCCCTCCCCAGTAACCAAGGGCCAAAGCATTCCAGGTAAAGCATCCATGATTCTTCTGACGCTTTACACCAGTTTCAAAACTTCCAGTTTGCAGGCACCAGCCATCTACTCTTCACCACAGATGTATAATCTCTCTACATATCCATCCCCAATCAGGATGGTCTCAGGGCTTTCCACTTCTTCATGGAAAGTAGGCCTGAACCATCCTCTGCCTGGCCAAGCTTGTCCTCACTCTGACCAACTTCTCCTTTAATTCCTCTCTTGTTCGGAAATGGAAAGATTTTATCAATTTGGCTTGCAATTTCCACCATGCGCTCACCTTCAACTGGTCCACCTCTACCTCCTTCCTTCTTTCCCTTCAGTGAAATCTGTTTCCATTTTGGAGGATAGACTGGCCACCAATATACACCAGAAACCCAGTGACTCCCAGTTACCTCAACTATTTATCCTCATTCCCTTGTCGCAGTTTCTCCACTTCCACCACATCTGTTCTCATGCCACCTTCTGCAGCAGGCATCAGAAATGTCCACCTTTTTCCTCAGCTGGGGTTTCCCCGTCACCGTGGTTAACAGGGCCTTGAACTACTTCCGACTCACTTCCTGCACTTCTGCCCTCCCACAACAGCAATAGGCTCCCACAGTTCTCACTTTCCACCCCAACACTATCTATATCCAAAGGATCATAAGCTGCCATTTCCAACACTTCCAGCGGGATGCCATCACCAGATGTAAATTCCCCTCCCCTCCCTTGTCATCATACCACAGGGATTGTTCCTCCAGGACACATCAGTCCACTCCTCCTCCATTGCTAACACTTCCCCTTGCAATTGCAGCAGGTAATGACACTTGCCCATTTACCTCCTCCCTCCTCACTATCCAGACACACCACTCAATCTAGTCCACAGTATTCCCTGCTCACGAAGTGGTCTCCTCTACACTGGGGAGACAAAATGCAGATTTGGTGACCACTTTACAGAACAGCTAAATCCTGTCAGTAAAAATAACCCCAAGTTTCTAGTTGTCTGCAACTTCAATGCAGTACCATGACCCCTGGCCAATATTTGTGTCTCGGGCTTGCTGCAGTGCTCCAGCAAGGTTCAGCACAAGCTGGACCAACAGGATCTCATCTTCCACTTGAGCTTCAGGACTCAATACAGACTTCAATAATTTTAAGATTTGAACACCACCTTCCATGCCCTTCACCCACCCAACAATCCAGGGCCTGTCATCACATGGGCTGTTTTGGCACAGATGACCCATTTTTACCAACTTGCTGTCTCCATTATCAGGTTTTCGCTCCATCCTGGCTTACTATCAGCCAGTCTTTTGTCCACCTGTCTTTCTTTCTCTCCAGGTTCTATCCCCAACTATTCACTCACTCCTTTACCCTCACCCCAACTCCCCCAATCGTCAGCATAAATACCATCTTCTCTCAGCTACTATCAGTTTGTGAAGAAGGGTAACTGTGCTTGAAATGTTAACTCTGTTTTCTCTCTGCAGATGCTGCCAGGCCTGCTGAGTTCCTCCGGCAATTTTTTTTTATTTCTCTTTCAAATTTTCAGCATCCACAGTTCTTGGTTTCATTGAACAGATTCTTGACTGATAACAGGTCAAAAAGGAAATCAAGAGTAAACTGGAAAATACAGGCCATAATCAGACAACCGACAATCTTATCAAACGACACAGCAAGCTCAAGGTGCCAAATAGCCTACTCTTGGTCCTATTTTGTACATTCATATGATATCCTCCATCCTGATTTCACTTCTGGATCTGTTGCCTATGTTCTAATTTCTCTCAAAGGAATTTTTTCCAATAATTTTTGTTGAACGTATTAATTATTTTAAATAGCGGGGTTAAAGTACCAACCATCTAGGTTTAAGGTAATGTTAGTAATGTTTATGCATTCCCATTTAAACCCTTAAGCCTCAGTGTCACACTTGCAAATCTATGCTATACTGCTCCATGTGCACAGACCTTTCCAAATATCTTATAGTCAGAACTGAACACAGGACTCCAGATGGGGTCCAACAAATTGTAGCATCACTTTTCACAGTTTAAAATCACTTGTTCAATTTTGAATTCAAACAATTTTGAGATAAAACCTAACATTCATTAAGCTTGTAACTTACTTTTGTTCTGCATCTTAATTTTTGTTGATGGATGGATAGATTTCCATTTCTCCAATTCCAAATCTCTCACCATTAATAAAATATTCTCATTCGTCTTTTTCAGATCCCACACACTGAACTCCATTCTTCATAGTTCTGTCCTTTAAGAAACTATGTCCCTTTATACCTTCCTGTTCACATCTACACAACTTACTATGCTTTCTGAAAACCTGGCTACACAACAATCCACTTCATTCCAGTTATTGATAAATATGACAAAATTGAGACAAATTGAGAATTGACAAAATAGAAGCCTAAGGACCACATTCCATCCTGCCAGTTCTGATTATCCTTAGTCTTAGCTTCCTGTTGCTCAAACAATTACCAATAAAGGTCACAAAATTCCCACCCATTTTGGGGGCAATCACTTGTATGCAATATTAAACATTCTTGGAGGTCCAAGAATGCATAGTCACTGCGTTATTCATCATGTTAGCAAACTCAAAACATACCCATCCTGTACTGATCCATCTGAGATGTAAATGAAGCATTGGAGACAATTACAAATAATAGCACTTACTTCTGCCTCAAATTTGCAGTCTCCCGCTTTTCTTCAGTGAGCGTTCTTTCAGCTGAACGTGCACTCAGCTGTTACAAAATTAGAAATTTAAATTTTTTAAAAATGTCATCAGTTTGTCCGTTTTTCCAACAGTAAATTATTTCATTAAAAAAACTATCCATGTAAATTTTAATGCTATAAATGCAGCTTATTGACTGAGGCACAAAGATGCAAATTAATTTGCATATTCCAATGTAGTCCAGTACCTGAATTACAATATTTTTTCTGCTGAATGACAATTATTGAAACATGTGTGATGGAAGGTGTATAATTTATAAATATTGCTTGACAGTACAGAACTTAAATATTATTAAAATATAACTGAAGCTTTTCATCTTGCACTCGTCAGATACAGGACACAAAAAACAGACTTGAGAAAAGGGGCACCGTTTTTATTTAGCATAAGATGATGCTGTTGGTTGTTTAGGTCATCAGTGGCTGGGAGATGCAACAAAAACCTTGAACTGGCAATCTTAATTCTCAGATTGGTCAGGGTGTTGCCTATGGCATTGGGTTTTTTTTTTAAAATAAAGTCAGAGAATCCTTCCAAAACAGTGACTAAATCAAGCATTTTGACAGAAACCAGGTAGCTGCAGACCCAGGTGTTAATCAAATTTTTTATTTTAATTCACTTGTGCGATGTGGCGTCTCTGGCTGGCCAGCATTTACTGTTGGGCTGCGTTCTTGAACCACAACAGTCAATTGTATTCGCACGCATCTACTGCCTTTGGGCTCCAGATGGGGGTGGTCATGAGATTGAAAGTGCTGTCTAAGGATCTTTGGTGAATCTCTGCAGTGCATCCTGTAAATAGTACACACTGCTGCAATTGCGCATTGACGGTGTACGGAGTTGATGCTTGCGGATGTGGTGCCAATCAAGCAGATTGCTTTGTCCTGGATGGTGTCAAGTTGAGTGTTGTTGGAGCATACCCATGCAGACAGAGATAGTGGGAACTGCCGATGCTGGAGAATCTGAGATAACAAGGTGTAGAGCTGGATGAACACAGCAGGCCAAGCAGCATCAGAGGAGCAGGAAAGCTGACGTTTCAGAAATCTTCTGAAGCAGCGTCCGGACCCGAAACATCAGCTTTCCTGCTCCTCTGGTGCTGCTTGGCCTGCTGTGTTCATCCAGCTCTACACCTTGTTATCCCATGTAGACATGTGCTTTATTTCATCACACTCCTGACTTTTACCTTTAAGATAGTGGACAGGCATGGGATGTCAGGAGGGGAGTTACTCGCCACAGTATTCATAGGCTCTGAGGAGAGTATTCCATCACACTCCTGACTTGCGCCTTGTAGACAGTGGACAAGCTTTGGGGAGTCAGGCAGTGAGTTACTCGCTACAGTATTCCTAGCCTCTGACCTGCTCTTGGAGCCACTGCGTTTATGTGTCAAGTCCTGATGAGTTTCTGGACGTTGGTAGCCAAGGTTGTCGGTAGTGGGGGAATGCAGCAATGGCAACACCATTGGATGTCAAGGGGTAGTGGTTAGGTTGTCTCTTACTGGAGATGGTCACTGCTTGGTATTTGTGACCTAAATGTTACATGCCACTTGTCAGCCCAAGCCCAAGCCCAAGCCCAAGCCTTGATGTTGTCCAGATCTTGTTGCATTTGAACGTGAATTGCTTCAGTCACGAATGGTACTGAGCACTGTGCAATCAGTAGCAAACATACCCACTTCTGACCTCAAGATGGAGGGATAGTCATTGATGCAGTAGCGGAGTACGGTTGAGCCTAGGACACTACCCTGAGAAACACCTGCAGAGGTGTCCTGGAGCTAAGAGGACAGTCCTCCAACAACCACAATCATCTTCTTACATGCAATGACTCTAACCAATGCCCACCGATTCCAGTTTTGCTACAGCTCCTTCACACCACACTCCATCAAATGCAGCTGTGACGTTGATGGTCATCACTCTCACCTCACCTCTGGAATTCAGCTCTTTTGTCCATGTTTGAACCAAGACTGTGAATGTGGTCAGAAGCTGAGTGGAACCCAAACTGGTTGTCAGTGAGCAAGTTATTGTTGAGCAAGTGCTGCTTGATAGAACTGCTTATGACACTTTCCATCATTTTATTGATGATCAAGAGTAGGCTGATGGGCAGTAACTGACCGGGTTGGATTTGTCCTGCTTTGTGCATACAAAACATATCTGGGCAATTTTCCACATTGTCGGGTAGATGCCAGTGTTGTAAACTGTACTGAAAGAGATTAGCTGGGGGAGTGGCAACTTCTGAAGCACAAGTCTTCAGTAGTATTGCCTGAATGTTGTCAGGGCATATAGCCTTTTCAGTATCTAGTGGAACAGACTGAATTGGAAGGTATCTTTGATGCTGGATCCACTGGATGAGACTGAGATGGATCATCCACTGGGCACTTCTAGCTGAAGGCTGTTTGAATGCTTCAGCCTTATCTTTTGTACTGATGTGTTGGGCTCTTCCATCATTGAGGTTGGGGATATTTGTGGAGCTTCCTCCTCCAGTGAGTTGTTTAATCGCTCACCATCTTCCACAACTGGGCATGGCAGGACTGCAGACCTTAGATGTGATCTGTTTGCTGAGGGATCACTTAGCTTTGTCTATCACTTGCTGCTTATGCTGTTTGGCATGCAAGTACTCCTGCTTGGTCGCTTCACCAGGCTGATACATCATTTTTAATTAGGTCTGGTGCTGCTCCTGGCATCTCCTCCTGCACTCTCCAGGTCAAGAGATTCAATAAAGTTTTCATAAGATAAGAGAATACTATTTCCTCTGGCTGAGATCCAACAATGTAAAAACATCAATTTACATGCACAAGTAAGGACAGGTTCAGAGAAATTTATTTCCACAGATGACGACTGGAATACGAGATTCTTTGCCACAAGTACTTGAGGCAAATATTACATATTTTAAAAAACAGGACAGTGGAATTAGAATATTCTAGTGAAGGGATAGGCCAAATGGCCCCCTTCTGCACTATAAGTGAGAAATAATGCGCAGGCATGGTCTTTAATAAAGGAGGAAATAAAGGGGGCTTTGAAGTGGTGACAAGGATATCTGGGTAAATTTCAGTAGATTCAAGAGGAGGACATATTCTGATAACGTCACTCACTCAGCTAAATTCTATTCAAGTAGAACAGCATCTCTCCAACCAAACTGCTATTAGAGACTAACCATCCTTTCTTGAGCAGAAAACAAAGAAATATAACCTAAAGTTACTGTTTCAATCTACAGACAACAGTCTGATCTGGGGCAACAAATTCAAACATCCACACTCACCCAGTTTTCGTGAGCCTTCTTCTCATGTGCAGCAATCTGGAAAATAAATTTAACAAGTATTTTCTCAAGAACACAAGTAACCGTAAAATGTTAATCTATGAAATGAATGCATCCATATGGGATTCACCATAGATAATTACATTAAAAGAGAGAAAAATACAAAAGCGCATTTATTTTTACACAGATGTGATTGAAAGCAAGCCATCTTCATTATGCATTCAGAAGTATCTTTGTAAAAGCAAAGGGCACCAGCGAGATCCATAAAGCATATGGTAAGGAAGCCACAAAGCCTTTTCAGTCACTGCTAGAGAATCCAACTCCTTGCAGCACAGTCACAATGATGTAAATTCAAGAAAAGGCAAAAATAATAAGAAGAAAAACCGATAGAGTTTCAGGAAAATCTTTGAGAAATTTGTTCTCGAATTAACATTCTTCCCAATTACTTCAGAAAACTTAAACATTTGTCTAATACAATTTGCCTTTCTTAAATCTATGCTGGCTGCTCTTCATTTTTTTTAGGCCAATATCTATGTTACACATGTGACAACGAGAATCTTATCAACTAATCCAACGCTACAGGCTGAGGGAGAAAGTAAAGCTGGGAAAGCTGTTCAAAGGCCCCAATCCAGAGGGTTCGTTGAGATGACCAAACTTGCTTGTCAGGTTTTTCCGTAGTTCTTCTCAGCACTTCAGCTGTGGAGAGAGGCTGTAAAGGTTCAGGTTGTTTTCTTTAGGGCGGATAAGGCTGAGGGGGGGACCTATTGAGGTGTATAAGATTACAAGGGGCATGTTTAGGATGGATAGAAAGCAGTTGTTCTCCTTGGTTCAACAGGCAATAATGAGAGGATCTGAGGAAAAAAGTGTTTTCTCATAGGTGATGGTGAGAATCTGGAATGCAGTGTGTGTGAGGGTAGTTGAGGTAGAAAACCTCAACCTTTTCAAAAAAATACATGGATGAGCAGTTGGAAGTATCAGAACATGTAAGGCTACGGGATAAGTGCTGGAAATTGAGTTAGATGGGTCTGCACAGACTCAATGGGCCAAAGGGCCTCTTGTGTGCTGTATGACTCTGAGCATCCTCTCCAGGCTCTTTTCACTTCTTCACAGAAGGCACTAACCATTGATACATCAACTGCAAAGTCTCTTAGTTATTGTTTAAAGGCCACAGATTACAGCAACTGGTGAAGCAAAATTAACTGGCTTTCTTCAGGCTTTAGGCATTTTACTGAAAAGATTAACCTTTCAAGCAGTCTGAACACCTATAAGCTGTTTGGTTACACAGGGGCCAATCAGATAGTTGCCAAGCTGATGGTCTTTGTCATCCACAAATGGTCACAACTCCACACACTAATCAGCAACTCATTGCCAGCTGTATTGCACTTTGTACGCACCCACTCATGCTAGCCCATCCACAAACTGCTTCCCCCACTGCTTGAACAAAGCAGGTTAAACGACATCTACTTCTACCGCAGTCCCTGATACCTTGAAGACTGAACAATGTCATTAAGTATTACACAACCACCAGATATCCTTCCCATTACCTGATTTTTGAAAGATCTCTCAGTCTTATGTAGCTCTTCCTCCATCTCCTGAATTCTTTGTCTAATAATTCAAAACAAAAGGTCATTAGCAAAGCAAAAGAAATTTTTTCCAGTTTAAGCCAACACCATAGCTGGGAGGGTACCTCAAGCAAAAAAAAAGTGAGGCTCTGATAGTAGTATAGCTGAATGAAACCTGTAAGTTACAGAGAGCACAGTCATTTCTTAAATATGCTGGAACTTTCACAAATTGAATGTCAAAGAAAGCAAGGACAATATTGCTAGCACATGGCTTCAGTGAACTTCAATACTATCTAACATTGGGTGCAAATGAACAAAGGCTGTTAGGCTCAGAGGCAGAAGCAACAGAGTGGAACGGCAACTTTATACAGCATCTTTAATGTTGTGAGATGAACCAAGATGCTTCAGAGGATTGTAAACAAACAAAATTTGACACTGACCAACATAAGGAGATACTTGGGAAGACGACTAAAAGCTTAGTCAAAGATGCAGGTTTTAAGAAGTCATGATGAGACTTAGAGATGGAATTAGGCAGCTTCAGGCATTGCCATTTGGAGGCATGTCAATTATGGACAGAGTAAAACCAGAGATAAATAAAAATCCAGAATTAGAAGAGCAGAGAGAGCAAAAAAACTGACGAGGTTATAGATAGGGAACAAGGAGGCTTAGACAGGAGTTTGCCAGAAAAAATTTAAAATAAAAATAATTTCAAAATAGAGCTGTTGCTTAATCAGGGGGCAATCCAAGTCATCTAAGTTAAGGTTCTTACATGAATGAAACTTGATGAGAGCTAAGTTTCAGGTGACTTTAAATTTACAGACAGTGGAAGGCAGGCCAGGACTGCACAAAACAGATAACCTGATTCAAACTAATGACAACAAAATATTTTAATGAGCACCAAAACTGGCATTACACCATCTAGTTAAAATAGAATGGATACCACTAGTACTAAAAACAGTCAACAGAAGGTGTGAACTGAGGAAAGGCTAGAAAAACTTGGGACTATGTTCTTGAAAAGAGATGACACGGTGGAACTGAGATATGCAGGGAAGGTGAATATAACACTCTACACTCCAATCTGAACCAAAAGAGTAGCACTATAATTCAAACTGATGACAGGCAGAGATACGGACTTTTCCCCTTACACACGGGGTGATCCACAAGTGAAACGGACTTCCAGTTTGATTAACGGAAACAAGAGACATTGGAGTCATGAGAGAGACTAGGCCAATAGTGTCATGTTGGTTGAGGAAATAAAGGGGGCAGGGTGGACGATGCCTGGACAGGTGAAGTAAGATGAATCAAATGGTTTCCCTCTACAACTCTAACTCCTCTTTCACCATGTCCAAATTGTAACCAGGATCTGGACAGCTTTTAATTATACAATACACAAGGTGAAATGTGTTAGTTTTGATATCTACTGAACAGGGTCTCAAACCTCACTCCAAATTTTATTCAATTAAAAAGCATGTATTAATGTCAAATATTAAGATACACTGATACACATCTTCACATACAATTTAAAATCTCAGTTGTGGAGTGACTGCTCTTGACTACAAGGCATTTCAGTGTGGAATAACAGACACGCGAGAGAGTCAAGAACCTCAACTCTCAGATCCTAATGTCAGCCCTGAGCAAACAGTGCTATTTCCTAATATGTAGGTACAAAAGTGATAACCTGACAAACTAATGGCAACAAAATATTTTGACGTGCACCAAAACTAGCATTACACCTTGTCTAGTTAAAATAGAATGGATACCACTGGTACTAAAAACGCAGTTAATAAAAGCTCGTACTAAAACTACTGAGCATTCTCTAGTGCATTTTAATCCAAGTCAGAAAGTTTAGGGTTCATGGTCATTCCAGACACTTGAACATGCAACCTCGATTGATATTTTGGTAGCCTCTTTCACATAAGACCTCAGAAGCCCTGCATGCCTTTCCAGGTTGGTGCAAAACAGCCCACAGCAGTATTTTGACAAGTAGCCAGGGTGTTCCTAATTTTCACCCCTCAACTCATATTATTTAAGTAGGTTATCTGGTCATTTACTTCCTCGCTGTTAATCACAGCTAGTTCTGCATAATTAGCTATTGTGCTTCTCGCATAAAAGTGGCAACAGTTCACAGAGCTCTTAATTGGCTGCAAGCATTTTGCACACATTCACGATTTATGTGAGATTACTGTGAGGCATCCCATGGTGACATGAAAAATCATGTAACTACTAACTTGTACATCTTCACTTCCTCAACAGCCTGGAGTGCTTTTTCATCAGCTGCAGATAGTTTCAGTTCCTTCTCTTGACGCTGACACTCTTCTTGAGTCAACCTCCTATAAGGGTAGGAAATAGTAAACAGAGGTTATACTCTGATATAAAAAGGACACAAAGCCACCAATGATCACAAACTGTTTTCAACACACTTCATTTATTTTTAGAAACAATCACCACTAATATCCTTCAGGGAATGAAATCCACCAACCTCACCAGGTCTGACCTAAGTGTGATCCCAGACCCACAGCAAACGTGGGTGACTCTCAATTGCCCTAGCCAGCAACTCAGTTTATCAATCGCGAGAAAATCTCAATAAATGAAACTGGGCGGACCTCACCTAGCACTGACTTAGGCAGCGTTAAAGACAACGGCAGAAACAGCCCCGGTGACTCTGCCAAGTCCTCCTGACTAACATCTGCGGCTAGTGCCAAAACTGGGAGAGGTCTCTCACAGACAAGTCAAGCACCAGCCTGACTCAATCATACTCTCAGAATCATCCATACACAACCATCACTGGATATATCCAGTCCCACCAGCAGGACAGATCCAGCACAGATAGGGGCACAGTGGTATACAGTCAGGAGAGAACTGCCCTGAAAAGCCTCAACATTAACTCTGGACCTGAAGAAGCCTCATGGCTTAGATTAAACATGGGCAAGGAAACCACCTGTGGATTGCCATGAACCATTCTCCCTCGACTCTGTCGGCCTGCACGTGAACAACACTTGGAGGTGGCAAGGGCAAAAAACATAGCAATGTGCAAAGTTGCCCAGGTATGCCCTGTACACAAAAAGCAGGACAAATCCAACTCAATCAATTACTGCACCATCAATCTACTTTTAATTAGCAGTACAGTGAAGGAAGGCGTCATCAACAGTGCTATCAAGCAGCACCTGCTCACTAATGCCCATTTTGGGTTCTTCCGGGACCACTCAGCTCCTGACCTCATTTAAGCCTTCGTTCAAATATGAACAAAAAAGGTTGATTTCCGTCACAGGTTGGGAAGGTGCTGTCTAAGGATCTTTGGTGGATTTCTGCAGTACATCTTGTAGATAGTACACACTGTTGCTACTGAATGGATATGGTGCCAATCAAGTGGGCAACTTTGTCCAGGATGGTGCCAAACTTTTTGAATATTGCTGGAGTTGCACACATCTAGGCAGTTGGGGTGTATTCCATCACACTCCTGACTTGTGTCTTGTAGACAGTGACAGGCTTTGGGAAGTCAGGTGGTGAGTTAGTCACTGAAGTATTCCGAGCCTCTGGCCTGCTCTTGTAGCCACTGTATTTATGTGACAAGTCCAGTTGAGCTTCTGGTCAATGGTAACCCCAAGATGTTGTTACTGAAGAATTCAGTGATGGTAACACATTGAATATCATGCAGCAGTGGTTAGATTGTCTTTTATTGGAGATGATCACTGCTTGGCATTTGCATGGCATGAATGTTACTTGCCACTTGTCAGCCCAAGCCTGGACTTAGTCCAGGTCTTGTCGCATTTGAACAGAGACTCTTCAGTTTCTGAGGAATCGTGAATGGTGCTGAACATTGTCTACTCCTGCAGAGATGCCCTGGAGCTGAGATAGCTGACCTCCAACAACAACATCATATGGTACATGCCACCTTCTCGGCCCTACACTCACCCCTGGAACATGTGGATAACACGGATACCTGTCAGACTCCTACTCATTGAAGGCAGAGCTGTAGGCAACACTATAATTCCAACCAAACTAATCTCCAAACTCCGAGACCTAGATCTCAGCTCCGACCTGTGCAACTGCATCATCGCGTTCCTGACCCACAGACCACAATCAGTGAGAATAGGCAACTGCACCTCCTCCACATCAGTCCTCAACACCAGTTCGCCGCAAGGATGTGGATGCAGCCCCTCACTGTACTCCCTGAACACTCATGACTGTGTCGCCAAATTCTGTCTTAACTCCATCTACAAGTTTGCCGACAACATCACCGTTGCAAGCCGGATCTCAAACAATGACAGGACAGAATACAGGAAAGAGATAGAGTGCTTTGTGGAGTGGTGTACAGCTAACAATCTCTCCCTCAATGTCAGCAAAATAAAAGTGCTGGTCATTGACTTCAGGAAGCAAGGCGGAGAGCACGCCCCTAACTACATCAATGGAACTAAGGTGGAGATGGTCAAGAGTGTCAAGTTCTTAGAGGAGTGACAATCACCAACAGTCTGTCCTGGTCACCCACATTGATGCAATGGTCAAGAAGGCACAACAATGTCTCTACTTCCTCAGGAAGCTAAGGAAATCCGGCATGTCCGTAAGGACTCTGAGCAATTTTTATAGATGCACCACAGAAAGCATTCTATACAGATGCATTACGACTTAGTGCAGTAACTGCTGTGCCCAAAATCATAAGATACTACAGAGAGTTGTGAACACAGCCCAGTTCATCATGCAAACGAACCTCCCATCCAGTGACTCTATCTATACTTCTTGCTGCCTCAGAAAGGCAGCCAACATAATCAAAGACCCCTCCCACCCCCGTTGGTTATAATCTCTTCCAGCAGACAGAAGATACAAAAGCTTAAAATACACAGACCAACAGATTCAAGAACAGCGGACTTCTGAAAAGACCTCTCAAATTTCAAATTTAATGTTTATCTCGCTCTCTATCTGCCTTCTCTGCAGTCGTAACATTGTTTTCCTCATTTCGTTCTGTTACCTTTATGCACGTTGTATGGTATGATCTGCCTGTACGAAATGCAAACCAAACTTTTCACTGTACATAGGTGTACGTGAAAATAATAAATCAAATCAAACCAAACCATCTTATGTGCCAGGTATGACTCCAACCAACAGTGCTTGCTCCTGATACCCACTGATTCCAGTTTTGCTCGTGCTACTTAATCCACATGCAGTCGAATGCAGCCTTTATGTCAAAGGCTTTCACTCTCACCTCACCTCTGGAATCCGCTGTTTTGTCTATGTTTGAACCAAGGCTGTAATGAGGTCAAACTGGGTGTCAATGAGCAGGTTATTGTTGAGCAGGAACAAAAACAGAATTTGCTGGAAAAGCTCAGCAGGTTTGGCAGCATCTGTGAAAAGAAACCAGACTTAATGTTTTGGGTCCGGTGACCCTTCCTCGGTTTCCCACAACTGAACAGAATATTAACTCTGATCTCTCTTCACAGATGCTGCCAGACCTGCTGAGCTTTTCCAGCAACTTCTATTTTTGTTTGATTTACAGCATCTGCAGTTCTTTCGATTTTTATTGTTGAGCAGGTGCTGCTTCATAGCACTCCTGCTGACACCTTCCATCATTATACTGATGATCAAGAGTAGACTGAAGTGGTGGTAATTGGCCGGTTTGGATTTGCCTTGTATTTTATGTACTGGACATAGCTGGGATGTGATACAGAAACTAATGACAAGAATGATCCCTGCATATTTTCAGTTTTTGATGAGGTACCTGGCAACATTCACAGTAGCTACAATAGGTCTTGCTGTTCGAGATGGAAGAGAGAATGTGCTCCTACTATACCTGATCCCGTATGTGGACAGAATGGAGCACCTGGACATGCACATGTTGAACTGTACCCCAGCAGAAGCTTCGTGTTGCTGGAAGCTGTGTGTTTTGGAAAATTTGTATGGGATAAAAGGTGGCTCTCAAACGTCATCACATGTCCATGAATTCACTGGTGTTAACCTCCCAATACCATAACTTACTGAAATTCAACAATAATTCTATTAGTTTGTAGGCGTAATTGAAATTCTACAAGTCAATTTTCATTCATATCAGTCATCCTGCTTGCTTACGTATGCCATTCATCTGGGTCCAGTAAACTGTGTCAATACTGCTGGAAATGTGCAGAGTTTCACCAACCTAACAGGAGGTTGTCAAACAAGCATGGTTGTGAAACCCTACTTCTTTTCTTTCATTTTCTTCTGCTTTATCAAGCCAAGCAATTGCCTTCAGACTTGCTGATATCACATGGCACAACACATTCCTCTGTCACTTTCCTGCACAGGTTGGCTAAACATGAGAATTTAGCAAGAATGTAGAGGAAACGTAAGCCAGTATTGCACCGCTGGGCTGTTGCACTTCTTTCTTCCTTGTCCTGTCGCATATATAGTCATTAGCCATCCATTAGCTTTTCCACCTTATCACAAATTTCTGAATGATAATGTGACCACATGATTACTTCACAACTAAACGGATAATATTCAGCAAAACTTCTCCTCTAAATCGGTACTGATCCTTACAACTTTAAATGTCGTTAGATTAGAAGACTATTTCCAGCAATAAGTTACATAATTTCTGTTGCCTTTTCATCCAATAACTCAGTTCAGAAGTTAAAACATAAAAGGCTGAGTACACAGCAGGTCAGTCAATCTCTGAAATGGAAAGGTTAAAGTTCCAAGCCAGATCTTTCAAATACACACTGCTCGGTTCAGTAACTCTAGGACTTTCAGCTTCTCATTTGGCATCATAACGCTCAAATCTGTTTAACTATGCTGGCAACAGCTATTACTATTGTCAGCACTTGTTCATAAAGGACGGCAAAAATCTCGTTTGTCATCACTCAATAAGTCTTTGCAATTTTTTAATCAAATCCCTGTGAACATAGGTGGCCGTTTCAACGCTAAAAATAACAGAATCTATTCAAGAGTGGATACTAATTCAATTTCAGTTAACTCATCTAATTCTATCCCTGTAAATCCTTTTATATCCTGCCATTATAAGCATTTACCCAGCTCACCTTAAAATGATATTATCTGCTGTGGTACAGCAAACACTTAAGCAGCCTGGCAAAAACAAAAATTTCAAACTTAACCCTCTCATTCCTCTAGTGTTAAGGCAAGGTCTTGTTAGCAAATCACAGACTTACTTTTGCAGGGCCATCTCCTTCTGGTGGTAGAGCTCAGACAGGATCTCCAACTTCTGTTGCATGGTTTTATACTCATTCTCAAGCCTTGACTTCTCTGTTGTAGTCGCTACAAAGTGGTGTTCAAGCTGCTTAATTTGCTCTAGATGAAGAAGGTTAATTAAAATGAGTGGTATTATTTTTAATAAGTTATTTTATCTCTCTTTTTCATCATCGCAGTCTTTTCACAGAATGCACAGCTCTTGGCAAAAGAGTGGGAAACTCAACTGGCTTCAATGGTTGAAGGAGGTCAGAAAGTGCTATTTTTAAAAAGATTTGCTATGCTTTCAGTGGGCCTGGGTTTACAATTTATTTCTCCTCTCAAGAAATTACATTTGGGGAGGCAATGGCCTAGTGGTATTATCGCTAGAATATTAATCCAGAAACTCAGCTAATAATCTAGGAACCTGGATTCAAATCCCACCATTGCAGATGGTAGAATTTGAATTCAATCAAGAATCTGGATTTAAGGGTCTGATGATGACCGCGAAACTGTTGTCAATTATCAGAAAAGCCCATCTGGTTCACTAATATCCTTGCATGAAGGAAATCTGTCAGCATTACCTGGCCCATCCTACGTATGACTCCAAACCCACAGCCATGCGATTGACTCTTAATGCCATCAGGGCAATAAATGCTGGCCTAGCTAGAGACACCCACATTCCATGAGTGACTAAAAAAGAATGCTAAGGAGGTCATCTTTTGCTTTTCATCTTTATTCTTATGTACAACGGTAGGATGAGCTGGCAGCTTAATCCTCGACTCATGCTGGCCTGTTGTGTAATTGGCAACTGGAAATGTTCAAGCACAGCTGAAATCAGGATCATTATGGGCTGCTAATAAAATTGTTTTTCATTAACATGAGACTAGTCAACTATCCTATTATTGTCCGCCTACTGGTTTCTCTCACCAATTGGTAGGAGAGGTTAGTCACTGCACCGTGAATTTTTTTTTCTATTTTCTGGACAAAAAGACCTACCTATACTCTATTGGGAGTGACAGTTTCACTGATTTAACATGTTCACAGAGACTAAAGAAATGATGGATATTCTTCCCCAAAATATTCGTTGATAAATCAGGTGTAGATTTAAATGTATGGAACAATTTCAATCATAAGTTCTCTCCCCATCAGTATGAGACAAATTGCTTTCAATGGGCAGCAAAACATACAAGTCTTAATTCTCTGTCGAATTAGCCTAACACATCTGAGGTGACAAATAGGTTACATCTAGCCTCGGTTCCATGAATAATTGGAGAATATGTTGTGCAAATTCAGCATCGCCCCTTTCCCCTCCCCCCACCCCCGAAATTGTTTGAGCAAACTTTGACTAACTTCTACAAAAACGACACCTTACCTTCGAGTTCATGCCTAGCTTTTATTTCATCTGTCAGCTTGGCTTGGAAATGATCTTTTTCTTCTTCAATGATTTTCAAGGTGGTTTGTACCTTAAGAAGAAGATTGAAGAGAGAATGACGCTCCCATACATCCAGCAACAGAATGCTGCCATCCTAAATAAACATACACACACACTTTATTTCCCTATGACTTACCCTTGAAACATCCATCATTTGCTGAATCTTCATTTTTATCCTTTTACTTTTGTCTAAAGAAAAAACACATTTGGAGAATTATTTGATACAGTCAAACTGGAAATGACAAAGTATGAAAAAAAAACGCATTTGCACAATAACACATACATTCCAAATGGAAGTGCAAAGTTATTGGGTAACCTAATAGGGCTCTGGGGTATGGCAAATGTCTTGTGAGGGGGATACTGGAAATGTGCAAGCATAGCTGAAATCAGGATCATTATGGGCTGCTAATAAAATTGTTTTTCATTAACATGAGACTAGTCAACTATCCTATTATTGTCTGCCTACTGGTTTCTCTCACCAATTGGTAGGAGAGGTTAGTCACTGCACCGTGAATTTTTTTTTCTATTTTCTGGACAAAAAGACCTACCTATACTCTATTGGGAGTGATAGTTTCACTGATTTAACATGCTCACAGAGACTAAAGAAATGGTCTATTGATGGATTTTGTTTCAATATTAGTAGCTCCTATTTAAAATACATTCTAATAGGGCATTTTAGTTTTAATGTGGCTGAAATTAGGGATAAGAAGTGTTGTAGCATCGTTTAAAAATGTACTTTTTAAAGCATTGACAAGCATTTTAGCATGAAATCGATGTATTCTCATCATATGTGTACTGAAAATGTCCTACAACTAAATTTATCACTCATTTTGCTGACTTCATGTGCTTTATGCTACAAACATAGAAACATAGAAAACAGGAGCAAGAGGCGGCCATTTGGCCCTTCGAGCCTGCGCAGCCATTCATCTCGATCATGGTTGATCGTCCAATTCAATAGCCTAATCGTCCTTTCTCCCCATAACTTCTGATGCCATTCTCCCAAGTGCTATATTTAGCCGCCTCTTCAATATATTTAATGTTTTGGCATCAACTACTTCCTATGGTAATAAATTCCACAGGCTCACCACTCTTTGGGTGAAGAAATGTCTCATCTCCGTTCTAAACGGTCTACCCCGAATCCTCAGACTGTGACCCCTGGTTCTGGACACACCCACCACCAGGAACATCCCCCTTGCATATATCCTGTCTAGTCCTGTTAGAATTTTACAGAAATACATTCATCATATTAGAAGTAAAAGAAAAAATTTTTGCATTCTCAAATGTAACTATAATCTTTTTATCAAACCAGTGATCTTTAGAGGGGTAGTCGAAAAAAATCTGCAGGGGTACGCACAAAGTTGTTAATCTGAATAAGGGTTCATGACCAAAATGGTTAGGAAACCACTGAACTCGATAATGAAATAGTACCTTGCATTTTGAAAAATCTCTCAAACAGCAAAACCAACATCTACTGCATCCGTGTGTTTTTTTTTAAAACTGCCATTAGTTACCAAAAACAATAGATGAAACTCAAAGAACCCTCTCCTTCCCACAGTACCAATTGACATTTAAGATGTTCAGCAGACACATCGGAACAGATACAAAACATGTCAGCTTAAAAGAGCAGTGGAAGGACTGCATCTCGAGAATGCAGCATGCTCTCAGCCTACAGTGCAGTATCAACCGAAATTATGGATTAGGTCCTTAGTTTGGGGCTTGAACCCACAACTTTGACTGAAAGACAACAGTCAAACTTACATGCACTTCAACCAAGGGTTTCCAATTAAAACATTAAGTTGTCAGATCTATTTTTCAGTTATCATCAGCCTCCATTATTCAGGACAGAATTAAGTCACATGGAAAAACATGGCTGAATAGGGAACAGACAACCTGTAGCAACATAGATACAGAACTGGCCAAGAGATAGGAAACAAAGCGTAATGGTTGATGTTTAGTTTTTGGGCTGGAGAGTGGTGTGTACTAAAACCCTCAGGGATTTGTTTTGGATACCTTATAGAGTTATAGAGTCATATCGCATGGAAATGGACTCTGTGGTCCAACTAGTCCACACCGACCATATTCCCATACTAAACTAGTCCCATTTGCCTGCGTTTGGCCCATATCCCTCCAAACCTTTCTTATTCATGTACTTATCTGAATGCCTTTCAAATGTTCTAACTGTATCTGCAACCACTACTCCCTCTAGCAGTTCACTCCATTGTGTAAAAAAAATTGCCCATCAGGAACTTTTTAAATCTTTCTCATCTCACCTTAAAGAGATGCCGTCCAGTTTTGAATTCCCCTACCCTAGGGAAAAGGCCTATGCTATTCACCTTATCTACCCCCCTCATGATTTTCTAAACCTCTAAAAGGTCACTGTTCAACCTCCTATGCTCTTCTTATAACCCAAGCCCTCCATTCTTGGCAATATCCTGGTAAATCTTCTCTAAACCCTCTCTAATTTAATAACATCCTTCCTATAGAGGCTGACCAGAACGGTACACAGTATTCCAGAAGAGGCCTCACCAATGGCCTACATCTCAACAGTGACATCCCAACTCCTATACTCAAAGGTCTGAGCAATGATGGCAAGCATGCTAAACACCATCTTAATCACGCTGTCTATGTGTGACACAAGTTTCAAAGAATTATATACCTGAACCCCTAGGCCTCTCTGTTCTACAATATTACCCAGGGCCCTAACATTAATTGTACAAGCTCTGCTTTTGTTTGTATTGCTAAATTACAATACCTCATATTTATCCAAAATAAACTCCATCTGCTACTCCTCAGCCCATTGCCCCAACTGATCAAGACCTCTTTGTAATCTCAGATAACCTTCTTCACCGTCTACAATACCATCAATTTTGGTTTCATCCGCAAACTTACTAACCATGCCTCCTATATTCTCATCTAAATCATTTACATAAATGACAGACGAAAGTGGACCCAGTACTGATTCCTATGGAACACTGGTCACAGGCATTTTCCTAATATACATGAAAGATCTGAATCTTAGAGCATACAGCACAATTTCAAGTTTGTGCAAAGTATAAAATTTTTTAAGGATTGTAAACTCAGGACAGACAGCATACAACTAAAGGGCATTGACAAGTTGGAGTAATGGGGAGATAAGTGGCAGACGAAGTTCAATGCAGAGGTGAGGTGATACTCTTTAGTTTAAACTAAAAGCTTGGAGAGACAGTACGGAATAAAGGTCGCTACCCTAATGGCGTTCAGGAGCAGAAAGACTTTGGTGTAATATGTACATAAGGTTTTATAGGTGACAAGAGAGATAGAAGGAGTAAAACATACTACGCTACTCAATAAATCTATGATAATGTACAGGAGCAAGGAGGTTGTGTGAAATTTGCATTAGACATGAACTGGAATATTGTAGAGTTCTGGGTGTCCCACTTTAGAAAGAACGTGAACACATCAGAGACAGTGCAGAAAAGCTTTAAAAGAATGGTTCAAGAGATGAGAAATTTCACTAAAAAAAGACAGATTAGAGAAGTGGGGACTGTTTCCACTGGAGTGAAGAAAGCTACAATGACATTTAAAGCAAGTTTGCAAAATCATGAAGGAATTGGACAGAGTACATAGGGAAAAACTGTTCCCTCATAAAACAATCAAGAGCAAAAAGGCATATATACAAGTGAATTTGAACGAGCAGCAAAAATGACAAATTTTTTTTCACACAAGCAATCATTCAGGTTTGTCACTTAATTGCTTGACAGTGTAGAGGAGGTTCAAGTTTGGACATCCAATGATTATCTAAATTAAAATAATATTCAGGGTAGTGGGGAAAAAGCAGGAGAATGGCACAGAGTCACAATACTCAAAGAACCTTTTGACGGGTGATTAACTGAATAGCCTCCTGTTCTGCAATTTCAACGTTTCCCAAAATCCAAATTTTTATTATAGTTGAAAATTTACTGTAACTTCCCCTTTAGCCAACTGATAAATTCAAGGCTCTTTCACAGGAGGTTGGGCTGCACTGTCTCACTTGACAGAAGTGCTTGTGGTCAGAACCTGCAACTTAATGACATTTAACATGACTACAGCAATAAACACTGCAGCAAAAGTTGACTATTGTGTCCTTTGTATGATGATTATCTCAGTCTACATAAGAGTGAAGAGTTATCTTGTTCAAAGCTTTGATTTTCAAATCCATGGAGGCATTAAAATTCACACTGTTCCTCATCAGGGAGTAAAAATAAATCACTATTTGAAAAGAGATCAGACTAAGCTGCACTGGTTTTACCTGGTAGCTCGCCATTAGCCACTTCGCCATCCACTTCTTTATCCCACCCATTATCTTCAGTGTCAGACTCGACGTCAAGCTGCCTAAGCTGCATCACGCAGTCTGTCAATACCTGGATATTGGGGGGAGAATTCCACTGTTTAACACCATCTTGACAAATCATAAAATTCATAGCAGCAAGAGTTTGGAAAAGAAATACAGTATCCCAATCCATTTTGGGCAATCAAGATCTGGAGAAAAAAAAAGTCACAGAACTACTTGTGATAATTCTAACACTCCCAAATAAATCGGTTTTATTTAATATGTTAGCTGGAAAGCACATCAAAAAAATCAAATAAAGCACTGGTTGAACACATTCTGGGAAAGCAATTTTAAAATTCTCAACACAGATAAGTAGGCTAAAACGTCTCATTTATATTGATTTTCTTTCATGCTTCTCAGCAAGGCAGCACTTAGCCAGATAGGGTGACCAGGGAGCCTAGTAAAACTGGAATCAATAGGAATCAGGCAGAAAAGTCTCTGCTAGTTGGAGTTGCACATAGCACAGAGGAAGATGACAGTAGTTGCTGGACATCAATCTGGGGCATCACTGCAAGAGTTCGTCATGGTCGTGTCCTTGGCCCAATTGTCTTCAATGATCTTCCCACTCCCCCCCTACTATCTTGGGGAGGTGATGACCTAGTGGTATTATCACAGGACTGTTAATTCAGAGACCCAGATATTGTTGTGGGGACTTGGGTTCGAATCCTGCCATGACAGATGGTGGAATTTGAATTCAATAAAATATCTGGAATTAAAAGTCTAACGATGACCATGAATCCATTGTCGATTGTCAGAAAAACCCATCTGGTTCACTAATGCCCTTTAGGGAGGGAAACTGCCACCCCTACCTGGTCTGGCCTACATGTGATTCCAGACCCACAGCAATGTGGTTGACTCTGAACTGCCCTCTGGGCAATTAGGGATGGGCAATAAATGCTGGCCCAGCCAGCGACACCTTACATTCCATAAAAATCATAATGGTCAGAGGTGGGACGGTTGTGAACGATCGCTCTGTGTCATTCACAACCCGAGATATTGAAGCAATCCATGTTCATTTGTAGCAAGATCTAGACATATCCACACTTGGGCCGAAGAATGGCAAGTAACATTCACACCACACAAATGCCAGGCAAGAATCATCTTCAACAAGAGAGAATCTCCCCACTTCCCCTTAACACTAGCAACATTCTGGGAGTTACTACTGGCTAGACATTGAACAAGGAGCAGCCAAATAAACATTGTAGCTACAACAGCAACTTAGGCTAGAAATTATTTTTCCTTATTCTTGAAGTCTGCACCGACCCACCAAAGAGCATCCCTCCCAAAACCAGACTCCTACTCAATCATTTACCACAGCTAATCCACTTAGCCTACACATCCCTAGACACTATGGAGAATTTAGCATAGTCAATCCACCTAACCCAGACCACTGGAGGAAACTGCAGCACCCGACGGTTACCCACGCAGACATGGGGAGAATGTACAAACTCCGTGCAACACTCATCCAACGCTAGAATCAAACCTGGGTCCCTGGTGCTGAGAGGCAGCATTGTTAACCACTAAGCCACAGCCCCAACATGGTTTGCACGTTTCCCTTCTGTTTGCAAGGGTTTCTGCTAGGTGCTCTGGTTTCCTCCCACAGTTCAAAGATGTGCAGGCCAGATGTATTGGCCATGCTAAATTGCCCCGTAGTGTCCAGGGATCTGCAGGTTAGTTGGGTTAGCCAAGGTAAATGCGGGGTGATGGGGATAAGTTGGTCGTGGTGCACTCTTCAGAGGGTTGGTACAGACCTGATGAGCTGAATGGCCTCTATCTGCCCTGTATGGATTCTATGATTCCATTCTTCCATGGAATGTCAGCGTTACCAATGCCAGTATTTGTTCACTATCACTGTTTGTCCTTGAACCAAGTGGCTTGCTGATTATTGTACAGAGCAGTTAAGAGTCAAGCACATTGGCTGTGGAGTCAGTCATATGTTGCCCACAGCAAGTAGGGATAGTAGATTTCCTCACCTGAAAAATATCTGTGATCATGATGGCAATTTCTTTCCTCTCTCCCTTACAAAATCAATAATAAAAACCAATGATAGGTTCCAAACTTGTTAAGTAATTACAGAGTTGCCAAAATGAGATTTGATCCCACGCCTCCAAAGCATTAGCCTGTCCACTATCTACAAAACATAAGTCAGGAGCATGACTGAATATTCTCCATTTGCCTGGACGAGTGCAATTTCAACAATGCCTAGAACTCAGGATGAAGCATTCCACTTGATTGGCACCACATCCACAAGTATTCACTCTCTCCATCACTGACTGACTGACTGACTGACAGACAGTATATACCACTTATAAGATGCACTATAGAAACTCATCAAGGCACATTCACCTTCCAAACCTGCAAATTCTACCCTTTAGAAAGCAAGGGCAGCAGAAGCATTGGAACACCACCGCCTACACGTCCCCTCCAAGCTGCTCACGATCCTCACTTGGAACTACATCACCGCTCCTTCACTGTTGCTGGGTCAAAATCCTGGAACTCCCTCAACAGCAGCACTCCCTATGGACTGTAGGAGTTCAAGAAGGAAGCTCACCACTGCCTTCTCATTTAAGGACAGGCAATTAATAACAGCCTAGCCAGCCATGCCATATCCTATGAACGAACATAACAATTGCAGTTTTGTAATATTCAAGTTTGTGCCAGATAATTATTACTTTTCAACCTTGATATTATCATACACTACAGTCTTTGACGCATTATCGCAATTTCTCCACAAAGTAAAAATATGAAGCTTTCATATATTGATATACTGAATGCATTAAAAAGACTAATTATGGTAACTGTCCCGAAATACCTCAATTTCATTGTCCTTGTAAGCCAACATTTCCTCCAGGTTTCTCTGAGCTTTCTGACAGAGTTTGATCTGCTCATTAAGCTCACTGTGTCGCTCACTCCAGCCCTCCACCTCTTGCAAAAGCTGCAAACCCACAAAGCAAAACTTTTGTAAATGACCTACAGACATCTTATACAGCTGACTAAATTCTGGTCCAGCAATAGAATATTCACCTGACTTTTGCTCTGCTTAAGCATGAGATTTTCTTCTTGCATAGATTGAAGATCTACTTGCAGTTTTTCTTCATTTGCTTTGGCACTTGAAAGAGCTTCCTGCACCTGAAAAATACGATCTGCATAGGTTAATGACAGTCTCCACTTGCAAATTCATCAATTTCTCCTCAAGAAGAAATAACCGAGACTGAGATACTAGGACATCCTGTGGGTCTTCATATATTCTAATGGTGCTGTTTACTTTCTGTCAGGTTAAAATGCTAACTACACTCCAGGACATTCTTCAGTACAATAATGAGGCACTGCTGTACTTTGAGGTGCTGTCCTTCAAACAAAACATTAAACTCTAGTGCGCCTTCAGCCTGTTCTGGCTGAACAGTTCAGGTCCCAGCATCCAGTCACTAAAACATCCCTTGACCATCACCTTTTGTTTTCTATTACTTGATCACTTTTGGATCCAATATGCCACCCTGCCTTGAATCAGATGGGATATAATTAATCTCTGTCATGAGGAACCTTATCAAAAGCACTGTTAAAGTCCATGTAAACTACATCAAATGCATTATCCTCATCAACAACTCGTTATCTCAAAAAAAATTGAGCATATTTGTCAAATGTATCAAAAGCACATTCTGTCCCTCAGAATTCTACCAACTTTCCCAACACCAAAGTTAGACTGACAGGCCAGGAATTTTCTGGTCTCTCTCATTCTCCCTTTTCTTGAAGTAATGGAACAACTTCTGCAGTTCACCAGTCCTCTGGCATTAGAATGGATTTGAAAATTACTGCCAGGCCCCTGATACCTCCTCTCTTGCCTCCCTCAACTGCGTGGAATATATCTTATCCAGGACCACTTATCTATTTTTAAGATTGCTAAAGCCAGCAGTAGCACCCCTCTCTCTATGCTATAGAATCATAGAGTCATAGAGATGTACAGCATGGAAACCAACCCTTCAGTCCAACTTGTCTATGCCGACCAGATATCCTAAATTAATCTAGTCCCATCTGCCAATATTTGGCCAATATCCCTCTCAACCCTTCCTATTCACATACCCATCCAGCTGCCTTTTAGCCTCCACCACTTCCTCTGGCGGTCATTCCAGACACACACCAGCCTCTACATGAAAAAAGTTGCCCCTTAGGTCCCTTTTAAATCTTTCCCATCTCACCCTAAACCTATGCCCTCTAGTTTAGGACTCCCCAACCCTGGGGAAAAGACCTTAAACATGCACCCTATCCATGCCCCCTATTATGTTATAAACTTCTACAAGGTCACCCCTCAACCTCCGACGCTCCAGGGAAAATAGTCCCAGCCTACTCAGCCTCTCCCTATAGCTCAAACGCTCCAACCCTGGCAACATCCTTGTAAATCTTTTCTGAACCCTGACAAGTTTCACAACATTCTTCCTATACCAGGGAGACCAGAATTGAATGCAGTATTCCAAAAGTAGCCTAACCAATGTCCTGTACAGTCGCAACATAACCTCCCAACTCTTATACTCAATGCACTGACCGATATAGGCAAGTGATCCCACCCTGCCTTTACAGTAATATATTTGCTAGCAAATAACCTCATTCTATGTTGTTATGACCTCAAGTACAGCAACCACTTGTAGTGCAAAAAAGTTGATCTTCACATCTCTCTGCATCTCTTGCCCAAACCATAATTATGCATCCTCTAACCCTTGTATCAGCAGCAAACATGAATAGATTTGTTTATTTTTTTTACTATTTTATCTAAAATAGCTGTAATTTTGTCTACCTTTATCAAATTTTTGCTCAATTTCCTTTGCTACAAGAACAACGCAGCCAGAATTGAACACAAAACTTTTGTTGTGGCCTAGCTGGTGCTTTATCAATATTCAATATGATCGCTTTGATTTTGTACTTAATGCTTTGCTCATTGTTTTCACAAAATGCACTGCCACTTTCTAATACCTCTACACATGAACTCTAAGGATCTTCTTATCTTGCACACTCTTTGGTCTATATTACACCTCCCCATCACATCTGCAGAAATGTCTTAAAAACAGTGACCATAGGAATTCAACAGCTTTGAAATGCAGGAAAGAAGTTGCTCTTTATATGCAAGTTCTTTAATTCCAGTTATTAATTTCATTTCATACTTCCAGCAATGTTATGTTTTTCACTGTTTTTAAAATGTGTACTTCACTAGAATTGCTTTTCCCTCAGTTTAGGTCACAGCCTACCAAACAGTGCAGCATTTCGACATTTATATTTAATTACATTTTCTCCAAAACCACTTCTGAAAACTGTTGCAATTTCTTCCACCAAACTCAAGTGGTCTGTTAAAAGAAAACTCCAAGTCTGTTTAATTATAGGCACCAAGGAATCATTTAGGAACATTAAATAGGGGTTTCAAAGTTCATACTGCAAGCACTTAGGCAAACAGATTTAGATTCTTCTGACATTCACTAATACAATGATATTACCCACACTACAGTACAGTAACTTCTCGTATATACATGACCCCAGTTCGTACTGCTGCAATTTTCTCTGCATACATTATCCCAAATTACAAAGCTGTAACGTTCTCTGGACAATGACAATTACCCACTTAACACTGAAGTAACACTATACATAATAATATGCATAACACTACTGTTGGGTTCTCTATACTCAGCATTAGATAGCATTTATCCAATTATAATTCAGGTGGTCTTACCTGAGACAGTTCTGCTGAACGAGCTGAAATAACGTCTTGTAATTTTTTCACAGATTTCTGAGTATCAGCAATCTGTATTTTAAACAGAAGAAAATGTAGTGCCAAGACAAAAACAGGTAAAAGCATTGGCCAGTCTATTGATCCAGTACACTTCAATTTATTTTCATTCAAAACTTGTTGAAACCTTGACATTCTTCATTCAGCACACAATAAAACACTTGTGCCTCGTTTGCAGAACTGTCGAATCAGTTCCACTGCCCCAACTCAGGATCCTTGAAAAATTACATTCAATTTTCTTTCATAAGGTGCTCTTAAAACTACCTCCGCTATTCAGCTACACATTCCAGATCAAAACTACTTGCTTTCTAAACAGTTCCTCCTTTTCAACCAGGGAGTCCTGCCTCCTTTGCTTCACCAGTGCTTTCCTCCCTGTTTCAGTACACTATGTCTCTATTGATAAAAGCCAAGAAATCTGTATGCATTTTAAAAAGAGTTTTCTCAATTTACCCTGTCACCCAAAGACTCTTGCATATAAATCTCCACCTCTGTTCCCAAAACTCCATTAAAACTATAATGTGGTTCCAAAGGTAGCATGGACCCATTTGTCAGAGGAAATTTTTTCTCTGTCTACTTCTCTATTAGCTCACCTCTAAATCTTCTCTATTCCGAGGATAATAGCTCTAACGTTCCAAGCTCTGCACAACTGAAATTCCTGGTAACCTCGTGCATCCTCAAGGCCTCTATTGCTTTCCTGAAGTGCGGTGTCCACAATTGCTTATAATGCTTTGACTCAAGTTACCCAGTGATTTGTAATTCCAGTATGATCTCCATTATTATTTTTATTTGGAAATTTGTTTGAAAATGGACACAGCCCTGTAGAGTTTTAAAGTTGATTTGCAATTCTATATGGTGCAGCTTAAGGAGGAGGACCCGAGTTTGAGTTTGAGTTTAAGTTTTGAGTTCTGAGTTCTGAGTGTTGTGCTGGGGGTGTCTGGAAATGCATTTAACAGCATTTAAATGACACTTTTAAAAACCCTCATAGTGAAACAGTTCAGTTCTATAGAAACAAGGATCAGAAGACAGAAAAATGTTAGGCAGTTGCCCAACAATAAGATGTCCTGTAGCACAACAAGACAAAGACAAAAGAAGGTTCTTGTAAGGAGAGAGAACTACCAAGAGCAGAGGGCAAGGCAGTATCCAGGTTCATCAGGCAGAACAGGTCTATGGCAGCAAAAAATTCTGTTAGCTTAGCAGTCTCCAGACGATCAAAACAAGAGAAAAATCAGGCTGAGTGGCTATAGAAACAATACTTGTGGAAGAACAGCTTAAAGAACATATATTAAGTAATAAGTGGAAAGTTTAAGAGCCTTGTGAACAGAATATCAACATTCAGGAAATTAACAACAGAAACAGAACTGGACAAGCCATATAAATATTATGGCTACAAAAACAGGTCACAGTGGAGAAACCTTACAGCAACTAACTCACTTGCTAACTTTGCTAAATGCCTGTACGTTACATTTACACAGCACAAGTCAGGAATGTGATGGCATACTCCCTGTGTGCCTGACTGAGTCCAGCTCCAACAACATTCAAGAAGCTTGACAAAATCCAGGCAAAGCAACCATCTTTACTGACAGCACACCCACAAACATTCACTCCCACTGATGCATAGTGGCAGATGTGTATACCATCTACAAAATGTACTGCAGAAATTCACTAAGGTTCCTAAGATAACATCTTCCATACCCACAACTACTTCCACCTGGAAGGATAAGGGCAGCAGTTGCAAGAGAACATCGCCACCTGCAAGTTCCCCTCCAAGCCACTCACTATCCTGACTTGGAAATACATCAATGTTCCTTCAATATCATTAGGTCAAAATCTTGACATTTGTTGGTGTGCATCTGCCAAATGGACTGCAGTGATTCATGGAAGCACCTCACCACCACCTTTTCCAAGGCAACCGGGGGAAGGCAATAAATGCTGATCCATGCCCAAGTCCCATAAAGCAATAAACAAAATACAAGGAAGATAGAATCATGTGAATGCACAAGTCTGACAGAAAGAAACTAAGTACAGCTGTGCCAACTGAACAAGGAGCTTTAGAGTAAAAACAGGGTGATCCATCACTGAGTTTTGAGTCTCTGTAGTTATGAAGGGTAAAAGGATTCAGTTTTCATTTCTGATATTTGTAATCAGACTGTTGTAAAACTAGTTCCTATATAAAGTCTTTATTTTTAAATTTTTTGTGTGCAACAAACTTTGATGTTTTTTTCGATAAACATACATTTGCAGCCTTGTGACTGACCACTATGGTAACCAAATTGCACAAATAAAACCTGTGACCTATCAAAGATAGCAGGAACTGCAGATGCTGGAGAATCTGAGATAACAAGGTGCAGAGCTGGATGAACACAGCAGGCCAAGCAGCATCAAAGGAGCTGGAAGGCTGACGTTTCGGGCCTAGACCCTTCTTCAGAAAAAATTTTTTCTGCAGTTCTGCAGTTCCTGCTATCTATGATCTATCAAGCCAGGTTTCACTCTGGGGCATTACTTTTCCAGTATCATCTGCTGAGATCACATGATTTTGTAGCTTTTACATTATTTCCTTCTATACATGATCCACGTATCTCCCTTAAAACTTTATAAACTTTTGTTTTTATTCTATTAGATAAGTCTCACTGTTACAACTGGCTTTTGTGCCCACTTTTAAGTGCCAAACTTCCTTCTAAGGATTTGTGTACATGAACACCAAAGTTTCTCTGCTCATTTTATTTTCTATATACATTCAGTGGGCTTCTCTAGCTGGGCCAGCATTTACTGCCCATTCTTAACTGCCCTCAGTCAGACACAAGCTGCCTTCTTGACCACTGGATTCCATTTGGTGCGAGTAACTCACAGTGCTGTTAGACAGGGAACTCGAAACTTTTGACCCAATACAGTGAAGGTACACGTCAGGGAGTGCTATATGCTGCATATTACACTTTTACATTCCTCCCAAACATAAGATGCAAGTGAAAGCAATCCCACCCAGTGCACAACTGTGAAATAGATATATAAGGAGTTGCTCCATTCTCGATAATATATATAATTCAACTTAAGATAATAAACCAAAGTTTCTCTTTTCAAGAATACTCATTATTTCCTTACCAGAGTCTGCTGTTTAGCTGTCTCCTCCTTCTCTTTTTCTACCAATGTCTCAAGATTTTTCACACGCGTCTCCAAATGAAGGTTCACCTGCTCGAGCTCCCCACAAGACAACTTTGGAAACAGACAAGTCTGAAACTTTAAATGCATACTTTACAATAACTATTGAAATACATAACAATACCAATTACTCTCTCACCTTAAGTTCTTTAGCTTCATCAGACATAGTTGATTTCACATTCTGTGCTTCATCAATGGCAGATTTGGCTTCTTCCAGCTACAGGGGTCAGGGATGATGAGGAGGAAAAGAGAGAAAATAAAGATAAGCAGTACATTTAAAACATACTTGAATTTATAATAAATGTTTGTCACAACGAGGTCTATGTAATTCAAGGCCATTGAAGACTTTTCTTTAATCAACGTTACTTCTTGGATCACAACTCTCTTGAGCTCAGACATGGCAAAGTGGCTGCTTTCTGACTAGCCTTCTCTCTTATCTGTCTTCGCTTGCCTCCTCCTCCATCACAAACGTTTTTCATTTCTACTTAAATGATACAATCAGTACTTCTTTGAACTAGCCTCAATTATTGTACCTAGATTCCAAGTAAGAATCCAACAATTTTCTTGTATCATCTTGCTGAAATCAAAATCTATCATAAATCCTTAATCTAATACATCTTTTTACAGAATTCTGAGCTATGCAAGTTCTCAACACCTCTCTATTCTAGCTGCCAAAAACAATGCTTGGGCATCAATTCATTGCCACTTGAATCATCTCTTCCTCTACTGATTGCAGCAGGGGTGGCCTGCTTCCTTGGCTCATCACCTAGATCCTGCAACATCAGACAACAACGGAACGATTGCAGTGGGAATTTCTGACCACGTGGCAAACACACAATACTTGTTGCCTAATCGCCTTGAAGGAAAATAATACTCCACCAAATGGCTGAATAAACAATGGAGGCAAGGGTGGTGAAAGCAACTCAAGGAGCTAACCAGCCTCAGCTCAGGAATACGTCAAACACCCAATAACCATAACGCCTACAACACACAGTCGGTAGCAGGTGACATATTTATAACAGTCAAATTCTCTCTCTGCAAATGATTCCTTAGCAGGACAATTCTTTTTTCCATTTTCCTTCCTCTGATCTCAATTGTTTATCTGCTTTCTAAAAAGAAAAAAAGACTCTCCAGACATTTTAGGCTTCATTGCCTCTACAGGGGTAAACAGAGGTATGAGCTGTGAATAGCTTGTTTTTAATGAAAGCATCCTGATACATCTACCATAAGAATTTTGCCTGTCATAAACTTCAACAAAATTGAAAATAGCAGAAAATTAGATTTGTACCTTCTTTTCATAAATGGACACTTTCTCCAAGACCTCAGTCTTCTCCTGAATAAGCTGTTTGATTTTCTCAGATAGCTGTTTTTCAGTCACTAGGGAGAGGTAAAGGTTTCAACATATACATTGTAAATATTTTCACAGCCAAAGGAGATGAGAAGAACCTGTACAGCAACATGTACAGAAAAATGTTGCTGCCATAACATAAATGTTCTCCTTCAAAAACCAAAGATCTTCCTCCATGTAGATATAGTGGACAAAAGCGTGATCTTAATCCATAAGAAGTGATAAAGGCTGCAGAATTCACATCTAACAGTTCTCAGCAAATTGAGAAAGTTCATGGACTTGGCTGGGCATGGAAGTAATCCTAAATATCTTGATCCTGACCTCTTGTGGAATTATTGTGGTCTTAGTGGTTGTGTCTTTTTATTTTCCTGTATTTTAATCATGGACCAAAATAGGGAAAGCACAGTTTTAAAATCAAGGATTACCATTGGATTGCTGCACATTTTCAAAGCAAATAACCTGACAATCTAAGCAACATTCTAGTGGCTTGTTTGAACAGTTGTTAAGCTAATGACTGCTGACGCACTGCAGTGGAGTTGTGAACAGATAGAGGTTTGATTGGTACAAGTTACCGATTGGTCTGTGAATTTGTGACCAGTTGTTGATGGCAAAGGCCTCCTGCTTGCCAACAACTATGTGATTGAGTTTCAGATAGTTGAACAGCTTGAGGCAGTGAACAAGATACAGAGAAGTCATGAGATCACCAACATCCTCTCTGCAGTAAAAGTCGATGTAAGCCTGAAGAAAACTGGCTTACTCTCCTTCTGCAGCTGCTTTATGCTGTGACTTTTAATTGATAGGTTAGAGACATTTTAAGTGAATCAGTCACCTGTGCCTCTTGCAAACCAGTGGAAGCATCCAGAGAAGGATGACCAAGAAGGAATGTTCTGACCAACACAAAATTCATCTCAGGGATCAGTGAAGTGCCTTCCCAGTCTTCCCTTCCATCAATACCACCCACGTTTATTTTTCCCCTGTCTGCATGCGTAAGGGGAGTTTAAAAAAAGGAATTCGAGTTTTAGTTTGTAGTGCTTTTATGCCGATGGTTTATAACTGTCTGCCTGTAGCTCGAGTATAACTACATGTAACTAATACTATTTTTTGTTAAACCTGGTACTGCTTTTTCAACCCAGGTCTAAAAGGTAGGTAAACTAAGGAATTCTGCATGTTTTTAAAGTCTTTAACCTTTGATGATTTTGAAAATAGCAGGGCTTGATTTCCAGCGCGCTACTCCAGTGAGGCAAAGCAGTGACCACACAATGTTTAGCTGCAAAGGATGTTGCAGGTCAACCAGTCTGTTGACACAGTTGGGCAAGACAATTGACAAGAAAGCCAAGAGATTGCCAGAAACAGCAGGTCAATTGCACCAACTGAGATCAATCAACAACATATAGAACCTTGGTTGGCTCAAATGACTCAAGAGTTTACCCTCTTTAGTGGGAGGCAAGTCACTAAGCTTTATTTTACAGTAATAAGATGGAACATCAATCCGTGCATCAGGCACGAGCTGTAAACTTACTTTGATATTTTCTGCTCTTCACCTGAAAAACAAATCAAAATGCAATTAGTAACGGTAAACTATTCCAAAATCAACACAAGCCAGGTGTAACAAGGTACCAGAGCTTTGCTCATTCATCCAGACAAGATCTGGAGACTGCACAACAACCAAAACCTACCACCACTGGCAGCCTTATTCCTAATCACAACTGGAAACAGCCTCCGTCACTGTTTCAATCAGAACCCAGCAAAACTTTACACAAGACTTGAAACTTTACAGCAAAAAGTACCACTGATGAGCTGAATTTTTTTTTTTTTTTTTTTTAAATCAAAAATGTTTGAAGTTTACACCAGAACAGAAAACAGTAAAACCAGTGCCAGGCTTAAGTAGCTGCTTGTCTCTACTTTCTAATCTCTCAAAGCCTGATTTCCAAAAAGAACTCCGCATTTTAGCTGAAAGGAAACAAATTACCCAGCCTCCAAGAACTATACAGCACAGCCTTGAACTGCAATCCACCTGCACCCAAATGTCTACAAATTCTGCCAGATCAGTTAACTGCAAAACTTTACCTGACACTGACTTATAGGAGTTTAATTCACATGAATTAATGCTTTTTCAAGAAAATTCATAATTTTATGTTGTTTGAGCACCAGTGCAATCCATGATGACCACATTCAAAGCAGAAGGCGGCTGCTAGAGGAACTTCTGTTTCAAATATCCATACATGCTTTGAGGAGGCAATAACACCCCTTAGATTAAGTACATTCAATTTGGCCAGTGATAAAGCATGGAGCATACAACTACAAGTTGAGGCAGGTATTAGGATTCATAATATAGCCTTGTCTAATAGATATGAGGTCATGCTCCTGGTGTAGACAAAGGGTTAGACTGCTGAGAAGATGAGCAAACTGACCACAACACCTCAATCCACAGAGTAATTCAAGTAGGGAGAGGAAACAGAAATGTAGACATAATAAGGGGAAGTACAGTTAAGGGAAATAAATACAGTTCTCTGCAGCAGAGTCATGAAAACTATGTTGCCAACCTGGTGCCAAGGTTATTGACATCTCTTCTGAGCTGAAGAGGATCTTGGAATGGGAAGGGAAGGAAAGGATCTCACTGTCATGGTCCACACAGGTACCATGAATCCAGGTAAGACCAGGAAAGAGGTTCTGCTGAAGGATTACAAGCAGCTGAATAAAATGCAGAACCACATAATCTCCAAATTATCGCCACCTGAGCCACTTGAAATTGACATATGGTAAATAAGATTCGAGGTAAATGTGAGGCACAAAGATTGACATGGAAGAAAGGGGTTCCTATTCATCAGATACAGACACCAACATTGGGGAAAGAGGGAGCTGTTCCATTGGGGCAGATTCCATTTGAAACATGCTGGGACCAGTGTCCTGATAAACTGGGCAATGGAAGTTGTATTGGGGTTTCAAACTAATTGGAGGTTCAATCGAAGGAGGAGCTTTTTAAAACAAAGGAGCAGAGATGCATGGTCATGAACAGACAGCCTATAATCAAAGTGTGACAAGAAGGGGTAGAAAACATACACAAAAGACTGCAGCAGAAATTAGAACCAGGGTTAAGTAATAATGTTAAAAAGTCAAAGCTTAAGACTCTTCAATTGCATGTACACAGCACTATTAATAAGATAAATTGCTTTGATGGCTCGAGAACAAATGACTATCACTCAATAGCTATGAGAAGATGTGATTAAATATTGGCCAAGAGTGTGGACTTCTTTATTTAAGAGTAACTGACATTCTGGAAGAACATAAAAAGGTGGAGTAGCAGTTTTGTTAATAAAGGATAGTATCAGTACAATTGTCATAGTGATTTAAGTGCAAAATATCATTGTGTGGAATCAGCTTGGGTGGAAATAAGGGATAGCAAGTCAAAGAGGTCACCAAAGAATTGCCTCAATGCAGAGAAGGAAATATAAATCAGCAAACAATGGAAATTTGCAAGAAGGGCACAACAATTGTCATGGGTGATTTTAATCTGCACAATGACTGGATAAATCAGATGGGCAAGGATAAAATGAAAGACAAATTTCTCGAGTGTATTAGGGATTGATTCTTAGAGCAGTATGCTGCAGAACCTACCCAGGATCAGGATATTTTACATCCAGTAATGTGCAATGAGGTAAGATTAATAAGAGATCTAATAGTTAAGGACTCTCTAGGGGACAGCAATCACAACATGGTAAAATTTAAAATTCAGTTTAAGGAAGAGTAACTTGGGTCTCAAACTAGTGTCCTCAAATTTAAAAGCAATTATTAAGGTACGTTGAAAGAGCTGTTTGAAGTGAACCAGGAAATAGGCTCAAGGGATGTTGCTCGATCAGCAGTGGCAGACATTTAAGCAGATATATAATGTTCAGTAAAAGTTTATTCCAGCCAAAATTAAGGACTCAATAAGAATGAAGCATCAATGGATCACAAAGGGGGTCAAGGAGAGTACCCATTCAAAAACAAAGGCATACAAAGTGGCAAAAGGGCTGTTGTGGTGAATTGGTAATGCCATACCTCTGAGCCATGAGGTCTGGATTCATGTTTCATCTGCGCCAGAGATGTGCAATGACATTCCTGAATCGTTGATTAAAAATAAATAAAGTGACAATAACGAGTGGTAGGCAAAAGGATTGGGCATCTTTTTTTTTTTTAGGAACCATGTGGCTAAAAAGCTTATATAGAGAGAGAAAACGGAGCATGAAAATAAATTGCTAAGAAAAATAAAAACAACAGCAAGAGTGTACACACTACTTATATGAATGCAAAAGGCGAGTAGCTAAACTAAGTTTAGGACCCTTGAAGGATGTAGCTGGGGAATTAATAATGGGTAACAGAGAAATGGAAGATAATTTGAACAATTCAAATTTGAATGCAGAATACAGGGTTAATGGCAGGATTCTTGGCAGTGTGGAGGAACAGAGGGATCTCGGGGTCCACGTCCATAAATCCCTCAAAGTTGCTACCCAAGTTGTTAGGGTTGTTAAGAAGGCGTATGGTGTGTTGGATTTCATTGGCAGGGGAATTGAGTTTAAGAGCTGCGAGGTTATGCTGCAGCTTTATAAAACCCTGGTTAGACCACACTTGGAATATTATGTTCAGTACTGGTTGCCTCATTATAGAAAGGATGTGGAAGCTTTAGAGAGGGGGCAGAGGAGATTTACCAGGATGCTTCCTGGACTGGAGGCCAGGTCTTATGAGGAAAGGCTGAGGGAGCTAGGGGTTTTCTCATTAGAGCAAAGAAGGATGAGAGGTGATTTGACAGAGGTGTACAAGATGATGAGAGGCATAGATAAAGTGGATACCCAGAGATATTTTCCCCGAGGTGGAAATGACTATTATGAGGTGGCATAATTTTAAGGTGAATGGAGGAAGGTATAGAGGAGATGTCAGAGGTAGGTTCCTTACACAGAGAGTGATGGGTGCGTCGAATGCACTGCCGGCGGTGGTAGTGGAGTCAGATACACGAGGGACATTTCAGCGACTCTTGGATAGGCACACGGACGATAGTAAAATGTAGGGTAGTTTGATCTTCGAGTAGGATAATAGGTCAGCACAACACCATGGGCCAAAGGGCCTGTACTGTGCTGTACTGTTCTATGTTCTAATTCAAACCAGTACTTGCCATCACAGTGAGGACACAGTAAACATGTTAAAGATAAAGGATAAACCAGGTGTGTCTATTAGAGGAAATATAGAGTAACAGTCTCTATCAAGAGGGACAAAGTATTTGACAATCTTACGGGACTAAAGACAGACAAATCACCAAGACTCGATAGTCTACACCCAAGGATTTTAAAGGAAATGGCTGCAAAGATCATACAGGCATAGGCTGATATATTCTAAAACTCTCTGGATTCCGGGAGGGTTCCAGTGGATTGGAAAACTGTGAATGTGGTGCTTGTGTTCAAGGAGGGAGGGAGGGAGAGTGACAGAAAGCAGGATACTTCAGGACAGTTAGCCTAACTGGGTAAAGTTGCCATTATTAAGCAAGAAACAATACGACATTTAGAAAAGCTTAACAAAATCAAACAACATTGTTTTTTGAACAGAAAATCATTTGAGACAGATTTATTCAAGTTTTTTGCAGATATAACAAGCAGAACCAAGAGTATTTGGTTTTCAAAGTCATTTGATAAGGCACCACATAAAAGGTTATTTCTCAAGATGGAAGCTCACGGTATTGAGGGTCATGTATTAGCATGGACTGACGATTGGTTAACATACATAACACAGAGTAGGGAACAACAACTCTCTCCGGTTGGAAAGACAAAAACCAGTGGAGCGCCACAAGCATTAGTGCTAAGGCCTCATTTATTTTCTGTGTTAATAACTTGGAGGGGCAGAGTCAAATGTATTCAAATTTGTTACTAATTTAAAAACAGGTGGGAGGACACATTGCAATGAGGATATAAAGAATCTCCAAGAGGATATAGATAGGTTGAGTGAGCAGGCAAAACTTGGCACAAAGAGTATAATAAAGGAAAATGTGAGCTCATGCACTCTAGTAGGAAGAATCAAAAGGCAGATTGGTTATTTAAAATGGACAGAGCAGAGGGTGTTCTTGAGCATGAAACACAAAAAGTTAGCGTGCAGGTGCAGCAAGTAACTAAGGAGGCAAAAGGAATTTTGAGTTTTATTGCTTGGAGTTTAAAAATTGAGAAATATTGTTACAATTTTTAAATTCCACAATCTGCCATGGCAGGATACAAACCTAGGTCCCCAGAACATTACTTGGGTCTCTGGATTAATAGCCTAGCAGTAATACCACGAGGCCATTGCTTCCCTGACGTTAGTAATGTCTTTCTATCTCAAGGGCATATAACCTTTTTTTTAAAAAGCAGAGAGAGAAGGAACCAGGGCTTAAAAAGAATCATAGTATAATTAGACATAGACAATGTGATTTTCTGGAAAACAGATCTATTTAAGTTACTTGAGGATGAAATGAGCTGAGTGGATAAAGGGAAACTAACTGCAGTAGTATATTTGTGTTCTGAAAAGCGAGTTGATGATGGGCCGCAAAAAAGATTGTTGCACTAGATAAGGGAGGAATATATGGCCATATGTGGAAAATTGATCAAAGGACAGAAAACAGAAAGTTGTAATAAACAAATCAACTTCAGATTTGCAGACCGTTTGTCATGAGGTGTTGTAAGGATCAGGGCTGCGGCCTCAGTGTTACATCCTGTCTCTCAACCCCTCTCTTTTCCTTTAAATTTGCCTTTTTGATCATGCTTGTGGTCACTTTCCCAAATATTTTGTGACTGTCAAATTACAGTTCTGTGAAATCTTGATTTTTGACTATATATGTAATTGGTCTGGTATGAAGACAAGTTTTAATTTATTCTAGATGTTTTATGAGCTTGGATCTTTACAGTGTAAGGAAACCTGATAAGTGTTCTTTGTGTATAACAATAAACTTTGAAAAAGCAACAATAAAGCTTACATATTTCTTTCTACTTCTGTTTTACAATTGTTAAACCGGAAGGGATTTATTTGTGTGATGTCACATTATTACTTCAGAATAACTGATGTGTAGAGAATAATGGACCACAAAGGGCATTCTGCTCTTTGCATCCAGATGTCACCTCAATGAAAAAATGAATTGTGTCATGTTTCTATTGATAATTTCTGGATCAGATATAATAGGGTTTGGCGTTTAATTTGGATTAAGGCTGATATCCTTCTACAGAACTCATGACTAAAATCCAATGGTGGATGAAGCAGTTTATTTATTAGAACAGAGAGAACTAGGGGTTCAGGTACACAGTTCATTGCAAGGTACACCATAGGTAAAGGCGGTGTTTGGCACACTTGCCTTCATTGCTCAGACCTTTGAGTAAAGATATCATGTTGTGGTTGCACACATGTTGGTGAGGTCACTTTTGGAGTATGGTGTACAGTTCTGGTCTCCTTGCTATAGGAAGGATATCATTAAACCGAAGAGGGTGCAGAAATGATTTAAAAGAACATTACCAGGACTGCAGGGTTTGAGATCTAAAGAGAGGCTGGATAGGCTGGGACGTTTTTTCACTGGAGAAAAGGAGGTTGAGATTGAGGTTTTTAGAAGAACAAGGGGGGGATCTTATAGAAACATATAAAATAATGAGGGGAATAGATAGGATAGAAGCAGGGAGGTTGTTTCCACTGGCAGATGAAACTAGAATTAAGAGGCATAGCATCAAAGTAAGGGGAAGCAGACTTAGGACAAAGGGTTGTGAACCTGTGGAATTCCCTGCCCAATGAAACAGTTGAGGCTAGCTCATCGGATGTTTTTAAGGCAAAGATTGATAGGTTTTTGAACAGTAAAGGAATTAAGGGTTATGGTGAGCAGGCTGGTAAGCGGAGCTGAGTCCACAAGAAGATCAGCTACGATCTTATTGAATGGCGGAACAGGCTCAAGGGGCCAGTTGGCCTACTCCTGCTTCTACTTCTTATGTTCTTATGTTTATAACATCACAGATAAGGTGAACAGCCAAATTCTTTTCACTAGGGTAGGGCAGGTCAAAACTACACAGAATAGTTTTGAAGTGAGAGGAGAAAGATTTGAAAGGACCTAAGGGTGGAACTTTGTCACACAGAGTGGTTCATATATGGAATGAACTGCCAGAGGAAGTGGTGGATGCAGGCACAGTTACAACATTTAAAAGACATCTGAACAGATACATGAATAGGAAAGTTGAGTGTGATATGGGCCAACACAGTCAAATGAGACTAGTTTAGTTTGGGAAACTTGGTTGGCATGGACAAGCTGGACCAAAGGGTCTGTTTCCATGTTACATGAATCTATAACTACACAGGATGTTGGTGAAGCCACACTTGGAATACGCATGTAGATTTTGTCCCCATATTTAAGTAAATATTACTGGTTTTGGCAGTTCAACAGAGAATCATTAGGCACATTCCTGGGATGAAGGGAATGACTTATCAAGAGTAGCTAAACAGTTTAGGCCTTTATTCATTAGAGTTCAAAAGAATGGGGGTATTGAAACGTAGAAGATTCTGAGAGGGCCTGACAGGCTAGATGTTGAGATGTTTACACAAGTGAGGGAATCGCAAACTAGGGGATACAGTTACACAATAAGGGGACATTCATTTAAAAACTGAGATCTAAAAGACTCTTCTTTTTCCAGAGAGTAGTCAATATGTGGAATTGACTGCCCAGAAAGTTGTGGAAGAAAGATCACTACAAAAAATTAATGAGGAAGTAAACAGATTTTTGAAATATTGGAGGATTAGGACTAGCATGAAATAGGAGCTGAGGCCTGAGGCGTTTAGCCACGATCTTACTGAATGGTGAAACAGATTGATGAGCCAAATGGCCTACTCATGCTCGTGTCATATATTATTATGCTCCAAAAAGTAAACGTTCCACTCAATCGTCTGCCCCAGATAACTTCATTATTAACCCCATCAACTCTGAAGAAAGCAATCTGAATTTATGAAAAATGCAAATCAATCTTACTTACTGAAAGGCAGGTTCTCCATAAAAAGATGACAAAAGTAATGATTCCTATAATAGAAGTCATCAAGATGGGCTCCCAGGGAACTCCATAGAAATCAGGACCTGGCCTCATTTCTTCAGGCAAAGAGGAAATGAGCTGGGAAAGAGAAAAATAATATTCTTTAAAAAAGGATTGCCTGTTACTTGCACAGAGCACTGTACTCCTATTACCCATTTCTTCATACAACTATAAAGCACCTTAAGGTGACTGTCTACATAAAAGATGCAACAAACAAGTGATGCTACAGATCATGCCTATATCTGGGATTATGAAACTAGGGAGTTCAGTCCAATATTGGAATACAAGAGGCAACAGTTGAGAAAGCACTGAAATAACACTTATATGAATGCCTGTAAATATATTTCCCCAATATGCATCATTGATAGCTACAGGCAATTACTGCACTATAGTGCCCTGTATGTTTCAACAGGCTGGTAACTTGGATTCTTTTTCATTGTTCAATTAATGGAATGCCAACTTACCCATGGACATATGCCTCAAGGCAACACTGGACTGGAACAAAAGTCAGCTCTTGCAAAAAGGAGGTAACCTCAACTCAGTGAACACAGGAAGTGGCTAACATACAACTAACTCTCTCAGAGATTGAGAAAGATTGAAAGCTACTTAGAAACAAGATTAAAAAAGGAATGTCACGTACAAAATTCAGTTAAAATGCTTCATCCCTTTATGGTTTTTAAAAATGAAATACTGACTCAATCTCACAACAAGTTTACCATTTTATAATGGAGATTCCAACAGATGCTGAAATGTGCAACTAAATTAATAGTGAAACTAGTGACATTAGGAGAAAACTGGATGAGGATTGGCAATTGTTTCACTTCAGCAAAATTATTTTCAAATTTTCAACTGGCTGACATATTAAAAAAAGGGATAACAGTAGATGCATTGTCTACAAGGGACTAAAGAATCAAACTTGGTATCACTTCTAACAGATCACTAGGTAGAACAGACATCAATTAAGTTCACTCCACAATATGGCACTCTATCACAGATCATGCAATTACTAACTTATTCCATGTTGAACAGAATTTTCTCCAGTCTACATAAACTTCTTAATATTCTACTTTTCTAAAGTTATTGTATGTTTTAAACGGCAAACAGATAAATCACTGCCCTTTTCAAATGCAGAGAAATGAAACAGTCAAAATCATGCACATAATAAAGGCACTTGCAACTCGCAATACACAGGGACGGAGGTCTTCATGATAAATTCATTAAGACACACAACTGACAGACATTCAAATATTAATTTTTCAATCAATTAGTTGTAATGGCAGGGACTTCACCAGTTCCTTCTCCTACTGCCGTAAAAAGAACGTGAACTCCTTAAATGCGAATATTCAGTAAAATTATCCAGATTTAAAAAAAAGGAACTTGTCTTTTTGGAACACATTTACAAACTGAACTTCCAAAAATATACACATCAAATTTTCTTGTACAGCAAACAGATTAGGGTAGGAGGGCAAAATAGACTCTTCACAAGATATAAATCTTGTGAGACAGTCTAACACTAAGCAAATTTTGTTCCAAATTTTGGAAAACGTTAAGATCAAAGCCAACCACCCTCAAACAGGAAAACAGTTAGAATTAGAATCAAATCACCCCCAGAGGATTCAGGAAAGCCGAGACTCTCGTCATTAAAAATATGAGATGTTGTTGTGATTACAAAATAGATGGTGAATAACACTGCTAGCATGTCACACAGCAACTATAGCAAAATTCCAACTAATATCATATGAATATTAATTTGAAACAAGTGACATCAACTTTCTCAAGAATTAATAATATATAATGCAGCAACCCCAGATTAAATATCTGTTTGAAGCGATTAGAGAAGGCCACCACCAGTCTTGCAGACATGTTCTACTATACTTAGCCTTCCTGCTCCTCTGATGCTGCTTGGCCTGCTGTGTTCATCCGGCTCTACACCTTGTTATCGCAGATTCTCCAGCATCTGCAGTTCCCACTATCTCTTCTACTATACTATGGAGTTTTACCTATAACTTTTCGTAGTTAGAGAGAGAGAAATTTGAAATCAGCTAAATACTGGTTTCGCTTCTCACATAACGGCAAGATTATTTTAATACACAGCAGTTTAATAAACACAGCTATTGTATTGAACACATGGAGCAAACCCAAGATGCATAGCATTTAAATTTAACAGGACCAGGATCTGAACCAGGTCTAAAGGGTATACCAGATACTGTATCATTCTCCTGTCAGCTTGCTTACTGACATGAACCAATCTTGAGCTTGGTTGAACTAAACTTAGAGTAAGCCCAAATCAACAGGTTTAGGGGACATATGTAAACCAGGGAATAAAAGCTTAACAGATTACTCAGGCTACATTACTGTTGTACAACATAGAACGTCCAGAATCTCAGAATCCCTATAGTGCAGAATGAGGCCATTTGACCCATTAGGTCACCAATGACCCTCCAAAAAGCATCCCACCCAGAACCACTACCACAAATGTCCTTCCCTAAATAATATAACATTAGTCAAACAGATGGATTTTGACGACAATTAATGGCTGCTTAGTGGTCACCATTACTGGACTGGCCTTCCACATTGATCAACTGAATATAAGTGTAAGAAAATACTAAAACTACAAAGTTCCATTGCACTCTACCCTAATTACTCAGACTTAGAAACTCAGTATACTCTGATATTCAGATCAAGACACTCCAAAAAAATTCAAAGCTGAGTCTGGGAAATATGAATAGAGATCTTGTTATGGGTCCTAATGTTTTCCAAATAAATACTCAAATGAGCATACATGATGCACCTCAGCCATTTGCAAATTGTAACCATGAGCTACTCAAAACAGGAATTACCATTTGACTGCACTTTTCTGCCTCAATGGTTGATCGCAAGGCACCAGCCAACAAAACAGCCTAATGGGAAAATAAACTAGCCTGACGTTGCATTATATTATAATCCAGATCACAGACATAAATAGCGTGGCGAGATATGCAAATAAATTTAGTGCTGTCTATATAAAGCTGCGTATCAATGTGTACGCACATATTTCACTTGCGTACACAGTTCAATGTAATACGCGCCGACACTGATAAAAATCACCAGTTGTACCTATCACTGGTCTACAATGGTACCAGGTTTAGTGACAATTCAAACTTCAAAATCATTATCCATCCTCATTCAAAGTCATTCATAGCCCCACTCCAGCCTAGCTCTCCATACCACCCTCATATCTGTGCTGCTCTAATCCTGGCCTCTCAAGCATCACCAATTTTAATCTACTAATGACACCAACAGCAGCAGTACCTCAGCTCTCAAGGCCCAAAGAGGCAGAATTTCCACCTCTTTCACCAATCTCTGGTCTCCTGCCCTAATATTGTTTTTATATATATTGTACATAGGCTCATGAGATGTGGGTGTCATTTGTTGCCCATCCCTAACTGCCTAAAGGGCAGTTAACAGTCTGGAGCCACATGTAGACCGGAACAGGTAAGGATGGTAGACTTTCTTCCATGAAGGCCATCAGTAGACCGCATTGGTTTTTACGACAACTGGCAGTCACTATTAAACTCACTTTTTATTCCCAATTTTTACTGAATCCAAAATTTCCCCAGTTGCCACTGTGGGATTTGAACCCATGTCCCAAGAGAATTTTTGATGCTTTTTGATTTTAAATTACCAGTTCAGTTACAATGGATGCCATTGCCACCCCCTAATAGAATACACTATATTCAAAATTATACAATTCATTAATGTACAGTACATGTGCATGTCTGTCCTCAGACATTTTCAAAACCTGTCAAAAATCAAGAAAACTATCAAGATCATCTTTCTGGAACCAAACCCTACCCAGCCTGACTACACTTCACTTTAGCAGCACACTTCATAGCTGATATTTGATGCTTTCTCAAGATGTCAAGCTAGCTATTCAATTACAAAACAACTTCTATTCAAGATCCACTATTTTACTCGAGTAACTATGCATCAGCATTAAACACACTTTAAAGGGGTTTCATCTGCAACCAAAGGACAAACGTATATGAATTAACTACCATAAAAATTACATTGTTACGTACATAGTTATCGTGTCATTACTTTGACACTTGTAGAAAGTTAAATGTTTGAGCCACAGAATGGATCGTATACTTGGTTGTCCTTATGTAACTTGTATTGTTATATAGCACCTTTAATAGACAATATCCAAAGGCACATCAGAGGATTGCAATCATAAAAAACCTGATACCAAGCCAAAGATGCTGTTGGGACAGGTGATCAAACAGTTGGTCAAAACACAGGTTTTAGAGAGGTTCTTTAAGGCTGAGAGGTTTCTGGAAATAATTCCAAACCTAAAGTCCTTAGAGGGCTGATGGAACGGTCACCAACTGTGGAATGAAATAAGTTTTTTTCAAATCATTCACTGGATGCGAATATCAGTGACTAGGCCAGCATTTATTTCCCATCGATAACTGCCCAGGGGACAGTTAAAAGCCACCACATTTCTGTAGCTCTGGAGCCACATATAGACCAGACCAGGTAAGGATGGCAGTTACCTTCCCGAAAGTGCATTAGTGAACCAGTTGGATTTTGTTAACAGAGGTAAAAGGAACACATGAGGTTGTAGGCAGTCACAGGCAGGAAGGCAAAAAGCCATTGTGGGAACAGGAACAAAAAACGAAAGTTATAAAACTAAAGGGCTGCTGTATCTAGAGCAAGTGCAAGTAACTTCCAATTATAAAGCAATTTTTGGATGAATTTGTAGGAAGTATTACCTTGCTATTTTTTCTCTCACATGGTTGGGACTATATGTTTAAAGTTAGCTCTGATATATTTACACCCAGATTGCAAATGTGATATTCATGAAGCCAGTGTTACCAATACTAGTTACATGCATGGCAGTACCAAGTTCAAATTTACTTTTATTTAAATCATTTACAGCACGTGGATGTCACCTGCAAGACCAGTATTTGTTACCAATTACTAACCGTCTTTGGAAAGTAGTGGTGATCAACTATCTTGCATCTTTATGGGGACAGACCCACAATGCGTTTTCTGTTGCAGTTTAGCGCAACTTCTTCTATTTGTTGATTGGATGTGGGTGTCACTGGCTGTGGTAGGACTTAAAGTCCACCTCCAATTGCCCTGGAACTGTGTGGCTCAGGAGACCATTTCAAAGAGCAGTTTAAAGTCAACCACATTACTGAGTCTGGATCACACATAAGCCACACAAGGAATTTTATTCCTTAAAAGAACATGAACGAACCATTTTTTAAAAATATAACAATCTTTTATTATGTTCCAACAATCTGGAAGTTTTGTGGTCACTGCTTCTATTCCTCGTCTATTGCACGATGAGAATTTAAAATGTCCCTTACTCCAAACGCTGATCCAGTAACATCACTATGCTACCCCTGTCTAAACAAACTGATGATCCAATTACACAGGGTAAGTGGGTAGATGGTACAAGTTGGAGACTGACAGCATGAAGCTCTGAAGCCTTGGCCAAGCACAGAGAGGGGTGAGCTAACCCATTCACATAACACTTCCTTGCTTGTGAACCCGCGCCCCCCACCCCCCACACTCTCTCTCTCTCTCTCTCTCTCTCTCACACACACACACACACACACACACACAGAAACTGACCTGGCCGATCCGGCCCACCACAGAAGAGTACATAACCGCAGCAGCTGCGGCTGCGGACGCCGGTGGCTGCAGCTCATGAGGCGGCGACTCCTGCTCCAAGACCATGGCGGACCGGGGAAAGGGTTGAACTTTGACCGGTATTGAAGCGGTGTGGGGGGGGAGGGGGGTGGGTTGTGGTTGAAGTCGGGCAGTGAGGCCTAAACCGATGTCAGGACCTCGGCCCCATGTTGGCGAACGGTCAACAACCGCCGCTCGAACACGTCAACACAAAACGAGGCGCGCTACCGGCCCCCGGACACTCAACGGCGCGCGCTCACACGGCCAGCGGACTTCCGGCTCCACTTCCCCCTTGCTCGGTGTGCCTCCCTCCCCAAACAGCGCCACCCCTCGGCACTGCAACTTTGAGAAAGCCAGTTTACTTCCCTTGATTCCCACTTGACTCGTCTGCTTAGTCTCTCGGTCTAGTGCTGCCAAAATGTACGTTAAATAGAAATACAAAAAAAAGCCTCAAAGCAATCAACCAAACTCCTGCGGACGCTTGAAACTGTTGAAATTAAAATGCCAGAAATACTCAGCAAGTCGGGTGCTTGCAAGGAACGTCGAGAAAGGCAACAGGGAGCTTCATTAAGTGCCTAATCAGGAAGAGACAGGCTGAAGTGAATAGAGATTTCTTATAGAATGACAATGGAAAATAATAATGGGGAAACCAGGAAATGGCAAAGGCGTTGTATAAATACTTTGCATCGGCCTTCATGGTAGAAGGCACTCATAGCACTCATAACCAAGGGGCAAAAAAGGAGGATGTTGCCAGACCTGCTGAGCTTCTCCAGCAATTTGTTTTTATTAAGATTTTTAATCTGTAAAGGAATCAAGGGTTATGAGAAAAAGACACAAAAGTGGAGTTGAGGATAAACAGATCAGCCATGATCTCAGTGAACGGTGGAGCAGACTCAATGAGCTAAATAGTCTAGTTCTGCTCTGAGGCAATTTTGATAGAACAAGAAATAGAATTAATCTTTCTACAGAGACTGCCTGACTTGAATGCTTTTGGGAGTTTCTGTTTATATTATGAATTCAAAACCAAATTTTTATTTTTTCCAGCTTCAAGAAAATTTCACATATCCTTCTTTGAAAGCTAACTCAGGCCGTTTGAGGCTTCATTTGCATCAGCCCTTCTACCCGATGCTCCAGCATCTCTCCCAAATGGCCATTCTTGACAAGACATTGTGTTGGTAAATTATTCAACCACAGAGGCCATTACAACCATTCATAACCATGGCTTCTGACTTCCATAAACTCTACAAAGGGTGAAAGGACAGCAATTAAACTGGTAACATTGCACTGGGGCTACAATTTGCCATTCACAGGTACCTACCAGCATAGAATCTAACACTTTCCTCAACTGTATGACATTAATTAGTACCTATCCCGACTCAGCCACACTGGTTTCACCTCAATAGAAAAAGCTGCAATATTCTGGAGAATCTTCTCCAATTAATGATTTAGATTCATTTTCATATGAATGGTAAGTGGAGCCACCAAGTGGCAGCTCACAAATGACAACACACTAGTCTGGAGAGATCCAAGTTGGATTGCCACACATTTAGCATCAGAAGGTCGAGAGAATAGGCTCCTCAATACATGAGAGGGTAGGGGTGAGGAAAGCAGAAAGATCAGCAGCTGAATATGCAGAAAAGCCACAACTCATCAATGTCCACATTCAAACATTAAGCACTGTCAACTTATGTGTCAAAAAGGTGGCTGTGTCTTTGGAACCACAGCCCTCAAGGAGTTGGAGGGGAAAGGTGACTGGAGGAAAAATAAAAGTACTTACATGTCCTGAGAGAGATTGAACGACAGGCCACACATTACCCTTGATGAACAGGACAACAGCATCCATCACCGTGACAGTCCACGATAGGAATGGACCTCTCTCTTGCAGCTGACTCGTGTCCATTACCACACGGTTATCCAGGATGGAATGAGTGTCTGGGGTTCAATTAGAACACATGTTTTAAAGGACTTATTTAGCACCAGTGAATGTACAATTACAGTCATCCAATAATGAAGTATAGGAACAGGAGGTTGACATTCAGTCCCCTTGAGATTGTTCTGCCATGAATATCTGTACCTAACAAAAATCCAAAAATCTTAGATTTAAAAATCAACAATTGATCTAGAGCCAGGTGCCATTTGCAAACAATAACCTATCCCATTTCACTCCTTTTAGGGCAGGGAAATAATTTCAAGTTTCAAAACTCTCCAAGCTTATCACTTATTCATTTTCTCTGACCTTTTGCACTTTTCCATGATCTGTTGCTAGCAATTCTTGATGTTAGTTTGGAGTAACTGTCCCCATTCACTGGGGACACTGCAGTTCTTAGCTCCATGTATATCTCCCTGCAGTTTGAAAACAGCAAGTCATGACAGCTCTAATTTCTAGTTTTAAGCCAACTTCTTGTATGTTCTGCTGCAGAGCCCTTTTAGCTTCAAAATTTGCTAACTACCCTAACACATGGTATTTTAACACAAGGCTTTCAAAGTCCATACATATAATGGTCTTTGAATTGGAGATAGAGCTAATCTGTTGGTTCTATGGATTCCTCTGGAAACAATTGTTCATTTGCTGCAAAACAGAGACAGTTGGAAGTAGGGATGATCTTCATGTAGCAACACTGGAGAGATGAAGGGAACATGCTGCAGTGGCTAAACTGACATGAATGGGAAGAATTGAAGAGAGGTGGGGGAACCTGATTTTTTAAAATTATTGGCAGGGGGAGCTGCCTTCTTGAGCCACTGGAGTTCATATGGTTGGAGACATCCACGTGGAAGGGAATTCCAGGGTTTTGACACAGTGACAGTGAAGGAATGGCTATTTATTTGCAAGTCCGGATGATAAGTGTCTTGGAGGGCAACTTTGAAGTGGTGGTACTCCCTTGCATCTACTGCCCTTGTCCTGATAGGTGGGTGAATTTGAAGCTACACCTGAAGGAGTCTTGGTCAGTTGCTGCAATACATTTTGTAGATGGTATACACTGTTGGTACCATGCCTCAGCAATTGAGGGAGCTAATATTTGTTTCAGTGGGCTTCCTTATCCTGAATGGTGTCAAGTTTAGTGAGTATTGCTGGAGGCAAGTGGAACATATGAATGCAGAAGCACAAATAGGCCATTCAGCACCTTGAGCTTGCTGTGCCATTGCAGGTCACTGATGATCATCTTACTTTGTAGTGGAATACGACATTATCCCCATTAACACTTGGATGTTACTTATTGATTTCTGATTACTAAACTTGGTCTTTACTGAGAGATTCCTCAGCCTTTCTTTTGGTGGAGGGGTAGGGGGAAATTTACCACTCTGAGTTAAGACGTTCCTCCCTACCTCAGTTTCAAATGGTTTACTTTTTATTCAGAGATTGCATCCCCTGGTGCTAGACCCCACAGCCAGGGAAACATCCTTTCTGCATTTATTCTGTCTAAAAAAAATTCTAAGCTTTGTGATATTACCTCTCATCCTTCAAAAGAATAAAGGTCAACGTCTCATCGTTGCTTTTCATTGGACCTACCCATCACCCGCCAAAGAATCCAATTGATGAACCTCTGTTGCACTCCTTCCAAGGCAAGTATATCCTTCCTTACATGAGGGGCCAGAACTGCATACAATACCAGTGTTCTACACTACTGCAGCAAGATGTTTTTGCTCCTATACTCAAACACTACTGCAATAAGAGGCAGTAATATTTACATTCCAAATTGATTTGATTTGACTTAGTGTTGTCACATGAAGTGAAATACAATGAAAAGTATTGTTTTGCGTGCTATCCCCAGCCTTACGTACGTACATAAAGGCAATAGAACAGAATGCAGAATATCGTGGTACAGCTACAGAAAAGGTGTAAAGAAGGATCAACTCTAATATACGAGAGGTCCATTCCTAAGTCTGGTAACAGCAGGGAAGAAGCTGTTCCTGAATCTGTTGCTATGTGTTTTCAAACTTTTGTATCTTCTGCTTGATAGAAGAGGCTGGAAAAGAGTATAATGGGGTGGGAGGGATCTTTGATTATGTTGGCTGCTTTCCCAAAGCATGCTAGCTTTCAATGACTTATAAACTATGGAACACTCTCCATTTCACAAGTTCATCACATTCCTGATGAACAGGCTTGTAGATGATGGACAGGCTTTGGGGAAATCAGGCAGTGAGTTACTCTCTGCTGAGTTTCCAGCCTCTGAGTTACTCTTGTGGCCACAGCATTGATATGGTTGGTCCACTTAGCCTGATGGGCTAAAGTGATGTTCAGGAGAGAAACTTATAGATTCAAATTTAATTAAAAAACTTGAGTATATAATCTAGGCTGCTTTATTGATGCTGTGCTGAGGGAATGCTTTAGTAGGAGCTGCCTTTCTAGTTATAAACTATGGCATTTTGGAATACTTCATTGTTATTGAAGTACTAGGGGACATTTCTGAGGTAGGTGATAATCTGATTATTGGTGTTTCTTCAATCCTCTCCTCCCATATTAAAAAGGGTTCTCCTTTGAAACCTAGGCAAACAGCAAAGGACCAAAGAACATGAGATTCAAGTTAAATGTATTAGCAATGACGACACTCAAATTTTGAGTTTCGAAGAATGTATCTTGTTGAAGGAAGACTGCAACTAGGAAGTGAGGAATTCCACAGTTAGGACTTTGGGAAATAATAAGTTTGAACAAGGAAATCCGTTGATCAAATCACAAGAGGATTTTTACATTATTTATATACACTACCATTTTAAAGCTTTTCTATCAATGCAAACAGCAATTACTTTTCACTCACCGATTTCTGTCTCCAAGTGGCCAAATTTAGCACCATCTCCCGTTGCTTTCACCTCCTGTTGCTTTCCTTTCAGCAAACTCTCCTCTGCAACATCTCCTCCATAGGACTGTGCTACGTTCTCTTCAAACATCACATCAGAAGGTCCCTTCTGGGGCTCCTCTCCTCCCTCACTAATGTTCAGGATATTCAGTCCTGTCCAAGCCTTATCACCCCCATCCAATTTCCCTCCAACACTTGGAGAAGATGCTTCTCCCTCATGCTCTTTGAGCTTGTTCCATTCAGAAGTTTCTTTCTGATTCTCTTCTACCCTCCTTTTAATTTTTGGAGTTGATGTTCCTAATGCCTCTTCATTACCTTTCAAATCCTTTGGTGTTTGACCAATCTCAGTAAAATTTGAGGAAGACGGTTCAATTCCTGGTGCCTCCTCCTCTTGGCCTGTCATGCTCTCTGAAATTGGATGCTCTTTCTCTGTCTCTTTGACAGTCTCTGAACTACTCACTAACTGTTCATCCTCCTCTGTCTCTGGATAGGCTGCATTCTCTGAAAGGTTTCCAGATTGCATCTCTGCCCATGGCCTTTCACCTTCATCTTCTTCCTGGTTTCTTGCAGAATGTAGTGCATCTTTGGTGAAGACTGGAGAATGCAATCCTCTCACTGGCTCACCATCATTCTTCTCTCCTTGCTGTGCTTCAGCAGCTTCCCTCTCTTGATCTTCCTGGTTGCTGCCAATTAATAATCCTATAGCAAAACAAAAGCAAATATACAACTTTAAAAGTAATGTTTTTCAACCTTGAATTAAGACAGTCTTCCTGCTGTACAATTCAAACAACATTGGTTACGTACATGACAGGGTTGGAGGGTTTGAACTACAGGGAAGAGGCTCAATCGGCTAGGATGTTGGAAACCAAGGAATAACCTTATAGAGGTTTATAAAATCATGAGGGGTATGGATAGGGAGAATAGCAAGGTAGTATTCCCAGGGTAGGGGAATCCAAAACTAAAGGGCATAGGTTTAAGGTGAGAGGGTAAAGATTTAAAAGGGACCAAAGGGGCAATCTTTTCATGCAAAAGGTGCTGCATGTATGGAACGAGCTGCCCTGGAAGTCGTGGAGGTGGGTACAATTACAACATTTGAAAGGGATCTGGACGGGTATATGAATAGGAAGGGTTTAGAGGGATATAGGCCAAGTATTGGCAAATGGGACTAGTTGGACCAAAGGGTCCGTTTCCATGCCCACAACTCCATGACTCTGACTTCACCAAATGACCTTTTATTTTTAAATTTATTCATTCACGGGATGAGGGCGTCGCTGACCAGGCAGCACTTATTGCCCATCCCTACTTGCCTATAGGGCAGTTCAGAGTCAACCACATTGCTGTGGGTCTGGAGTCACATCCAAGTCAGACCAGGTAAGGATGTCAGTTTCCTTCCCCAAAGGACATTAATGAACCCAGATAGGTTTTTCCAACAATTGATAACGTGTTCATGGTCATCATTAGATTCCTAATTCCAGATATTTTAATTAATTCAAATTCCACCATCTGCTGCGGCGGGATCCAAATGCAGGTTGCCATAATGTTATTTGGGTCTCTGGATTAACAGTCCAGCGATAATACCACTAGGCCATTGCCTCCCCTTTCTGTTTAAACAGGCAAAAAAAATCCATGCTAACCAACTAAGGAGCTCAATGCTTTACTCACCATTGCAAAACTCACCAAAAGCAGGAACTCTTCTTCTCTACTCTAACCAATACTTTGCACTCTATTTGCTCATAGCTAGAAATGCTTAAGTCATTGGAACCTATTCCGAGCACAACTTAAGTTCTTAGATCTACGTTAAATGCAGGACTACACTCACTCCAAAGGCCACAACAGGAGATTTCTTCTGCACTCCGCTTTAGCTTGTGTTCAATGTATGCTGTTGAAGTGACCTTCAGGAAACCCCCTTCATCAACTGTCAACTCAATGTAAACCCTAAATTCACTCAGGGCACGACAACTGCGCAAGCTCAACTAGCAACTCCCTCACAGTCTGCCCATGCCCCTCAAACTTGTACACCTTCATCACATCGCCCGTCAGTCTTCTCTGCAAACAACCCAAGTCTATCCTACCTTTCCTCATAACTTAAATTTTCCATCCCAAACAGTATCCTGGTGAATCTCTTCCACACTCTCTCCATGCAATCACATCCTTCCTGTAATGCGGTGACCAGAACTGCACACAGCACTCTAACTGCGGTCTCACTATTCTTCTATACAACTCCAACATGACTTCCCTGCTTTTGTAATCTATGCCTTGATCGATAAAGGCAAGTGTCCCATATGTCTTTTTCATCACCCTACTATCATACCCTTCCACCTTCGGAGATCTATGGACAAACACTCCCAAGGTCCTTTTGTTCCACAGAACTTCATAGTGTCATGCCGTTCATTGTATACTCCCTTGTCCAGTTACTCCTTCCAAGGTGCATCACCTCACACTTTTCAGGGTCAAACTCCATCTGCCACTTATCTGCCCATTTGACCATCTCACATATCTTCTTGCAGCCCAAGCCACTCAATTTTCACCAATAACCACCCGGCCAATCTGTGCATCATCCACAAACTTACTAATTCAACTCTGCACGCAGTCATCTATGTCTTTATATAAATGACAAATAAAAGGGGACCCAGCATAGATCCCTGTGGTGCCCTGCAATCTCCACCCTTGCCTCCAAAAGCAGTCTGCAAAACAATTCATCTGGACCTGGAGATTGGTCCACATGTCTGCCAAAACATTCAATACCTTGTCCTTCCCCCTGTCAATTTTCTCAAGCACCCTGCAGTCTCTCCCACTGGGCTCCATACCTTCACCTTCATTCTCTTGGGTGAAGACAAATGTGAAGTGTTGGTTCAACACTCTAACCGTGTCTTCTGGATCCACTCACAGATTGCCCTCTTGGTCCCTAATGGGCCCTACTCCGTCCCTGGTTGTCTTCTTATCCTTGTTATACTTATACAGTATCTTGGGATTTTCTCTCCTTCTACCAGATAGAGTTTTCTCACATCCCCTCTTTCCTTTCCTCAGGGCTCCACCTTGCCCTTTCTGCAGTCCACTAATGCCTCTACTGATTTGTTCCCCTTGTACCTGCTAAAAGCCTTTTCTCCCCCTTATCTATCATGAATATCTCTCGTCATTCATGGTTTTCTGGGCATGTTGCTCCTTTGAACCCTCTTCCTTCTTCCTCTTCCTCCACCTCCTCCTCCTCTTCCCCCTCCAACCCTATGGCTCTCTGTAGGACACGGGACACAGTTTCAGAGATGGAAATTGTTGATTTTAACAAATATGTTATCAAAAGTTTCTCCTATGGTCAAATATGACACTAAGATTTCAAACTACAGACAGTTCCCAGAGACAGGGAGCGTGTTGATGCATTTTAATTAATGATAAGCTAGAAGCTCTAGGGGTCCAAGCCTGGCATAATTTCTAAGGAGGCTTGACAGGTTAGGCGCAGAGATGACATTTCTCCTTGTCGACCAACCCAGAACTGGGGGGCCTGTTTCAAAATTAGTGGCCTCTCATCTGAGAGAGAACAAGAGGAACGTCTTCCCTGAGGGTCAGTAACATTTAGAATTCTCATTCCCAAGAAACAGTGGAGGGCTGTGTCATAGTTAAAGTTAATTTAGACACATGTTCGATTGACAAGGGATTAAAAGTCTTATGTGGGGTGCGGGGTGGGAGGCGCGGGGAAGTGTTGGTGGTGGTACAGGCAGGAAAATCACATTTAAGTCACAATCAGATCAGCCATGATCTTACTGAATGACAGAATGGTTATAAGACCAAATGACATAGAAGCAGAAATTAGGCCATTCAGCCCATCGAGTCTGCTCTGCCATTCAATCATGTTTGATAAGTTCCCCAACCCAATTCTCCCACTTTCTTCCCATAACCCTTGATCCCCTTGACAATCAAGAACCTATCTATCTCAGTCTTAAATACACTCAATGACCTGGCCTCCACAGCCTTCTGTGGCAGTGAATTCCATAGATTTACCACCAATTTCTCCTTATCTGCATTCTAAAAGATATTCCCTTTACTCTAAGGCTGTGCCCTTGGGTCCTAGTCTCTCCTACCAACGGAAACATCTCCAATCTGTCTAGGCCATTCGGTATTCTGCAAGTTTCAATTAGATCCCCCTTCATCCTTCTAAATAGGTCGAATAGCCTACACCTGCTCCTATTTCTTATGATCCATGTCGTTCTGCAATTACCTGTGAATTTCTGATCTCTTTGGCCTTCTCTTCCTTTTTTCAATACTGGTGTCCAATACCATGCAAGTTTACCCATTACTTTAATCTCTCACTGCTACCACTCAGTTACAAAGTGCTATAGTGGAGTTGAAACATGAGCTCAGCTTCTCCTTCCACAAATACTACTAGACCTAGTGAGTTTCTAGCCTTTTTTTGGGCGTTCTTTGACAATGTTACCTCTTTTGTCTCTAAACATAATTACTCAAGTTGGGCTAAAATTCTTTATATATGCCACCTGGAGTTGGTCTTTTCTAATATGTGAATATATGACAGCAAAGCCAACATAGTCCCAGAGAACCTGCTCCCATGGGCTGCTCCCCCATGGGAGAGCGTGAGAGTGAGAGCCAACCTGTGATGGTTTAACCAAAGGGTCAGGGGCAAGGTTGAGAAGGTGGGACCTTCATAGTTATCTCAGTCAGTATAGGAATTGAATACTCATTGTTGGTATCATGCTGTATCACAAACCAGCCACCCAACCAACTAGGCTAATCAACCCCCTCGTGACTGAATAGCTGTTTATTTTTAATACAGAGTGATGCCAACAGCACGGGTTCAATTCCTGTACTGGCTGAGATCAGCATGAAGGTCTTGCCTTCCAACCTCACCTGAGGTGTAATGACCATCAAGTTAAACTCACCGCCAGTGGTCTCTCTCTAATCAGACAGTGGTCCTCTGGACTACAGCAACATATGACAGTAAGCATTAATTCATACATGGGATGTGGGTATCACTACTAATCCAGAATTTGTTGCCCATCCCCACTTGCCCTGAAGGTGGTAGTGTAAGCTGTTTTCCTGAACCACTGAAGAGCATTTGGTGTAGGGACACCCATAGCACTGTTAAGGAGAAATTTCCAGGATTGTGACCTAGCAACAATGAAGGACACAAATGTAGGTACAAGTCAGGAAAGTGTGTGCCTAAAGTAAAGTTACATGTGCTGGGACTCCCATGCAACTGCTGCCCTTGCCTTTTGAGGCCATGTGTCTAGAAGGTGCTTCAGAGGAGCTTTGGTAAGATGTTGCAATGCATCTTGTAGTTGGTACGCATTGCTGCCACTGACTGTCAGTCTTGGAGGCAGTAAAGAATATATGGGCACCAAGCAAACAGGCTACTTTGTCCTGAATGGACAACCCCAAAAGAAATTAAACTCTTACCACTGGATAAATCTTGGTTTTCTTGCGGTATTTCCAATCGAGGAGTGAGTGCAACACTCTCATTGTTGCCTGAGGACTTTTCTCTTATTTGAAATATAAGCTCCTGGAGATCATTCATAAGCATTGACTCCCCATCGCTTTCTTGTGATTCTTCCTCAATCTGCCAGTGGTTCTGTCTTTTATCTAACATATTCTCCACCATATCAAGAATCCTTGTCTCAGATCCCTCCAATATTCGGTCAAGAGTTTTTTCAATGTCTTCCTCATTGATTCTGGACAACTTGCTAAGCCTTAGTTCATCTTCCAAATCATGAAGCACAGCTTCTAGTTCTAGAACCTGCTGTGGATCAAGATATACATACAAACGTTTAAAACTCTTTTCATCTAAGTAGCCTTTCAAAATCGTAAGTTGTTCCACTGCTTCATTATACCTTGAACCTTTGTTCTCTGACCTGATATCTGTTTTTTGATGAACAGGCTCTTTAGCCTTGATTTCAACTTCAAAGGGGTTTAATGTAGTTTCAACACTGGAGTACATTTCTGATTGTGTACTCTCATCCACCATGCTCTCATCAGTTTTATGACCCTTGCCCGCACCCTTCTGTGACATCTCAGTCTGATCTTTCAGATGCTGAGACTGTTCTTCATTATCCACATTCAGAGCACTCTCTTGCACAGGCCTGAGGTGGGGTTCTAATTCTCTTTGGCTTTCAATTTTTTTTGGCACTACTTGAATAGTGTGAGCAAGTTTGCTGTGTTCTTTGTGCTCTTTTTCTACAAGAATTTCCTTTTGGATATCTGTATTATCTTCCTGATCCTCTGGCTCCACTGTATTCATTTCCTCTTCTAAGTGTACGTCTTCATCATCTAAATCTTTACCATCTGAAATTTCTTCTTCATCATCAGTGGTATTAGAATGAATATTTTGTGCCATTCCGGCTTCTGCAGCATTTTCATCTTCTAACAACTCTTCTGGCTCATCAACCGCATTGAAATCTTCCAGAATTTCAATGTCCTCTTCCTTCTTTTCTTCCTGTAATTGGTCTGAAATATCATCTTCAGTCAGTTTTGAATTACTATCATCTGAAGACAGACTTCCATCTCCCTGGTTATTCTTTGCCGAATCAGATTCTTCAAGATCCTTTAATTCTTTATTTATCATTTCAAGGCCTTCTACCTTCTCATTAGTTGCTCTGGGGCTTGCAACATGTTCCTTGGCTTGATTTGTGTCATGCGGTTCTTTGTCATTGAGGTCCTCAGCAGAAAATGGCTTATTTATTACTAGTTGTGTTTGATTTTGTGATCTCAACTCCTCATTTCTACTATGTGAGATCTCAGCAGATATATTTCTGGACCATTTTGACTCAGAGCCAATCAATTTTTCCATTTCAGGTTCTTGTTGTAAATGCATTAACTTTTGCGAACCTTGATTTGGCACGGCTCCTGATTTATCTTCAGTACTAGAATGCTTTACAGTTTGCAGTTCAATTTTTCTGGTCTGGTTATCCTTTTCTGGCATTTTTAACAAATCATTAGTGTCAGCTTCCCCAGTAAAAGTTGAGCCATTTGTTTTCAGCCCATGCTTTCTCTCTAGTCCAGAAATTTGCTTTTCAGCTTTGGACATAACACCTTGATCCTGCTCTGCACCTTCATTTTCCTTAAAATGTGTTTCAAAATTATCAGTTTCAGAGGTCCTAGCAAAAGTTTCAATTGTATCCCCCATTTCATAACCTTCCATTGTTACACGAGACCTCTCTTTCACTGCATCATTTTCTATTAGCTCTGCAGCTGTATTCACAATTTTTTCCTCAACCTCTTTCTCTGATGTATTCACCAAATCATTTTCACCTGAATCTTCAGTGTTTCTGTAATTCATATCTTTCTGAATGTCTTTGGAATCAGAATTGTGAGGGGCTATAATCTTTGATGTTGTTTCACCTCCTCTTACAACTGAATTGAAAGTGTCACCAAGAGTAGTCCACAATCCTCCGTTTTGACTGTTTTCACCTTCTGAATTTCCTGCTTGAAGCTTTTCATCACCCTCACCTCTAATACTGACAGATTCTTCCATTACTTCATCTACTAATTGCTCCTTTCCTGGACTGACAGAAGTCATTGCAAGATTAACATCCTCAGCAACAGCTGTATAGTTAGTTTCATCAGATTTTACAGCATGATCTTCATCAACATCGTCATCCTGGTTATGGTCTTCCTCTGGAAGCTCTGGCTGCTGTTGATATTTACTATCAGAATATGTTAGCAGAGCTATCTCCTCAGGATCGACTTTCTCAGGTGATTCAACTAACTCATCTTTCTGCAGCTCAAAATCAAATACAGGAAGTTCATCGAGCATGGTCACTTTGCTACTCATTTCGTCATCGACCACAATTGCATCCATTGTTGATCCAAATGTTGTTTCTAATTTCAAAGATCCCTCAAGTTCAAATACATCTTCCCTTTTATCTTTCTGAGATCTTTGTTCTCCGGTATCCAACAGTTCAGCTTCACTCCAAGAAACTCTAGTGTCTTCAGTGTCATCACTTAGGTCCTCATTTTCTTTTAGAGGTGAGGTTTGGATCCCCTGAGAACTTGATTGAGAACGAGCGCTCACTTTAACGTGGCTACTACCATCCTCTTCAGTCGGATGCTCTTCCAAAGAGGAAGCATTTTCACCCACATTAGCAGGTTTTCCTTCAGATACTCCATCTTCAACGTGAAGAATTTGTTCATCATTTACTTCATTATCTACAGTTTCATCTCTCTTGTCTTTAATTTCTGATGGAGAGTCACTGAGACTCCGGCCTACAAAATTAACTGCCTCTTTATCATCTCTTGCTTTATTTTCTTGCAAATTATTTTCAGGCACTTTGGGAGCTGGAACTCCCTGCCCAGTATCTTCATCTCTCTTCTTTGTTGCACCATGTGTTGTTACGATATGTGATTCTGACTTTTCTTCATTGAACATGGTTTCTCTATTTGCTTGTGTCAGATGATCAAGGTCTACGTAATCAAATTCATCAGGTCCTCCATCAAAACAAACAAAATCAGTTTCCTGTAAAACAAGAGAAAACCACAGTTTGAAGAAATAGCTACACACCATTAAGGTAAAGCATTTACAAATTGTCACTCGTGATGGCAACAGGAACAGCATTTGAGTTGAGGAATTAACAGTAACATACAAACAGTGTTAACAGCAGATATTTAAAATCAATTTTTCCCCTTTGTGCATTAGTATCAATAGATACTAAGAAAGCCCAATGACAACACAACAAATATTCTCTCTTGAACCCATTTTCCCTAATCATGCATAAAACAGAAGCAAAGTGCAGGTTTGTTCAACTCATTCTGCTAAACTGAACTCGAATTATATTCGAATCAGAGATAGTAGGAACTGCAGATGCTGGAGAATCCGAGACAACAAGGTGCAGGGCTGGATGAACACAGCAGGCCAAGCAGCATCATAGGAGCAGAGAGGCTGACGTTTCGGGCCTAGACCCTTCATCAGAAAAGGGGGAGGGGAAGGGGGTTTTGAAATAAATAGGGAGAGAGTGGGAGGCGGATAGAAGAGGGATAGAGGAGAGGATAGGTGGAGAGGAAACAAACAGGTCGAAGAGGCGGGGATGGGGCCAGGAAAGGTGAGTGTAGGTAGGGAGTTAGGAAGGGGATAGGTCAGTCCAGGGAGGACGGACAGGTCAAGGGGGTGGGATGAGGTTGGTCGGTAGGAGATGGAGGTGCGGCTTGGGGTGGGAGGAGGGGATAGGTGGGAGGAAGAACAGGTCCTCTATCCCTCTTCTATCCGCCTCCCACTCTCTCCCTATTTATTTCAAAACCCCCTTCCCCTCCCCCTTTTCTGATGAAGGGTCTAGGCCCGAAACGTCAGCCTCTCTGCTCCTATGATGCTGCTTGGCCTGCTGTGTTCATCCAGCCCTGCACCTTGTTGTCTCGAATTATATTGTTGTTTGAGCAACATTGTTTTGTACCTTAAAGACAATTTCCAGTGTTGGGACAACAGACACAAGAAGGAACAAATTTAAGTTTGATCAATGAGGCAGGTTTTAAAGGCTCTCATTGGTTAAGGTCACATTATGAGGCATAAAAAAATGAACAAAAAGGCAGACATGACCAAAGAAACAGGCAACAACTTCAGGAACAGTACTGGAAAAGAGAAGGCTGGAGCATTCGCAACAATCTTCAGCCAGAAGTGCGAAGTGAATAATCCATCTCAGCCCCCTTCTTCCAATTATCCTCAACATCACAGATACCAGTCTTCAACCAACTCAATTCACTCCACGTGATATCAAGAAACAGTTGAAGGCACTGGATACTGCAAATGCTTTGAGCCTGACAATATTCTGACAATGGTACTGACAACATGTGCTTCATATTTTGTCACACCCCTCACCAAGTTTTTCAGTACAATCACAACACTGGCACGGGACAACATGGAAAATTACCCAGGTACATCCTGTACACAAAAAGCAGGACAAATTTAACCATCTCATCAGTCTATTTTTAATCATCACAAAAGTGATAGAAGGCGGCATTAACAGTGCTATTAAGCAGCACCTGCACTGGAGGGTTGTTGACTTGAAATCAAGCCCCACTATTCTTGGAGTCATCACAAAATTTAAAAATATTTTAAAATGCAAAGTTGCCCAATTTATCTGTTTTACAGACCCAGATTAATAGGTTTCTGTACTGAACAAGAATTATTATTTATCACAAATAATTAGACTCTAGTTCTAGGTAAACTGTTATAAACTGTCTGCATATAATACGACTAATTAAAACTCTTAACCCCTTATAAACTGTCTCCTAAACAGACATGGCAAAAAGATATTATGGACAGAGTGGAAAAACAGGAAGTACAGTTCAGAGTCTTTATTCCAAAGTTCTGTTGTTGAGATGATCTTTACGACTCTTCTGCTGGCCAGCACGTTGCTTCAGTCATCTTTCTCTGGATGGTTCCACTGGTTGGTGAGAGACAATGTCGCTAATTCACTTATAACAACTCTGACTTATGACTTAAATGTCACAGCTTACAACAAATGTTCCAGAAAAGAGATAGTAAGAACTGCAGATGCTGGAGTCAGAAATAACAGTGTGGAGCTGGAGGAGCACAGCAGGCCAGGCAGCATCAGTTCAGAAAATTTTCTGAAGGGTCTCAACCCGAAACTTCAAATTTCCTGCTCCTCCGATGCTGCCTGGCCTGCTGTGTTCGTCCAACTCCATACTGTGTTAACTCTGTTCCAGGAATGAAACTGGTTTTCTTCAGCTTCACAATGAGGTTTGACTGCAGAGAACATACAGACCACTCCCAAAGTGGAGAAAAACTGCACGTCTCTCTCTATTACTTGTTCCCTGCTCCAAATTGTTCAATATCCCGAAACTCAAAGTTGTTGGCAGGCTAAAGAGTTTCTGCCATCAATAACTGGTCACTAGTCCAGAGACCAGTCAACTTCTTGATGCCAACAAAAGCTGCATCTTAACACCCCTTGGCTTCTAATCATCTGCGACTCAAAATCTAATTACTGCTTGTTCAAGCAATTTTTTTGCACAACATCTGGCACGGGTGTCCATCCTGCAGCCACTCTTTCAAAGGTTGGCTTTTGAAACAGCTATCTCTCACTTTAGTCCATAATTTTTGAACAGATGCTGCCAGACCTTCTTGAGTTTCTCCAGCACTTTGTTCTTATTTCAAATCTCCAGGTTAATTTGCCCTAAAGTAATAATATCTAACTGAGACCCAACGAAATAGGAACAGAAGTAGACTGTTCAGCCCCTCACACCTGGTCTGCCATTCAATAGGATCATATCTGAACCTGTTTATTCCCTATAACCTTTGATTCCCCTACTGATCAAGAATGTATCTCAACCTTTAATAAACGTAACAACTCTGTCCCCAGCCTTTCCAAAGACTCCTAACCCAAAGAGATGAAATTCCTCCTCATCGCAGTCTTGAACTGGCAGTCCTTTATTCAGAGATTGGAAGGTGGAGAAACCCTGGAAGGACTGGCATACACAAAGGGACAACCCTGGCAGTGGTAAAAATTGGCACACTCCTGTAGATCCCACTCCACAAACACTGGCACACTAGGATGATAACACAATGGTAATGGTACCAGACTAACGATCCAAAGGCCTGGACTAAAACTCTCAAGAAATGAGTTCAAAACTCACCCTGACAGCTGGGAGAAATTTAAGGAAATCACTTGGTAACTCTGGAATGAAATGTTCATCTCATTAAAAATGATCACAAAACCACAGTAGTAAAGACTCAGCTGGTTCAGCAAGGACCTTCATGAGGGAAAATGTGCCATCCTTACCAAGTCTGACCCATACATTACTCCAGACCCACATGGTTGACTCTCAACTGCCCTCTGAAATTACGCAGCAAGCCATTCAATTGCATCAAAATGCAACAGTCTAAAATTCTATGGGTTGGATTTACACCACATGGTACTACTGCAGCAGTTCAAGAGATTATTTGTCACAGTCTAAAGAATCACAAAGGCACAACTGCTCACAATCTGAAGGACAAATTGTAAAACACTTCTGGAAGCAACTCGCACAAAAAGCAGCATGCCAGCAGGGCCATCCTCAACACCTGCATTCTTTTTAGTTAATTCATTTACAGGATGTGGGGGTCACTGGCTAGACCAGCATTTAATATCCTAATTCGGGCAGTTAAGAGTCATTGCTATGGGTCAGAAGTTACACGTAGACCAGGTTAAGGACAGCAGATTTCCTTGCCTGAAGGACATGAGTGAACCAAATTTGTTTTTCTGACAATTATTAGCCTCTTAATTACAGATTTGTCTTGAATTCAAATTCTATCATTAGCCATTGTGGGATTCAAATCTGGATCTCTGGATTACGAGTCTAACAAAAAGACTGCTAGACAACTGGATCCCTTCCTCAAATGCTGAAACACCCTAGGACCCTGTCTAAGTACTGAAACCTATCATGGACTCCCTCTAAATACAGTCATACTCCTGGAAGACTCTGCATGAACTCTGGAACAACACAGTCAGCTTCACAAAGAAGTGCTGTGCTTTTGTGGCAGAAAAAAGGATATATTAGTATGCGGTGACACAAGAAAGAAACACACACTCAAAAGATGCAGCAAAACACAGTATTCTAATCACTTAGGAAAACATTCAGTGCTAGTCCCCCAAACTTTGGAACCAAAGCTTTACAGATTTTCTCAGCATAGCCAATGTCTGTTGTTTTATGTTGATATACAACACAAATTAAACAAATACACACACCTACCTCAGCAGGCAATTCCACCTCATCAGTTGAGTATACTAGATTTACTTCAATGAGATCTTTGGGGAAATATCCAAACTGACTCCCAACCTGTGAGAAAGAAAACATTTGAATATTAAAAAATGTTGCAGATATAAAGAAGGTCAATCGATTACCTGACTAAGATGAAAACAATCACCACCTCCAGAACAGCAGCAGAAAACTGAGGCTCAAGGGAAGATCAGCCTTCAAGAAAATAGAAAATCAAATCCTAAAACAAATCCACACTATCAAAATAAATTTTCTAAATCTTTACTTACATGGTTCCCCCTCTATGAATCTTAGTAATGATTATCTTGATAATGAAAACTAACCTCATTACTGTACACTTCTTTAGTTGCATTAGTCCACTGAATACAGTGTGTCTTATCCTGAGAAATGATCCATTCCTGCTTGTGATAAGCCTTTGGTAAAGTCAGCTGGGAAGTGATTTGATGGGACATTGTAATTTTGGCATTCATCGACCCCTTCAGGAGAAATTCAGCAGAACATGGAAACATGTAGACTGCTTGCATTAGAACTAAAATTTAAAGAGTTTAACAGCATCTTAAAGACACAGAAGTGGGTAACTCCACAAAAAAAGTCACGTATTACAGCCATCATGTTTCTCCTGCTTCTGCCAATACTTTGATGTTGGAAATATTTGTGAGCTAACAGGAGGGGAACGAGAGTCTGTTTGTCTGGGCAGGCAGATGAATAAATGAACCTTCTGTAATTGGTTGTTCAAACAATAGGTTGTGTAAAGAAAGTATAAGAGATTTCCAAGTCAAGAGACTATAGAAATATTCTGTTTGTTGACTGACATGCCGGTTCTGGGACATGAGAAAGGAATAGTTATTAGGAGATTGTGCTTCTATTCAGGTCTCATGAGAATACTTTAGCGCTTTGACATTACTGCTCAGACATCAGCATGTGTCAAGCCTATTTGTACAGAATGAAATATAACTACTGTCACCAATACAAAAGTGAAATCTTTATAAAAAGAGTTAATTAATTCGGATATCACAAATACCAAACTTTATTGTGAATGGTACAATACACAGTGTACTGTTGCAGGAAATTCACAAAGCAAACACATTTGTCACTTATCACAAAGATAAGCACATCCCCTTATCACTACACCAGTTAAAATGTAGAGATATGACAGGCAATAAACCAATCTTAAACTATGCCAACTGTTCATCTATCTGAAGCAACCTCAATTTATTGACTGTTCACAGCTTCTGTTCTACATTTACTTCCTCGATTAGATTACATATTCAGCTAACTGTAATCCATTCTAAATGTCAAGTCACATAGGTCATCGATCCAGGATCCTTCGTTGGGAGTAGATTTGGAGAATTAGAAGATTAAAAACAAATGTAAGTGCAGGTAAAAATGGTTTAAAACCACTCACACCCACACCATCCTGATTGCCAGAACGCTGGGTACAGCAAAGATACTCTGTTCGAGTCACATAATACCAGCATTTGAAATGACAAAAAATTACTGTTTTTAATTCACTCATGAGATGTGGCATCACTGTCTGGCCAGTATATATTGCTTGTTCCCTGTTGCCCTTGAGAAGGTGGTGGTGAGCTGCCTTCTTGAACTGCAACTGGTATCATGCCAAATCTGTAATGAGCTCAGAAGCTAAGTAGCCCTGGCAGAACCCAAACTTCACATCTGTGAGCAGGCTATTGCTGAGCTAATCCTGCTTGATTCATACCTTCCACCACTTTACTCATGATCGAGAGTAAATTAATGGGACAGTAATTGGTTACTTTGGATTTGTCCTGCTTTGTGTACAGGATATACCTGGGCAATTTTTCACACTGTCAGGTAGATGCCAGTGTCATACATTCTGTATGTTAAAAAAAGGGGTGTGCATAAACCTAAACAAGTCATTCCTTGTAATGTATCACTGGGTGCTGAGTCACAGGCAGACAGGTGGTGAAGGTAGCATTTGCACGCTTGCCTTTGTTGGTCAGAACATTGAGTGTAGGATTGGAACCTCATGTTGAGGCTGTACAGGACATTGGTGAAGCCACTTTTACAATACTGTAAACAATTCTGGTCACCCATCTACAGGAAGGAGACAGTTAAACTTGACAAGGTGCAGATAAGATTTACAAGGATGTTGCTAGGACTGGAATGTTTGAGCTATAAGGAGAGACTGAACAGGCTGGGGCTTTTTCCCCCTGGAGCAACAGAGGCTGAGGGGTTGACATTATTAGGTTTATAAAATCATGAGGGATATAGATAGGGTGAATAATCAAGGTCTTTTTCCCAGGGTAAGGGAGTCCAGAACTAGAGGGCATAGGTTTAAGGTGAGAGGGGAAAGCTTTAAAAGGGACCTGACGGGTAACTTTTTCCACACAGAGTGTGGTGCATATACGGAACAAGCTGCCACAGGAAATGGTGGAGGTTGGTACAATTACGACATTTAAGAGGCACCTGGATTGGTATATGAATTGGAAGGGTTTAGAGGGATATGGGCTAAATGCTGGCAAATGGGACTAGGTAAGACTGGGATTTCTGGTCTGCTTAGACAAGTTGGACCGAAGGGACTGTTTCTGTGCTGTATGACTCTAATACTCTAAATGTTTGCTGCATTTTTTTGTCAAGGATTGTTAGAACTCTTTTTTTCCCCTCTTCTTCCCTTCTATCTCCAAGAAATGTCTGGGCAGATACTTTATACAATGCATTGAAAGGCTGGTTAAACAAGCTGAGAAATGCTGTGGGCAATTCAAGAATATGGAAATTACAGTTCCTGTCTGCAGTCTTCCAACAAGGATGTGACACTTCAATCATCCACGTGGAGCTATTTACACCACAGACTGCAACTGGTATTGAACAAGTCACTCTGCAAAGCACTCCCAGCTCCTTTTCAAATTATATCCTAATTACAAATAATGTCATTAGACAACAATTACAGTATCAGTGTATCATGTGAATTCCAGGATGTTAGAAAGTGAATGAGATGGACAGTGGTCTTTATTCCTCCAGCAATTCAAATGTTAACCCCCACCTGAAAAGGCAGAGGGAGCTTCAGTTTAATATGACGGCAGCAACATCCAACCATACAATACATCTTCAGATAACAAGGTGTAGAGCAGGATGAACACAACAGGCCAAGCAGCATCAGAGGAGCAGGAGAGCTGACGTTTCGGGCCTAGACCAATCTGAGATAACAAGGTGTAGAGCTGGATGAACCGAAAGGTCTAGGCCCAAAACGTCAGCTTTCCTGCTCCTCTGATGCTGCTTGGCCTGCTGTGTTCATCCAGCTCTACACCTTGTTATCTCAGATTCTCCAGCATCTGCAGTTCCTACTATCTCTAATACATCTTCAGTATACAACTCAAAAATCGCTCAGACTTTGTGCTTAAACCTTGGACTTGGACCTGAAGCAACATCTTTTTATTCAGAGAGAGTGCTGTTTGTTTAACAAAACATCGATCTAATAGTTCCAAGCTCATTTCATATAGGGTAACATTAATACAAATAAAATACTACTCACACTTCCAGCCCATAGATCGTTCCTTTCCCCTGCTAATTTATAATAGGTGTAAATCGTTTCACCCTTTTTAAACCGCAGGAAACGGCAGTCGGGACCCGTGAAATCCTGCAAAGCTTTACCTCGACACATCAGCACTGTAAGATACAAAACATCAAAGTGACAGTTAGCAGTATGCTCCCAAGGACCTCGCTCACCCACTTCCCTACACCTTCATGTGCCTCCCTCACCCAGTCCCTGACACCTTCACCAGCCTCCCTCGCACTCAGCACTTTTTCCCCAACTCCAGCTCTCCTTCACACACACACCCACTCACACATACCTCATTTCCAATTCCCTTTTCGAACTATCCCTTCCCATTCATCGGTTACACTTTCGCGACCAAATTAATAACGAATAATTTTGCATGGTTCCTACATTTTTTTTTACTGCGAAACTGTCAGTTCATTGTTTAGTTGGTTATCACCAGTGCAACAATGTTATTAAAGGTAGGACAATGCCACACAATAGCTCAGTGGTTAGCACTGCTGCCTCACAGTGCCAGTGACCCGGGTTCAATTCCACCTTCGAGCGACTGAGGGGAGTTTGCACATTCTCTCCGTATCTGCGTGAGTTTCCTCTGGGTGCTCCAGTTTCCTCCAACAGTCCAAAGATGTGCAGGTTCAGTGGAGTGACCAAGCTAAACTGCACATGGTGTCCAGGGATGAGCAGGCTAGGTGGATTTGCCATGGGAAATGCAGGATTACAGGAATAGGGTACAGGAGTGGGTCTGGATGCTCTTCAAAGGGTCAATGTGGATTTGATGGACTGAATAACCTGCTTCCACATTGTAGGGGTTCTATGATTCTATGAAGCAAAGAGAGACAGTTGGGAAGCAGCAACGTAAAGTACAGATGGAGAGTAAAACATACAAGAGTATAAATAAATGCTCAACACAATGTGACATTGATCCATTCTCATCTCGAAAATAAAGCCTTGAATTTATTTATTTTTATTCATTCAGGCAATGTGGGCATAGCTGGTTAGACCACATTTATCTCACATCCCTAATTACCCTGAGAAGTCCATTGCTTTTTTAGGATACAGTGTCTTCAGCCATTGGTTGATATCACACAATGATTCAAATTGAATCTGAAGCTGGGGACCCAAAATTAACTATCCAGCCAACACGTCTGGCTCAAGATGGACACGAATATGTTAACTTTGCACTGAAGTTCTGGGCTCCCCCATGATCAAGAATGGAGATATCTGTGGAGCTGCCATCTCCTAGTAGTTGTTTAATCATTCACCACCATTCAGAACTGGCTATAGCAGAGCTTAGATTTGATCTATTCATTATGTAATGGCTTAGCCCAGTTTCCTGCATGCTGCTTCCACTGTTTGGCATACAAGTCATCCTGCTTTGTAGCTTCATTAGGTTAACATCTGATGTTAGGTATGCTTGATGCTATTTGTGGAATACCCTCTTGCACTCTTTTTTGAGCCAGGGTTGAAGGAAACCGTAGAATGTGGAATAGGCCAGGCCATGAGGTTACAGCTTGTGTCTGTGCACAATTCTACTGTTGCTGATAGCCCAAACCAATTCTTGGATGCCCAGGTTTGTGTTGCTAGATCTGTTCAAAATCCATCCCATTTGGCTAGGTTGTTATGCCACACAACACGATGGAGGGTGCATTCAATAAGATGTCAGGACACTTCTACTTCTACTGTCATGGAGATAAGCATCTGGGACATGTAGATTTTTGAGGATGAAATGAAGCAAGCTTTACCCCCGCAACGACCCTCCCCAACACGCCTGCCACAGACTCAGTTTAAAAACCGAAAGAACTGCAGACGCTGTAAATCAGGAACAAAAACAAAAGCTCAGTTTAGCAGCTATACCCTTTAGGACTCAAACAGCTTGGTCGGTCATGCTGCTGCCAAGCCACCCTTGAGAAGAATGTTGAAATCCTCAATCCTGATTAATCCTGCGCCCTTGCAGGAGGTTTCCTTGCTTACGTTTGACCAGATGTCATAAGACCTCCTGGGGTCCATCGTCAATGTTGACGTTTCTAACTCCTTCCAGACTCTGTCATTGCACCACCACCACTGGCAGTGCTACTGGCAGGACAGCAGGAATTGTGATACTGTTGTTTGGGATACAATAATACTCATGGAATCATACCTCACAGACAATGTCACACTTTCTTGACTCAGCAATGGGACGGACCTCCAAATTTGGGACAAGACCCCAGTTGATGGTAAAAGTCATCAGAGCTGTGTTTGCCATCATTGTTTCCTGCACTGAGTTCAATGCTGGGTGGCCCATCAGGTTTGTTTAAACATTGCAGGAGTTTAATACAATGGAAAGGGTGTTTAAGGGTCAACCACATTGTGTTCGGTCCAGGCTCACATGTAGGCCAGGCAAAGATGGCAAATTTCTTTCTCGACAGAACATTAATGAGCCTAATTGAATTTGACACAATGATCATTAAGCTAACTCTCAATTCCAGTTATTTATTTCACCATCTGCCTTAGTGGGATTCAAACCCATGCTGTCAAAATGTCAAGCTGGGGTTCTGGATTACTAGTCCAGTGCCATTACCATTTCAACCCTGCCTCCTATTATATAACAATTATTTAGCACCATTCATAACATTATGATTTTCCAAGGCATTATATCAAAGAGTAACAAGTAAAGGTAGTTTGATATATCAAATTTTCAAGTAAAGAATTGAAGTCTTTTTGTTTTTTTTTAAGTGTTTTAAAGTCAAAATACAGAAACAGATCAACTAAAACCTGTATAAGACCAAAGAGTGAAATGTACAGAGGTGTTGAGCCAATAGTAAAGTTAGAGCCCAGCTACCGCTTTCTGGTATGAGGAAATATAAATACAAATGAGGACTGGAAAAAATTAAGGAAATTATGGAATACAAGAGATTGTGGGTGTGATTTCATGGAGGCTTTTAAAAATGGAAGTGAGAAGGGGCAGAGTGTATAGAAACAGACTTATCAGGGAAGGATCAATAACAAGGAGACATAGGTCATTAGTCAAATGCGAGATAGTTGGTCCAGAATTAGTATTTGAAGAAGGACAATGTAAATAAGTCATTCAGAATAGATCAAGTGGGTCAAGAAAAGGTGAAAAGATATAGGAACAGCAAACGGAATTTGAATTACAGCTCACACGGCAACATCAACACAGACTGAAAAGGCTAGGTGGATTGGCCATGCTAAAGTGCCCGTCGTGTTCAGGGATGTATAGATTAGGGGGTGGGTCTGGGTAGGATGATCTGAGCATCAGTGTGGACTTGTTGGCTGAAGGGCCTGTTTCTACACTGTAGGGATTCTATGAGCTATGATCTATGAAAATAAAGAACTGTGGATACTGGAAATTTGAAACAAAAACAAAAACTCAGCAGGTATGGCAGCATCTGTAGAGAGTGAAACAGAATTTGTGCTTCCAGTCCAGTTCTGAACTAAGGTTCTGAGGAAGAGTCACCGGACCCGAAACGTTAACTCTGTTTTCTCCTTCACAGATGCTGCCAGGCCTGCTGAGCTTTTCCAGCAACTTTGTTTTTATTCCTGACCAAAGGTCACTGTACTCGAAACAAACTGTTTCTTTCTCTCTACAGATGGAACCACACCTGCTAACTTTTTTTTTTGTTCATTCATGAGATGAGGGCATCACTGGCCAGGTAGCATTTATTGCCCATCCCTAATTGCCCCTGAGGGCAGTTAAGAGTCAACCACATTGCTGTGGGTCTGGAGTCACATGTAGGCCAGACGAGGTAAGGATGGCAGTTTCCTTCCCTAAAGGACATTAGTGAACCAGATGGGTTTTTCCAACAATCGACAATGGATTCACGGTCATCATTAGATTCTTAACTCCAGATATTTATTAAATTCAAATTCCACCATCTCCCCTGGCAGGATTCGAACCCGGGTCCCCAGAACATTATCTGGGTCTTGGATTAACAGTCCAATGATAATACCGCTCGGCCATCATTTCCTCAGCACTTTCAGTTTTTGACCAATACAGATTGGCTGGGTTTACTGGCCTATTTCCATGTAATATTTTCATAATCATTCCAGGTCGTGCTCAGCTAGCTGATCACAGCTAGAATGGAAGGAGATTACTCCAATTGACCTCGATGTACCTAAATTTTGGGAGGGGAAGTCATTGATAAAGAATTCCACTATTAAATTGTGATCCAGAGACCAGATCTAGAAATGAATCTTTTTGGATGCTGAACGTGGATACAATCGTAAACAATGACACTGGCTTCCATGTTAATCCATCTTGCAATACATGAGATTCTGGCAAAATACACAATTAATTACGTTTAAGGAATTGGCAGGGTGGGTGGTGAGAAAAGAACATTAAACTTAACAGAAGTGAAGGTTTAGGCTGGTCAGTCACTACACCACTATGTATATTATACACACTTATGGTCCTGAGAAGAAGCTTTGCATTGTATTACCATAGCACGTATTGAGTACTTGAATGCTTTTTTGCAATCCTAAACTCTGTAAGATGCCTTATCGTCCCAAATATGTATCAAGCCAGTTTTCAGCTGATTCTGGAGGTTAAATTTATAGTTTCTGGGAGACAGGAAGTGGGGGTGAAAGGTCTTCTATTTTTGGTTCTATGGAAGATACTGGTTTTAACTCTGTGCTCTCTAAATTCCACAAACCATGTAAGATCATATCCAAGCCATGTGTCTCCACTCAATTACTTATTTCCATAATTTAAACACAGTGTCCCAAGAAATTATTTTGCTTTTGCTTGACTTATTTCTAATGCGTCAATGATGTTTTGAATATGGAATTCCCAACAATATTCTAACCTATAATTCATAAAAATGTAATGTAATATTTTAACTCAGGCTACAGAGTAAAATGTAGAGTAAAGATGAGCAGGAGAGTTAAAGAACAAACTTGCACAACAGAAGAAACTGCCAGAAAATTAAGTATTAATTTGGCACTGGGGACAAGATTGGCATCAATGTGATAAACATACACAAGGCAGTTCACTAATATGGTACAAAAAACAAAAGTTGCTGGAAAAGCTCAGCAGGTCTGGCAGCATCTGTGGAGGAGAAAACAGAGTTAACATTTCGGGTCCGGTGACCCTTCCTCAGAACTCATATGGTTTTAAGACCGGTAAAAGTAGTATTATCCACACACTAAACATTAAGGGCAGTAGAAACAATAGACTGACATCTCCAAGTAGCAATATTTTGTTATTTTGTATACCAAAACAAGAATAGAATACTCTGTAACAAAACTAAATCACATCAATTTTCCTTAAGGGGAACAGAAAACATCTCTTCCTACAAAAGAAATTCATTCAAATTAAACTAAATCAAATAGACAGTAACATGATATCTAGGACATTTCAATCAGCATTGAAAATCAACACTGCAAAATCCATTGTTTTCTGCACTTTGATGTTAAAGGATGGAGCGAATTAAAAATCATTAATATCTCATCTCCTAAATTGGTTGTATAACATAGGATTGTATTTAGAATGCTCTAACTTTCCAATTGAGAATGAAGGATTCCAGTGCATCGTTACAAGAAAACTACAACGAAAAGGTGAGTTCTGAATTTAGAAACGTCTGGCTATGTGGGAATAAAAGTTTGCATTAAGTGGGGGGAAAAAAGTACCAGATTGCCACACCCCTCATATACTAATTCATGATAAAATGTATCTAAATTTCATTCCTGTATGTTGCTCAAAGCTCATATTTTCGAACAGAAACCGATACAATAAACTTCAAATTAATAAACGGGTTATTACTGAGCTGCCAACTGGTCTCCAATAATACACAGCTGAATTTTACTTTCCTCCGCCTTCCGCCTTCCATCATCATCATCACCACCACCACTTGGGCACATGAACTTTTTTATAAACTAATCATTTGTCGAATAATGCCAACAAGTGTCAGAGACTTACTGCTACATTCCTCATCCATGCACCGTTTGAAGTTGGAGAAGAGTTTTTGTTGATCTTTCTTACAGCTGATGGCTGCAATCAGTAATACTGAGAGACAGATCTGATGCCATAATGCAGCCATGTTGAGTGCTCCAGGCTGGCGGCGCATGCGTACTGGCCTAGGCGACACGTCAGCAGCAGCCGAACCGGACGGGGGTGCGCGAGAAGGAGCGTTACCGGGGCAACGGGGGAGGGACGGGTCACCGGGGCAACGAGGGAGGGATGGGGCAGCGGAGGAGGGGGTGTCACCAGGGCAACGGGGGCAGCAGGAGGGAGTAGAGGGGAGCTGGGTGATGGGGGGGGCGATGGAGTGATGGGGGCCACCGGGGTAACAGTGCAGGGAATCATAGGGGTGAGGGATCACTGGGGCAATGGGGAGGGAGTCCCTGAGGTGACGTTGTGGGGGAAAGGGTGGCTGTCACTTGGGCAACGGGGAGAGTGTGGGGTCATGTGGGTGACAGAAATGGGGCAATGCTGGGGGGGTTGAAGGAGGAGAAAAGGAGGGGTAATGTATGGGAGGTAGTCATTACGGAATTGTTGTTGGGATAGAGAGTCACTGGGCAACTGAGGGAATTTCAGTCTAACAGGTTGGGGGGCAGGGGATGAAGTCAGCAGGGTAACCAATCACTGAGGTGTGGGAATGACTAGCTCAGGGGGTGGGAGTTTGGAGAGTTACTGGGCCAGCTGAAAAGGTGTGGGAAGTTATCAGGATAATCTCAGGTATTTGAGAGTTATTAGGGCAACCGTGGTGTGGGGTAGAGCATAGAGTGGCCTATGGGAAGCAGGACGACCGTGGTGTTATGATCAAATCTGATGGTACCACTGGAGAAGTCAGATTCCAAAGTGAAATCTGGCTTGATAGATCATATTTCGTTGAAATGACTGCATTCCCCATGACAGTGCCAGAGTCCACTTGCCAACTAATCAGCACTCTCTAGTCACACAGTACAAATGTTGGTTTTCCTCTTGAATTAGTATTCTCACAAGCTATCCTGATAAGTGCAAGATGAAATCTTCAATAGAATGTAATTTTTTTTTCAACAGTGCTCAGGTTCTATGCTACCAAACATGATTATTAATCACTGAAGCTTATTACACAAAAGAAGAACTTTTTAAAAAAAAAGCTATCTGAATGTAGAAGACAATCAGAATGATCTCACATCAAACTGTAAATTTCAATCTGTTTTTTTGACACTACCCATTAGACATCCTGATTCAGAGAAATTACCGCCCACACCCCACCCCCCACCAAATTGGCCATTCCAAGTCTTTCAGGTTCTGAATTCTTCAAAGTTCTTCCACATAGACAGTGCAGACAGTTTGAACAGTCCTTTCCATACTATTCACCACTAATTTGAGAGACCTAAACGTTCTCAGTTTGAAAAATCTGCATATTTCTAATCAAACTCTACTGGTTTGGAAGCTTCACAAATGATCCTTTCCTGAAGTAACTTATTCCCAGAAGTTCCTTAAATCCTTTTTCTGAACTGAAACAAACTTGGTCCTGAACATTTTTGAAAAAAAAACTTGCTCATTCTAGATTTTTCTGAACTGAAAACAAAACTTTAAGTGTTTACTGTATTTAAATATGTAAATACCATATTATGTAATATCTTTCCATTAACACCAGAGAGTTTGTAGTCACTTTATCTCTGCCACATTCTGGATTAGGCTACTATTCCACGGAAGAACTCTCTAGCATTGTATTCCTCAGAGAAATTCTTCACAAGAGTAACCAAAATGCATTACCATTTGCAAACCCCAAAAATGAAATAGGTAAAAAGAGAGAGTTACACTGGAAGGGGATGAAGAAGTACAGTGGTCAGAGAGGGACAGAGGTATGGTGGGAGAGGGAGAGTAGAAGTTTGCTGGTTCCAGACAAGGAGAAAGTTACTTGTGGGGAATGAAGGGGAGTTGTTATTGGAATAGGTGAAGGGGAAGAGAGTTACCTAGAGATGGGAATGAATTTTGGACAATTGTGGAAGGAGCAGGAAAGAAGAGGAAGGGGTTTCAGAACGAGGGGAAGGTTACCAACGCTTGTGTGGAGGGAGGAGGAGAGGAGGGTTCCTTGGGTGAGAACAGTTTAGCTAGGAAGGAACCTTAGAGGTGAGATGACAGTGCAGGGGACTAGGGAAAAGCTAGCGGGGAGAAAAGTTAGGTACGTGTTTGAGGGTTTGGGAGTGGATGGTGTGGGGCCGGAAGTTAGGGATCCAAAGTGATGGTGAATGGGGATTTGAGAGGATGCAGTTGACTGTGGGTGGATAGGAGTTTGAGGATTTTGGGGATGGGGCCAGAGTGGTTGGGGGAGGTTGAAGGTTTGATGGGATGGGGACTGTGAAACTGAGGATTTGAGGAGATCGGGGTCAGAGGAGGTGGACCTTTGGGGGGATTGGGGATTTGTGGGGATGTTGGTCTGGGGTTTGAGAGAATATTGAAGTGAGGGTATGAGAGGCTGACGGGATGGTAGTTTGAGGGGGTTGGGATCTATGGGAGGTGGAAGCAGGGGAGTGGAAGTGGGAGGGGTTGAACGGTTATGGGGGATGGAGTTGAGGGTTTGAGCGTCTGTATGGGGATGGAATGGGATTTGGTGGGATTTTGGCATTGCCATGGGATTGAGGTTGTGCTTTTGTGATGAACATTGGACCCAGCGATTTATCCCTTCTGGGGTTTTTTTCTGCTTTGCCAATTCACTCCTGAACTCAGAAGTAATGTAACTGTTGGCCCTTGAGTGTCTAAAAAAGTACAGTTAATAGTAGATAATAAGGAAATGATGAACACGAGTAACAAATATTTTGCCTCTGCCTTCATTATAGGAGAGACAAAAAGCATTTCAGTAATAGCTGTAAATCAGGAGGTGGAAGAAAGAAAGGAATTTAGCAAAGTTACAATCACATGGGAAATGGTACTATGCAAATGTGTAGGAATTTGTGGATTGACAGATGTACTTCGTCACTGGGTTTTAAAAGATGTTGCTAATGAGATAGTAGATGCGATGGTATTAATTCTGCAAATTTCCCTAGATTCAGGACTGTTCCAAAGGACTGAAACATTGTGAATATAACCTTTCTATTCAAGAAGGGAGGGAGGCAGAAAACAAGAAATTATAAGCACATTAACTTGAATTTTGTCGTGGGAAAAATGTTAAAATCAATCCTTAAAGGGGCTATAGCTGGGCACTTTCGAAAAAAACTCAAGATAATTGGAAAAAGTTAGCATCACTTTGTGATCATTTTTAACTGATTTATTGGAGTTCATTGAAGGAGTAGCATATGTTGTAAACAAAGGGAACTTGTTGATGTATTTTGCTTGGATTTCCAGAAGGCATTTGATAAGATGCCACGTAAAAGGTTATTACAGAAAATAAAAGCTCACAGTGTAGGGTGTAACAGGTTAGCATGGATAGAAGATTGGCTGGCTGACAGAAAACAGAGAGTATGCAGAAATGAGGTTTTGGTTGTCAGAATGTGAAGACTGGAGTTCCACAGGAATCTGTTTTGGGGCCTCAAGGTTTTACAATTAATATCAATGACTTAGATGAAGGGAGACAAGGCACAGTAACTAGATAATGGGGGGGGGATGAAATACGAGGGTAAGCTAGCTAGTAATATAAAAACAGATATCAAGAGGTTTTTTTTTGGATATATAAAAGTTAAGAGAGAGGCAAGAGTGGACATGAGACCACTGGATAATAAGGCTGGAGAAGTAGTAATAGGGAACAAAGAAATGGCGGAGGAACTGATTAGGTACTTTGCATCAGTTTTCACAGTGGAAGACACCAACAGCATACCAAAACTTTGTGAGAGTCGGGGGCAAAGGTGAACATAATGGCCACCACTAAGGAGAAGGTGCTGCGGAAGCTGGAAGGTCTGAAGGTGGATCAATCATCCGGACCAGATGGACTACATTCCAGAGTTCTGAAGGAGATAGCTGAGGAGATTGTGTAGGCATTAGTGGTGATCTTTCAGGAATGGAAGGTCCCAGAGGATTGGAAAATGGCTAATGTAACACCTCTGTTTAAAAAGGGAAGGAGGCAGGAAACAGGTAACTATAGGCCGGTTAGCCTGACCTCGATCATTGGTGAGATTTTATGAGACTATTATTAAGGATGAGATGAAGTACTTGGAAATGCATAAGAAAATAGGGCTGAGTCAGCACAACTTTGTCAAGGGGAAGTCATGCCTGACAAATCTGTTAGAATTCTTTGAGGAGGCAACTAGTTAGACAGAGGAGATAACTAGCAAGTTAGACAGAGGAGAACCAGTGGATGTGATCTGTTTGGATTTACAGAAGGCCTTTGATAAGGTGCCACACAGGAGGCTACGAAATAACCCATGGTATTAGGGGCAAGGTACTGGCATGGATAGAGGATTGGCTGACTGTCAGAAGGCTGAGAGTGAGAAGATACAGAGAGATTTAGGTGTTCTAGTGTGCGAGTCACAACAAAGTTAGTCTGCAGATAGATTACATAATTGAAAAGGCTAATGGGATCATTTATTGCAAGAGGTATTGAACATAGAAGTAAAGATAATATGCTTCCGTTATACAGGGCATTGGTGAGACCACATCTTGAACACAATTTGCAGTTTTGATCTCTTTATTTAAGGAAAGATGTAAATGCATTGAATGTGGTTCAGAGATGGTTCACAAGATTCATACTTGGATTGAGCAGGCTGTTAATGAGAATAAGTTGGACAGGCTGGGCTTGTTCCCACTGGAGTTGAGAAGAGTGAGGGGTGACTTGATTAAAGTGGATGAGTCTTGAATGGTCTTGACAAAATGGGTGTGAAAGGGATGTTTCTTCTTGTGGATCAGTCCAGAATCAGGGGAACCACTTTAAAATTATTCTTTATCCTTTCAGGTCAGAGATGAGATTTTTTTTTTCTCTCTCAGACGCTGGTGCAACTTTGGAATATCTTCCTCAGAAGGCAGTAGAGGCAGCATCATTGAATTTAAGACAGGGATGGATAGATTCTTGTCCAGTAGGGGCATCAAGTGTTACCAGGATAGATGGGAGTTTGAAATTCAAAACACACAAAACAGATCAACCTTGATCTTATTGAATGACGGACCATATTAGAGGGGCCCGATTTACATCTGCTCCTATTTTGTA